GGGGTTGACAAATTGGGACTGAAATGCGTTGTCACATACGGTACTGGCATTGTTTCTGTCACCAGTGCTTTGAAGAGCAGATAAGATTCATGTACATGTGTACAATGTACATGAAATATTTCGTGAAGGGATGTTCATGTAGTCGAGTCGAGTAATCAGTGGATGAATAATAGCAAAGGCATGTCTTTGTCAAAGCTCATTTGAATAGCTTGTGAGTTGAATTAGGATTGAAGTGCTTGTTATGAACTTGCAGCGACTAACATGGACTTCAGCTACATCCATGGTTTTGTTTACAAAAATGAGTCATCAAATAAATCATAAATCATTTTGATCGCAGATGTGGACTAAGCTGGTGATTGGTCAATTTGGATGCCCCGTTTTTGTAATACAACAACGGGTTACGGAAGACCCGATGGAGAAGGCGCCTGCTGAATGGTCAGAATCTCAAGGTCAAGACATACAGTAGTCTTGTTTTGCATAATTAATCGTCGCATCTGCTCAATAGACTAACCAGAGGGTGTTTTGACTGAAATTTCAATCTGTTCAGCAGCCTGAGTTCTGTTTTGGAATATGATAATTTATGAAACACTATCTTTATCGGGCTCATTCTGCGTACAGCCACCTTTCATAAGACTTCAATTTCTACAGAAATGCTGTCATGGCAACTGATTGCCACGACTGTCATGAAATTAAATTATGTTGAACACTGGCCTGCTGCCACACACATACATTAATATTTTGTCATAATGTTCAAGGCTAGAGATGAAGTGCTTATTATAGTATGTAAATATGTTACAAAAATAAAATTTACTATGTAAAACTTGTCGTCCTCACCCAATGCACTACATACAGCTGTCCGTCCCACATTTTAACAACATTCAATATTGTTTTTTACAGCAGACATGTGTTGTGTATATGCACAGGCCTCTTGGTGTTGGTTTATAGAAAGTTTGTTGACCTTCAGTCACTCTGCATCAAGAATGCAAGTGAATGGAAAATTAATGAATATGGTGTCAGATGGTCATTCCCTGGAATTTAAAAGACAGTTTGTTTAAAGATGGGCTTTACTTGACCGGTATGTTTTATGTATCACATTTATGTACATTGTATGTGCACACATGTGCATATAATGTTGTTACATGTACATGTACATGTACATGTACATGAACATGTACATGTACATGTAGGTGGCATTTTGTAAAGATCTTGCCATATACTGAAGCAAGTCAATTTAAATTTTAATGTTCTTGCAGTGTGCATTGTCAGTATACACATCGCTGAATGCTCTTTGTTTTATCATATCGATCATGGCTTGTGTCTGGGATCAGGTGCAAAATGTTTAATACGCTCATCGTTCAGTGCCATCTGAATGATAGCTTAGAAGATGAAATATGCTGTAAGAACCTCTAGACTCAGCTTGACGTTTGCCTCATCATCTTGAAAACAAATTATTTATAAGATTAAGCCAAACTCAAGAGAATTTTTCCTTTCATACATACAGTGCAGAGTATCTGTTTATAATTTGTTACAGTGAATGTGCATGCGATGAAAGAGTTTTTGCAGATTGAAATAGCCATCTTGGCTTGTGCTGCATCCCTTGGTTATGTTCATGGTACGTGTTTTTTATATGGACGTGCATTAATGTGTGTTCAGGAACTGATGAGTTCCAGACGAGTACTAGGCCTGCGACAATTATTCAGTTATTCGATTGTTCAAATCGTCAGTCGGTTTTTCAGTTTAAATATTTTTTTTGATGTTAAATCAAAATCCTTTTAGTGAAAATCAAGGTGCTATTTTTTGATGATGTTCACGGTGTTTCCCCTGGTTAATGAACTGAGCGAGGTGGTAAAAATTCAAATTGATGATTGAAACAAAATTTACGCAGTCTGGCAAACTGAAAAGAATGTAGCGCTCACAAAAATGCGCGATGATTTCATCTACACAGTACACATTCATATCGTGAGTTCTTGTTACATAGAGGTCAAGGAAAAGGCTCATTGATTACACAAAATGAAAATATTTCGATTAGTTTTTCCTTGATTGCAAATCTTCACTGCGAGGTGGTGATATTGGCAAAAATTGAGCGAGGTGGTCACTGAAAGTAGTGAGGTGGGCCGCCTCACGTTTGAATGGGCAGGGGAAACACTGAACACCTACATGTACGATAACTTTTATTTAAAAAAAAGTACACAAATCAAGCGGTGCACAGAGTGAATAAAACGATTGAAAATACAGCCAAAGAAAACACACATAGCACATTGTCACACTGTGCCCGGATGTACCTTTCCCTTGCCATTTTACTGACTCGCGCTGTCCGCTCTGGACTTTTGGTGTGGGGGGGGGGGAATTGACCTGGCCACTTTTACTGGGTAAAAGTAACTACTGGACTCGGAAAAACTAACTGAGAGGAACGCTTTCGGGCTGTTTGTAACCGTAGCCTTGTTGAGTTTTACCAAAAAAGTCCAATGTGAATAACAGCTTTGGTATGAATCTTACTCTCTTCCAAAATACAGTGTCACGTTCCCAAATTTCCGGCCTGTGCCAACAGTTTATCCTTTTCGTGGCCTACTTTATACTGCACTGTATCATCACTGAGCATAGGGGAGTCATTGGGTGAAAGTTGACATGTGCCACCCAGTGTGTTTAAGTTTAACCCATAACATTCCTTAATTCTCACTCGCAACCCCAAACAAGCCCAGTGGAGGATGAATGGAAAAACCCACAAGGTCAATCATTGACTAGTGGGAAAGATACCATACCAACCTGATAATCTTTATCACTAATATTCAAGCCACAAATGTGCCTACCATGACATCTGGTATACCTGATACTGGTCATGTCAGTGGAGGGTGAATGGAAATTTTTTTCAAATGCCATGTAATCAGGAAGCAGAACTATTTTTTTTGGGCCTAAAATGGATACATGTTGTGCGGTCGGGCAACAGCGCAAATCTACTAATCGCACCCAACATCGACTAAAATGAGTAACATTTAGTACCATTTTTTTGCCAATTGCATTAGATTGAGATCTCTTCTCTGTCATGGCGTTGGCATTCTGGACATGAACGTATTTAATTTTTTTCAAATGCCATGTAATCAGGAAGCAGAACTATTTTTTTGGGCCTAACGTGAATACATGTTGTGCGGTCGGGTAACAGCGCAAATCTACCGATCGCACCCAACATAACTAAAATGTATAACATTTAGTACCATTTTTTTTGCCAATTGCATTAGATTGAGATCTCTTCTCTGTCATGGCTTTGGCATTCTGGACATGAACGTATAATTCACTTGGGTTCTTTCATGGTACAAACATTACATGCCTCGACCACATGGCAGATTGCCAACAGGATGTGCAGATACCTACATGTGTCTGCACTTAGTCTGCAGGGATCAACCATGTACACATACATTGAATCATTTGGCAACTGTTCAATAAAAAAGCTTTACATGTTACGGTACATGTAAAGTGCACCCCATCATATCATAATTTGGAAGGATTGTTCAATCTAGTGGGAGATGAAAGTGATAAACACTGTGCCAGGGCTGTTAAAGGGAATGTACATCATTGGCTTTTGCTGTAATTTTCAGAAATGAACTATTTGGGGGTTAATATAATAGAGCAAATATTGTTACACTGACATACTTGAAGTTTTGTGTTTGAAAATGCTGGAAAAAACCAAGAAAAACACAAATGTTCAAGTAGTCTGGTTCCCTGACTCCACTAAAGATGAAATGGATCAAAAATGCCAAAAAAATTGTAAGGTAAGGAAACCAGTCTAGCTGGCCTGCACCCGTTCATGAACATGGAACCAATAGCAAACAAATTTTGGACTGAAAAAAAATTGGAACAGTAGTTGAAAAATAGTTAGGTTTTTCCAACGGTGGTCGGCCGACCACCGTTGGAAGTGTATACAAAAGTACAACTTGAAAATGACTTCACACCAGGTGCCCTAATTTTACATGATGCTTTAGACTGTCATTTACCAACATCATAGTAAGGTATTTCGTAACAACTTGGTAGTTTTATTTTTCGATGTTTGCAAATGTTGTATTTTCCCTTTAACCTATTGACGTGTACATGTACATACATGGCAATTGTACTCTTTACTGGTACATGTAGTACATTGTACAACCCCATTGTTTGATGAGCTGTAAATGTTATTACCTGAAGTGTGCACAGTTGCACCAGGTGGCTCAAAGTGTGTTTAAACTGTGCTACTAGATTGTGTGGTTACAGGTATACATTGTAAAATGAATGTACATGTACATGTGGAGGATAATCGGCTTAATAAACGTGATCAACACCATGTTTATTACTCCTTGATGGAAAGGAATGGCCTGGTGTTTAATGGTTAGGAACTGTGTTTGGTTTAGCGTAAAATAAACACCGCAGAAAAAGACAGTCCACACTCATTGGAGGGGTCATAATTTTGAATCTGCTCCTCTTATGATGATGTCAGCTACATTTGTATATAGACCTTGGGGGATTTTGTTAGCTACATTTGAATACCCTGTTTGCTACCAAAGACTGTAAATCCTCCAAGATTGACAACGGTTCATGAAAATGATGCAGTTGGAAAAGTTGAAAATTAAAAAGATTACGCGAAGAGAAATTGCTAAACGTTACTACACTCCCATAATTGGTGCCTATCAATTGCACAGTGCCTGAGTAGAGCGCGGGTCATTCGAATAGCCCATGTGCTCCATTGCATACAAGCACTGTGCGATTGATGTTGCCTGGCTTTCATTTTGGGCAGTGTAACGTTGTCACGCTGCAATTTCCACTCGTTGAAGAAATTTGTCAACTAATACATTTTCATGGGACGGGCCATCAAATTGTCTATTGAGGGCGGTATTACAATTTACCATGACCACAACAACATACCGTATCTAATGAGTTATGTTGATGGAATGTCTGCAAGGAAACATGTACTTTTTTTTAGGAGGAATTTGTTAGCCAATAAATTTTCATCAATTTTTTGTTTTTCTCAACCACAGAATAAAGGGGAGAGCTACCGCGTTGCGGTGCAAACCGAAGTTCCTGAAGATGGCAGGAAGGCGGACGGCACCCCGCATCCCCAGAAGCATAAGAAGAGGACCAAGAAGCAAAAGAAGAAGGATCTCAATGAGTTGAAGAAGGAATTGGAATTGGTAAGAGGCTAGGGGGTTGATAGGCTAAAAAATAAGAGGCTAGGTTCCTGGGAAGAAGTAATAGTTATTGGCAAAAGAATTTAGGAGTTGGAATTGGTAAGATAATAAGAGTCTAGGGGCTAAAGAGATAATAAGTAACAACTTAGGGGGCAAGGGGATAGTAAGAAAGAGGCTAGGGGGTGCATGGGAAAAATTAAAGAGACAAGGAGTTGGAATATGTAAGAGGCTAGGGGGTTAAGGAGATTATGTGTTCAGCTTAGAGGGCAAGAGAGTATATGGGAAAATGTAATAGAAGGCAAGGAGTTTGGGAAGGATTTGGAATTGGTAAGAGGATAGGGGCTAAGGAGATACATTGTGTAATAAGTAACAACTTAGGAAGCAAGTGGTAGTAAGAGGCTGGGGTGCATGTTAAAATGTAATAGAAGGCATTGAGTATGGGAATGAATCAGAATTGGTAACAGAGGCTTGGGGCTTACGGGATAAGAAGTAACAGGTTAGGGGGGCAAGGGTGTAGTAAGAAAGGCTGGGGGAAGGGAAGATAATTATAATAGTTTCAAGGCAATCAGGCATGCAACTTTTCTTCGGATCAGCTGATTTCCTCTTTTTTTTATTCCCATTTCAGCCATTCAAAATAGAAAAACACTGTACAAAGTCTTCTGAATTTTGGAATTTCCTCTTTTTTTGTGATCGTACAGTTGCATGCCTGGGCAATGTGTTGGGGAGGGATTTGTATTGATAAGATGCTAGGGGCTTAGGAGATAATAAGTAACAGCTTAGGGAGCAAGGGGATAGTAAGAAAGAGGCTAGGGGTAAGGGAAGATGTAATAGTTACGAGGCGAGGAGTAAAAGAACGAAATTGGAATTGGTCAAAGGCTAGCGGGCTGAGGTGATAATACAGAAGGGGCAAGGCAGGAAGATGTAATAGTTAAAGAATCAAGGAATATGGGAAGGAATTGGAATTTGTAAGAGGCTAGGGAGTTAAGGGATAAATACTAAGAGGCAAGGTTAAGGGGATTCAGAATTGGTAAGAAGCTAGGGGGCCACTGGGATCGCTAATAAGAGGCTAATATGCGAAGGGGGAATTATGTAATAGAAACGAGGCAAGACATAAGAGAATGGGTTGGAAAGTGGATGCTTGGGGGAAATGATGGAATGATTAACAGGCTCGTGGGGATAGGAAAGAAACTGGAAAGCGGGGAAGCAGTATTTCAATAAATGCAGGAAATGTGTCATTTTCACTCTGCGTCCTTAAGATCACGTTTTTATATTTTTCCATTAGGACGAGCACAAGATTTCCCTTGATGAACTGTATGCCAGGCTTGGTACGCATCCTGATACGGTAAGTGTCGTGATAATGATCATTTCCCATGAACAGCGTAACTTGAGCTACAGGCCTGAATTTCTTTGGATAGATCAAGTTTAACCCATATCCGGAGTGCCAACACTTTGTGTACACATTGCCTTCACTAGACATGTATCTTGCAAAAAACGTGTGGCTGTTACCAGCACCGAATTATGGCTACGACTTGAAATTGCACACGAGTCTTATGGGACATGGCTGCAGTGGCTACCATAGACATGTGTGTAATATCAAGCCGTACCCAAGTCATTCTGACATCGATGTAACCGCCGGGCACCAACCAGTTAGTATAATACATGTGTGCAAATGACTTGGAACCAGCGTGTGTCAGCGTTTACCCTGCCCATTATGTTGAGCAATTGTTTAGAATGCATTGATACTTTTAATAATATAACCAAATATATGGATGTAATATGCACTGCTTCCCAACCCGGTGGAATGACCCATATACACTGTTAATTTACGCGCAGTTGAAAATGACTGCGCGGGTTGATTACTAATTTGGATTTTAAAAAGTTGGCAGCTATGTTGTATTGCCATGGCACTATGAGCAGTTGCCCTGCTAAGTGCAACAAGATGCAACAGAGCACGGGGACTTGGGTTGCTCGCTAAATGCAACAGTAGGCAACAGCAGTTTACCTTGGTGGCTCTCTGTTGCATTTAGCAGGATTAGGGGTAATCGTGTAAATGTCGCATCCTTGGAGACAACTCCTGTACCTCCGCTACCACACCCATGTTTACATTACATACCTAGTGTGGAATTCCTTTGTTTTCGTGTAGTTAAGAAAAACCTGTGATAAAAACTCATTTTACTCACACTGTGAAAAATCTTTCAACCCAAATCTTTGACTATGATTCCCTTGAGTGTTTCTCTTCATTTTGCGACAAATAAACCTAACCAAACAAATGCATCTAAACCTGTTTTCCAGAGAGGGGGAAACCTTGAGTGGACATGGGCAAGTCCACACAACGTATCTGAAAAATGGTTTATGTGGACATCTTTTGTTCGGAAGTCCACACAGTGAATGTAATGCTTGTACACTAGTTTATACACCCATACTGAAATTTGTATCCTTGTGGAGACATTTCTTTGTTTTCGAGTCTGAAAGTACAGTTTCAAAATGCTCGTATTTTAACCAGAATTAATTTCCTTGTCTGAAATTCGGACTTAATATCCCTTTCCTAAAACTCTACCATTTGCGACGATCAACACACCTTGGAAATTCCTAGTTTTTGAGTAAAATCCATATATTTCTTCGTAAAAACCTTGTGGAGACGTATTCATCTATAGAAATTGCCCTGTAGAGACGTATACAATCTTTTGTTCCCTATTCAGGCATGCAACTTTTCCTCGGATCAGCTGATTTCCTCTTTTTTTCACTTCCAATGTGTGCCATTGAAAATAGAAAAACACTGCACAAACTCTTGGGAAGATTTGAATTTCCTCTCTTTTTGTGACTTCCCAGTTGCATGCCTGCCTATTGTGTGCATGTCTCCAGAGGGCATGGTGTATCAGATCACCCACGCTGCTCTCTTCCGCAGAAGGCCCTTACATTTGGATTAACGAATTGCTCTATTACTACTTATTCAGGGTCTGACGAAAGCTCGTGCAGCGGAGATCTTGGCTCGGGACGGACCCAACGCTCTGACTCCGCCCAAGACCACCCCGGAATGGATCAAATTCTGCAAGCAGATGTTTGGTGGTTTCGCCACGCTGCTCTGGATCGGCTCGTTCCTGTGCTTCTTTGCGTTCGGAATTGAGGCGGCCAGTATTGATGAACCTAACAAGGACAATGTGAGTTGTTTTTGTTTTTGTTTTGTTACGCTTCTGGAAAATCACTCTATCTCTCCAAAGTTTTTTGTCAGTACATTTTTTGACTGAAACAAGGCATTTTTTGACTGAAACAAGGCAAATACCGAAGCCTCCCAAACAGTAGAAAATAAGTTCTTTTCCTGCATGTACCTTTTTAAAGAAATTTAAAATTCAAGCGGTAGAACATTTCTGTGGGTATGAGTGTAAGTACAACTACTTTGCAATGAGTATGAGTATTTTTGCAATGAGTAAGAGCACAAGTGTTTTGCAATGAGTATGAAAACGATGACAGGTCATTTTTATTCTTGCAAGTACTAGTAAGAGTTCACTCTAAGGAGTATGAGTATGAACCCAAAAAAATGTACTGGAGTACAAACACGAGTATGAGAACTGCAACAAAGGTAGAACGCCACGGTCCAGTGGTTACGGTGTTTGACTCATGTACGAAGGTGCGTGGGTTTGAACCCTGCCAGGAACATGGTGTTTGTGCCCTTGGGCAAGACACTTTACTACAATTGCCTCTCTCCACCCAGGAGTATAAATGGGTACCTGTGAGGGTCGAGGACCGATTGAGCGCTGATATCGGCTGCCGCGTGGTCCCATGGCCTGATGAACGGGGTAATAACTGTCAAGCGCTTTGAGATTGTTGATATGATAGAAAGCGCTATATAAGCACAATTATTATTATTATCAGACTAGTGAGTAGTTTGAGTGAACTGTCTCTGATGTATGGCTATCTCTCTGTGGCTTTGCAGTTGTACCTGGGTGTCGTGCTAGCCACTGTGGTCATCGTGACGGGTTGCTTCTCTTACTACCAGGAAGCCAAGAGCTCTAAAATCATGGAGAGTTTTAAACACATGGTACCGCAGGTAGGTATCAGTAGGGCATCCGGGAATGTAAGAGTCTTGCACACTTTCACAAATCTCTGCGTTCAACTCGGATCCAGGACAGAGATTTTGGAGATTTTCGGATTTCTTTGAACATGAACAAGAATCCAACACGGCTTCTACGTGGGTCCTGTGCTCTGCATGGGTACATTCCAGCACTGGTAAATCCGGCACTGGTAAAATGCGGCACTGGTAAAATCCAGCACTGGTGAAATCCGGCACTGGTAAAATCTGGCACTGGTAAAATCCGGCATTGGTAAAATCTGGCACTGGTAAAATCCGGCATTGGTAAAATCCAGCACTGGTGAAATCCGGCACTGGTAAAATCTGGCACTGGTAAAATCCGGCATTGGTAAAATCCGGCACTGGTAAAATCCGGCACTGCTAAAATCCGGCACTGGTAAAATCCGGCACTGGTAAAATCTGGCACTGGTTAAAATCTGGCACTGGTAAAATCCAGCACTGGTAAAATCTAGTCAAAAGAGGGCGCACCTCAAGTAGGGCACAAATACAAGAGGGCTGTTTAAACAGACAGACGCCATTTTAAGTAGCGGCGGGCTAAAAATTACTATACCGAACTATCTTTATAAAGAACAGTTTTTGTGGATCCCGTGATGTTTGGTATAACGGCGTTCCACTGTTCTTATATCTCCGTAGTGAATTTGTGTGTCTTTTTCACCTGCTTAAAAACAATTTATAAGTAATGAATTCGAACGTTTTACTTCAGGGAACATTTTTTTCTTTCCTTTGCAATTCCAGGAAGCTTTAGTATTCCGTGATGGTGCATGGTCCTCATTAAACGCTACTGAAGTTGTCGTAGGTGACATTGTAGAAGTCAAAGGAGGCGACAGGATACCGGCTGACATCAGGGTCATAGAAGCAAGAAGTTTGAAGGTGAGGGAACCGATGAATGGCTTAGAGATTTGGAGGATATGCTGTTACTTTGAACACAGCAATCTGTGGCTTATCCAGTCATGTTTTTACCGGTTTTTTTTTTAAATGAAGTAACACAAATTTGGGCCACTGTTTTAGAATAATTACCTGTTTTTTTATCCCCTTGGACCCAAAACCTGGATAAATGATACTGACAGCAACTCATCTCAAACAAGTGCTGCTAAGTTTTTCAATTATTTTGTTGACTTAATTATGTTTTCTTCCTTCTCTTCGTTTGGCCAGGTTGATAATTCCTCTTTAACCGGGGAGTCTGAGCCCCAGAGCCGCTCTCCAGACTTTACTCATGAAAACCCGCTAGAGACTAGGAATATTGCTTTCTTTTCAACTAATTGTGTTGAAGGTGAGTCAACATAGTTTTTATTGTATTATATTTAAAAAAACAAACAAAAAAAAAACACATGTAGTAGAGCATAACGTCATGATGTCTAAAACTATTGCTTCGAACAAACAACAAATGGTGCTCTGAGTCGCTAAACAAATTGCCTACTGGGCCCAATTTGACGGCGCTGCTAAGCACAAAAATTTGCTCAGCACAAAAACAGTCTGGCTTATAAAAGCAGGTTACCAGCCAAAACTCCATGTGAGTTTCATGCTAAGCAAACATCAGCTGAATACTAATCACGAGATATATACATCGCGTGGAGTTTTAGCTGGTAACCTGCTTTTATAAGCCAGACTTTTTTTGCGCTAAGCAAATTTTTGTGCGAGCACCGCTGTGAAAATGCCTACAGCTGAAATCCAAAGCCTGGGGTTTGAGCAAAAAGTGCATTCATCCTCGATCCTCCGACATCCTCCTCCTTTTCAAACACCATTCATCCTCAATCCTTCAAAATCCTCCAAAACTGCCTGGAGAATTTTGGAGGATTGAGGTGGGTTAGTGTTAAAGGTGGGTGTATATTTATCCAATTCTTGTTTTGGTAGGTACGGGCAAGGGTGTGGTGATCCAGTGTGGTGATATCACCGTCATGGGTCGCATCGCCAACCTGGCCTCGGGCCTGGACACTGGCAAGACCCCCATCGCCCGGGAGCTGGAGCACTTCATCCACATCATCACCTCGGTGGCCGTCTTCCTGGGCGTGTCCTTCTTCATCCTGTCCTTCCCGCTGGGCTACGAGTGGCTGGAGGCCGTCATCTTCCTGATCGGCATTATCGTGGCCAACGTGCCCGAGGGTCTACTGGCTACTGTCACTGTAAGTCTCATACCAGTAGGGGTGTAAAGATACCAACTTTTACAATCGCCTAGGGCTAAGGGTTAGTGTTCTGTATCTGTGTCAGTTGATTATAGTCAGTAAAGCATCCCAAGGGAGACATCACACCAACTTAGAGAGAAGACAACGAGAAGAAATTGCAGCTTTAGAGGTGGGAGGAAAAGCCCAGGAGATATTCTGGGGAAAACCCACGGAATCAGGTATGGACTGAAAACCCAATCCACATATTGACCCAGGCGGGATTCGAACCCGGGTCACAGCGGTGGAAGGCAAGGAGAGTATCGCTTCGCCAACCTGACTCCCCTGTTACAGTCCTTCTGATTTGAGGCGTGCGATCGCAGACCCCACGCCATCGCACGCCTAAAAGCTTCCCGAGAAGTGTGAATAATTGCACGCCTGAATTTCCTTGGACCACAGATCACACACCTAGAAAACCACACACCTAGAAAAAACACACACCTAAAAGCTTCCTGAGAAGTGTGAATAATTGCACGCCTGAATTTCCTTGGACCACAGATCACACACCTAGAAAACCACACACCTAGAAAACCACACACCTAGAAAAAACACACACCTAAAAGCTTCCTGAGAAGTGTGAATAATTGCACGCCTGAATTTCCTTGGACCACAGAATCACACACCGAGATAATCACACACGTAGAAAAATCACACGCCTAGAAAAATCACACGCCTAGAAAAACCACACGCCTAGAAAAATCACACGCCTAGAAAAACCACACGCCTAGAAAAATCACACGCCTAGAAAAACCACACGCCTAGAAAAATCACACGCCTAGAAAAACCACACGCCTAGAAAAATCACACGCCTAGAAAAACCACACGCCTAGAAAAATCACACGCCTAGAAAAACCACACGCCTAGAAAAATACAGGTGTGCATTTTTTTCCCACACGCCTGTGATTTTCAAATCAGAAGGAATGCTGTTAGGGGTTAGAGTAAGGGGTTAGGTTTAGAGTGCGGGTTAGGGCTAGGGCTAGGGTGAGGGTAAAGTTTGTGCACAAGTCTTTGAAAGTGTTGTCCTATTGTGGTTGTTAGTGTAATTATTATTGTTATAAATTGGGAAGTGTCCATTGGCCATCTGGGTCATTCTATAAATTTGGGGTCCACTTTTTTCCCCGTCCCTGTTACATCTGACGTCTATGATTGTATAATTCTGATGCACTCCTTAATGCAGTCATCCTCCAAGAGTGATTATGAATAGCAAACTACCTACCCAACAAATAAACAATCATTTGAAGTCACTTTTAATGATGCTTGAATGGCAAATTACAAAGTACCAAGGTAACAGGGACAGGATAAATGTCACACTTTGGATCCCAAATTTATAGAATGACCCATCTACATACTCTTGCTCCCCACTCAGGTGTGTCTGACTCTGACTGCCAAGCGTATGGCCAGCAAGAACTGCCTGGTCAAGAACCTAGAGGCCGTGGAGACCCTGGGCAGCACCTCCACCATCTGCTCCGACAAGACGGGCACCCTGACCCAGAACCGAATGACCGTGGCCCACATGTGGTTTGACAACACCATCGTGGAAGCAGACACTACCGAGGACCAGTCTGGTATGGACAAATTCTAGATAAAGATGAACAGGTGGATGACTTTTGGGCATAGTGTGCAAGGGATATATCTCAAAACCGGCATTGTAATTGTCAAGCAAATGATACTTAGGTTTCTGCTGGTGCAATCTAAGGCCAAAAAAAAAAAAATATTCGGTCTCTGGTCAGACCAAAGTTCCGGAATTGACGCGGCCACGCGGTTTTTTTTTTTTTTTTTTTTTTTTTTCTTTTTTCTTCAAGCTTGGATTGTACAGACAAGGTAGGTACTATTTTGCTTTTTTGGTGTCCTCATGTACATTGGTGTCCTCCATAATTTGCCTTGGTGCTTTCGATCATTTGCCTTGGTGCAATTTCCCATTCCTTGGTGCTCTTTGGTAAAAAAAATTGAGGAGGTGCGGAAATAGAGGGCGCTGTTGGAGCTACCGCGGAACATTTTGGGGAAAAAAAGATCGACGCGCATGATTAAAATTGACGCGCGCGCTGACCAGAGACCGACTTATTATTTTTTTTGGCCTAATAATCGTTCCAAAATGGCAATCGTATGGACTGCGTGCAGGAACAATAGGTGACAATTTTTTTTAAACACTTAAGAAAGCTGCAGCAGAAGGAACACACACTGCTGGGGTGCTGTGGTCCAATGGTTACGGTGTTCGATTTGTGTGCCGTGGTACATGAGTTCGAATCCTGACCGTGGGAACATGGTGCTTGTGCTCTTGAGCAAGGCACTTTACCATTATTGCTTCATCCTTCAGATGGGACGTAAAGCCGTAGGTCCCGTGTGTTGTGTATTGCACGTTAAAGAACCCAGTAACACTTAACGCTAAGAGAAGGGGTTTGCCCGGGTGTTTCTGGCAGTGGCTGCAATATGCACCGCAGCACCTTGTCAACCCTTATAAGGTGCTACAGTGCCTTGAGTACATGTACCTAATTGTTGGTAGATAGGTGCGCTATATAAGAGTCCGTTGTTATTATTATTCGCACATACTGGATTGCGTGCATGTGGCCCGATGTACAGCAGGATTAGTTATACTCAGAGTGTGCACAGGGGCCAATTTCAGGGCGCTGCTAAGCACAAAAATTTGCTTAGCACAAAAAAAGTCTGGCTTATAAAAGCAGGTTACCAGCCAAAACTCCATGCGATGTATATTGCTCTTGAGTAGTATTGAGCTGTTGTTTGCTATAGCATGAAAATCACATGGAGTTTTGGCTGGTAACCTGCTTTTATAAGCCAGACCTATTTTGTGCTAAGCACATTTTTTTGCTTAGCAGCGCCGTGAAATTGAGCCCTGGCCAGTTGCATCTGCGCATCAGAATCAGGTGTCCAGGGTAATGCCTAACACCCAAGCATGTATCGTGCCAATAAGTCAAAAAGGAAAGAAAAAAAAAACCGATTGAACTCACTATTTTAGAAATAAATGAAATCACTGTATGAAGTGTTGAAAACTGTCAAGCTTCCTTTTTGGGCATGAGGCTTGGTGGTTACAGTTCTCAGTTGCGAGGCCCACTGGCCAGTCGCACGCGTGCACAGAGGTAATTTATAAGCATATAAGTATATGAGGTAATTTATATGCAACGCAGTGTATACAAAGTAAACAGTGATATTTATGGACAGGACACATGGCCGTTCTAGACCAGTGAAATAGCAGTTGTCAAAAGACGGGCTTTACTGTGAATATACAACAAGTGCTTTTGCAGTAATTTTCAGAAATGGATGGATTTGGGGGTTAGTATTTGATAGCAAATATTGTTACACTGACTTGGTTGAAGTTTTGTGTTCGTCGATGCCAGAAAAAGCCAAGAAAAACAATCATGTTCTTGTAGTCTTGAAGCAGTAAAGTCTGGTTCCCTGAAGCTTGTAAGGTCAGGGAACCAGTCTTGCTGGCTTGTACCCGTCCACATGCGTGTAATCTATTGCAAAGAAAAGGCAGACTAACCAAATATGGTGAATTAGGGGCAGTATTTGAAAAAAAGCCAGTTTTTTTCCCCAAATGCTGGTCGGCTGACCAGCGTTGGAAAATTGATACAAGTACACCGATTTTCTTGAAAATGACAGCACACCAGATGCCATGATTTTACACGATGCTTGAGACTGTCATTCACTAACAGTCCAGTAAGGTGCTTCATAAGAATTTAGTAGTTTTGTTTTTTGATGATTTTGCAAATGTTGTATATTCCCTTTAACAAAAATATTTTGATGATTTTGCATAAAGGACACTATCTCAACCTGCGGGGTTTTCCTGCTTTTGTCTCTCTCTATTCACAGGTGATACATTGGACAAGACTACTCCTAGCTGGAAAGCTCTGGCTCGTATTGCTTGTCTGTGCAACAGGTCAGAGTTCAAGGCAGGCCAAGAGGCGGTCCCTATCCTAAACAGGTGGGTACATAACTGGGGGGAAAACAGCTTGACAGTTTTGCTCATTACGACCCAATTTAAAGTTATAGTCCATCATTTGTAATTTGTGCATTTTGTTCGTTTGAAGCAACAAAAGTGCTCAAAATCTAAAGAAGGGTACTGAACAAATAACCTGATAAAGTTTCAGCTCAGCTTCAGCTGTATATTCCAAGAAAAACAGCATTTTAGGATCTCAATTTCAAATCAAAAGTTGCAGAATCATGTTTTGAATTGCGCCTAAATTCAGCGTCCGAGACACGTTCTCGCTGAGCCGAATGCAGCTACGCGATGTCGCGCACTGATCTGACGAATTATAGCAACCGCGTGTGCGTCGTGCCAATGCTTGCGCGCGCTTCGCCGAATAACAAAACGAACTACTAATTTAAATTTTCATTCGGCACGTCTTAAGAAGTACCGTTGGAAATGCCTTCTTTCATTGATTACTTCAAAATGACAGCTTGCCAGAAAGAATAATTTCACAGAGAGTTTAGTCCCCTTACTATCTTTCAACCAAGTATGTTTTTCAACAATAATTACGCCAGTTACTTTTCGGATAGCTGCAAATGATGGACTATAGCTTTAAGACGGGATTTTGACTAGTCTTTTGTCCTCTGACTGATTGAGTGAATGGCTGTGTCACTGAATGAATATAGACAACATTTGAGTCCAGCTCCATCAAAGCAAACCCATTCCTGTTTTTAATTGGCAATTACTAGGCCATCAGCCTGGGGGTTTGGTCGGTATCAAATGAGGGGAATAATGCTCATTGTGATTTTTGGCAAGGTATGCACCCCTGTAGTTGGAAAATATTCGATGGGATTGCAGCGGTGGCTGCTTTTTGGGTGCTATCACTTTTTTTTTCATAAAAATGGCATCCAAACTATGCTTGTTAGGCCAAAAAAAAAATATTTGGTCTCTGGTTAGACCAAAGTTCCGGAATTGACGCGGCCACGCGGCTTTTTTTTTTTTTTTTTTGCTTTTATTTTTTGTTCAAGCTTGGATTGTACAGACAAGGTGGGGTACTATTTTGCTTTTTTGGTGTCCTCATGTACATTGGTGTCCTCCATAATTTGCCTTGGTGCTTTCGATAATTTGCCTTAGTGCAATTTCCCATTCCTTGGTGCTCTTTGGTAAAAAAAAATTGAGGAGGTGCGGAAATAGAGGGCGCTGCTGGAGCTACCGCGGAACATTTTGAGGGAAAAAAAAGATCGACGCGCATGATTAAAATCGACGCGCGCTGACCAGAGACCGACTTCTTTTTTTATTTTTTGGCCTTACCACATATAATTAATCTGGTTCAAGCATATTGGCGGTCATTTAAAAGCGATAACACCCCAAAAACTGTCGCCGCTCACACTGCAAAGCTATCACACATTTTCCAATTATAGATGTGTATACCTTGCCAAAAATTGCTTTGAGCATTGCTCTTTTTTGATCATTTGATACCGGTGGCCTAATTTTTGGACCGAATCTGATAGCCTATACCTGAAAATGTACCTTTTTTTAACGAGAAATTACTTGCTCAAATTGAAGATAGGGCTGGTACCACTGATCTCTATATAAAGACTGGATAGCGGATATCCATACACCATTCACACAGTAGACTTTGCATATTGACCAATTCGCCCCTGGTCTCACGAAGATGGCCGCGTATGTTACGAACGTTCTACGCGTATATATAGCGCGCACTGTATCAAGAGTTGAGGCGCATTTTGGTCACGTACACATATTATGATGCTCTAAATAGGACACATTTCCGTAGAGATTATTATTTCCAAAACGCCGAAAAAGTGAACTGCAGCATTATAAAAGTAAACCACGACGTAAGAGAAAATTGCAAACCTTGGTCAGTGGTGGTGGTCAAAATACATATGGGTCATTCCATGAAGTTGGGTACACAATCAATGCATCAGTGACAGTGGTCCAGTGAAAACAAAGTGCTGTTATTTTTTTTTTGGACAAATTAATCACATTTTTTATCGATCTCGATTTATTGAGGATGAATGGGCGAACAAGAAAAAAAAATTTTTTGGGACCTCCAATTGGTCGAAACCCAAACTACGTCACCAAAATATCATGGTATCCATGTTTATTTTAAGAATATTTTGTGACTTGAAACATACTCGGTCTTCAATGTACGATTCTGTGTTCCCAAGAGTATATTTTAAATAATGTTTTGCAAATAAAGTTGAACCAATAGACCGTTTACGATTCCCTGATTGTTATTTATTCCATGCGTCTTGCATTTCTGAAGTATCGATCACGGAAGTCTCAGCGCCCATCGTAACATTTCGTGTCAGCAATGTTGCGAGGTGAAACCGAAATTTACCGACATACTGTAAAATGTCAGAGTCATTTAGAAGACCCAAATAACGAATTCCACGAGAAACAGTAGCATTCCATTCGTATCCAACCAGAAATCATGAAAAAAACTACACGATTTTTAAAAAACAACCGTGGTTACTCACTGGTAGTTGACTTCGCATCCACTAAAAAACGTGACGACGTGATAATTAAATGCGATCGCGCGTGCGCCCTCTATAGATTTTCTGGATGAACGTCTTGCGATCAAAGTACCCGGATGCAACCCTTGCTTTGTTGCAAGAAGAAACCCGCGTGCTTTCGGCAACTTTTCCATCGTGGGTGCCAATAGTTTTGGTGTCATTTTTTTACGGTGTGATGTCAGTTACGAGGTATACCACATTCGGGGAGGACAAACAAGGGTTAGATTACAGATTTACCAACACGGTGCCTGGTAATCCCGAAGAACTACTCCCTGTGTATGCTGAAACATGAATAACATCTCAAACAATTGTTGCAGTATAGTTGACACGCTAAAACCTGCACTTTAGCTACGGAATGGATACGAAACAAAATGGTAACCGCGTGACGACGTGATATTCCATTTCCGTGATTTGGCATAAAACATGCTCATGCACGGTCAAACGGCCTCCAAATTACTAGATATGCCACATGAAGTACAAGTAGACATCGATGATTAAGATGGTTGTACTTAAGTTTACTTACGATCCGGAAGAAAAGTGAAATTTTCCGTTCATTTCGGAGAGCTCCCCTCGCGATCTTGAACACGTTAAATTTCCGATCGTGTTTAATGTTTGAACGACGCGATTTCTTCTACATGCCCAGCGTACATTCGATGGTCCCCGTATCCCGAGTGCGATTCCGTTACCGAGCGCGCGCGATGCATCGATTATGATAATGAGTAGACTGGATCACGTTTGTAAACACATGTGCATTTCAAACGATAATAGGGAGTCGGGAACTAGCGCAGCTTTTATGGCGGGTACCAGTTCAAGCTGGTTCCCGATTCCCTTTTACAGTTCAAAATGCACATGTATGTGTTTACAAACGTGACTCATTATCATAATCGTGCGCGCTCGGTAACGGAATCGCACACGGGATACGGGGACCATCGAATGTACACTGGGCATGTAGAAGAAATCGCGTCGTTCAAACATTAAACACGATCGGAAATTTAACGTGTTCAAGATCGCGAGGGGAGCTCTCCGAAATGAACGGAAAATTTCACTTTTCTTCCGGATCGTAAGTAAACTTAAGTACAACCATCTTAATCATCGATATCTACTTGTACTTCAGGTGGCATATCTAGTAATTTGGAGGCCGTTTTGAAGGTGAAATCTGATGTTTTTTGTTGGAAAATGTTGGTTTGGGACAGTGACAGGATGATGTTGCCCAGGTCGCGGTATTAGCTTGGACCCCACTATCGCCAGACCATGTCCAAAATGTTAAAAAAGGCGATAAGTTGGGTCCAAGTTACTCGGACTAGAAGAGGCTAAGCTTTCACAAATGACGCTAAATATGTGTCCCGAAACCCTAACTGAAATTGCACATCGTAATGGAAATATCACGACGTGGTTTCCATGCGACGGTGTGGTACGATTATGTGTTTTGGCCTGTGCTTTTGCCTGCGTTGGATGGTCAACGTCTGATCTATTAAAAATGGGGTCCTTTTCATTTATCTGTTTGAAGGGGGTTTGAAAGTTGGTGATTTTTACTGAAGTTAGTCTAAAATAAGAGGGGAAGTGTCAACATTGATTGGTCACAGGCCAGGATACCGCCAGACCATTCCATTCTCATAATGGGGGTGGAGCATCATGTGATTTTCTTTCTCTGGTTTGAATTAAGATATTTCAACATTTTTTTCAAACAAAAGAAACAAAACACATAAGAATAAATACTACAAAACTAAAAAAAAAATCTTCCCCTAAGAAATAAATTCATAATTTGCATTGATTTAGGCTTCAGCATGTTCAGTAAATTCATCCATTTGGGAATGGTTAATCCAAGGAACAATGCATCCAACAACACTGTTATGTAATGGGTACTAGAGGGTGGGAATGGAGTGGGGAAGGGGAGGGTAGAGTGGGGAAGGGGGGGGGGGGGGGTAGGGGAGGGTAGGGACGGGATACGGGAAGGATGGGGATGGCAAAATGGTGTAGGCATCACATCTTGAGATGTAATCAGAACGTTCGATAATTTGGCATCCATGTTACATGTGAAACCCAACCCTGTCCAATAATGGGAGTCTCGAAGCTAAACTCTCTCACATCTTTAGCTGATGTTTCAAATTTGTTCATTTTTAATTAATATACCGGTAAATGAAGTTTTACTCATTTTTTTATCAAGTTTAAAGTTTATTACCTGATTAAGACTGAATTGTTTGTGATGGACTTATGATGGACTTGCAGGGACTTGTGATGGACTCGACTACAACACTGTTATGTAATGGGTACTAGAAGGGTGGGAATGGAGTGGGGGAGGGTGGGGTGGGGTAGAGGAGGGTAGGGACGGGATACGGGAAGGATGGGGACCGCAAAATAGTTTAGGCATCACATCTTGAGATGTAATCGGAACTTTCGATAATTTGGCATCCATGTTACATGTGAAACCCAACCCTGTCCAATATGTTATGGGTACTAGAAGGGTGGGAATGGAGTGGGGGAGGGTGGGGTGGGGTAGAGGAGGGTAGGGACGGGATACGGAAAAGGCTGGGGACCGCAAAATAGTTTAGGCATCACATCTTGAGATGTAATCGGAACTTTCGATAATTTGGCATCCATGTTACATGTGAAACCCAACCCTGTCCAATATGTTATGGGTACTAGAAGGGTGGGAATGGAGTGGGGGAGGGTGGGGTGGGGTAGGGGAGGGTGGGGACGGGATACGGGAAGGATGGGGACGGCAAAATGGTTTAGGCATCACATCTTGAGATGTAATCAGAACGTTCAATAATTTGGCATCCATGTTACATGTGAAACCCAACCCTGTCCAATATGGGAGTCTCAAAGCTAAACACACTCACATCTTCAGCTGATGTTTCAAATTTGTTCATTTTTAACTAATATAAATGAAGTTTTACTCATTTTTTATCAAGTTTAAAGCTTATTACCTTATAATCCATATATCAGTTTCACGTGTAACAGGACACCAATATTTTGGTGTCATTGTTACATGTGAAACCACAAAATTATTTTGCATGGATACTGTCTTGTGTAAAAGAAATGGTAACATGGCAAAATAAGTTGAACGTGTGGGTTTGCTTCCTTGTGTTTTACACGTTTGGTGTAGACAAACATTTTTGGAACAGACAATACAAGAAAAAATATGTATGAAGGGCCAAATTTATATAATTTGCCCATTTCATGTGAGTGAACAACAGCTGATTTCAATAATCTCATAACGATTAGCCAAAAAATGTATGAATTTAATTAATGTACTTATCAAGCCCTTTTAAATACATTCTATACTTGGAGCATATCAATTCTATAAAATAACAATGGGAAAGGTGATTCCTCATGTTTGGTATCCATGTTACATGTGAAACTTGCTTTGCATCTGTTAATAAACAACACTGTTAAAAATAAAACGTTTGACAAGATGTCTCAAAATGGTTTATTATTTTAGACACTACATATATGTCAGCACCTAAAAAAGTTATTTTAGTGCTCTTCACATTATTTTGAAAAACTCACCCTCATGTCACACATTCTGTACCCAACTTTGTGGAATTACCCACGTATAAGTTAAGTGAACCGCGATGTTACAAAAGAAATCATGTTGTCTATAAAGACGGCAACTTGTCCTTTGTAGAGCACCAGCCGGTCTCACCGGTCTCACCAATATGGCGTCAAATTCATTCATTGTGCGGCTCTTAATCCGCTATCCAGTCTTTATATAGAGATCAGTGGCTGGTACCAAATGGCCTGTGAAATGTTTCCGCCCCAAATAGTATCATTCGGAAGAAAACAAGAAGTTTAAATGAGTTCCATTTTGGAAGTGCAGAGTGTTACGTACGAAATCTTGTTTAGTGAGTAAATGTTGTGCACAGTTTTTCACTTTTTTTCTCTAAAAACATAACATCCACTGAGCTGACACTTCAAACAGATTAGGCTTTGAACATTCTACTTCGAACAAAATGCAAGAAAAGCAAATGATCCTATACGCCTTTTATTCAAGCCTTCTATTCCCAACTTATTCCGCTCAGGGAGACCACAGGTGATGCGTCCGAGTCGGCCCTGGTGAAATGCGTAGAGCTGGCCATGGGCAGCGTGTTGGACTTCCGCAACAAGAACAAGAAACTGGCTGAGATTCCCTTCAACTCGACCAACAAATACCAGGTACGCTCCATCCCCCCAATACTGAACATGACAGTCACACACACAAAAGGAGTGGAGTGCCATTATTTCTTTCTTCTGGTAATGAAACTAAAAGGACTCCTCAAAAGCACCACAGGACCTGTAGCTCACAAGCGTGAAGAAAACTTAAGAGAGAAGATAATGAAGAAGGTTCGGTTTCAGTGGTGGGAGAGGCAACCCAACAAGTAAAACTCTGGGCGAAAGCCACAAAATTAGGTAGAGACTCAAAACCCCATCCAAGTGTGCAGCTTGGCAGAAATTGAATCCAGGTGTAACCGAGTTGGGAAGGTTACGAAGAAAATTCAAAAGTGACACTGGGATATAATTCCACTAAAATGACCAAATTTTATTACTACAAAAAACTACAAAACGACGGTCATTCTTCAGCAGTCTGTAAGTAACAGAAAACAGAAGAATAGAAATTAATTTAATTTCATTACAAATGTACAATGACTGAATTCAATTATTCAATTATTTTTAATAACCATCTCTCCTTATCCTTGGTTATCTCTCATCATAATGAGAAATTGCATTACCGGTTCTGTAAACCTCAATTTCCATTGATTTGTTCCATAGAAATGTTTCTGGTGCGAATTTACAAGTACATTTATTAAGAGAGGCATCAAAATATTAAAAGGCATACAAATTTAATCAAGGAGAAATAGAGGCGTAAGGCGAGGATAGAACCACTGCGATAAAAACCATTAAATCATTTCTTCAATCTTGCTGCAATTTACAGGTCTCGGTGCACGAGTGCGAGGAAGACAGCCGCTACCTCTTGGTGATGAAGGGCGCCCCCGAGCGCATCTTGGATCGTTGCAGCACCATCCTCATGAAAGGCGTGGAGGAGCCAATGGGAGACGACATGAAGGTTGCGTTCAACAACGCCTACCTGGAGCTGGGTGGACTGGGCGAACGTGTGCTCGGTACGTAGACAAAAATTTGAAGACTTAGAGAAGGACAAACACTGAAAACTTTTGTAACATGTAGTAGTAACATGTGGAGTGTCATGGCCTAGCGGTCAAGAACACCGGACTCACGTTCTGGTGTTTCAGAGGCAACAGTGACGTGGGTTCGAGCCCGCCGGCGGACACTTGTGCTCTTAAGCACGGCACTTAACCATTATTGCTTCGTCCTTCGGATGGGACATTAAGCCGTAGGTCCCGTGTGTTGTATAAATGCACGTAAAAGAACCCAGTAAACACTTATCGCTTAAAGAGAAGGGGTTTGCCCTGGTGTTTCTGGCCTCCTGTATAAACTCTCACGTGGAGTATTTAGGAGAAGAACCAACCAAGAACCAAGTAACAGGGGTGTGAAATCTCAGCTTTAAAGCTGATTTCAGCTTTTTTTGTTTTGGATTTCAGCTTTTTCCCTCACTTGCTGTGTACAAAAGTATAGGAGATTTCCAAAGTTCAGCCTTTTTTTAAACCTTTTTCAGCTGTTTTCAGCAGCGGTCACTCACACCCCTGTAGCAAGTCAACCAACCCTTCAAATTTTGGCTTTGCCCCGATGTACTGCATAATGGCAATTTCTGAGTTGATGCTCATGGTGACATGTCACGTATTAACTGTCTAACCATTCCATACCGTTCAGTGATTTGCAGGTCTGCACAGTACCATTATGATTCTTAGTGAAAGAGAGACCTAAAATCAAGCAGTAAAAGTCCATGAAGTTAGAGCTAGCACCAAAGTTTTCAGAAGCAGACCTTATAGCTGTGTCACATTTGTTTACAATAGAGGATATTGTGGACATGTGATGCCGACTTTCAACAAACTGTTTTGTTTTGCCTTGCCATGTAACAGAGATGAAACTTTCCTGATTTTAATCGGTCATCCGACTTTGTGACTTTACATTTTAAATCATGGACATGATTGAAGTGATATCATAAATGGTGCCCTTGTCTTTCGGACTTTTTCCTCGACTTTCTCAACTTAAGAAGTGAACTTCTTTGTTGATGAGGCCGTTACGCACACCGTAGTTCAGGCTTCTTGATTTTGTGAAAACACTGAACATTTTTGTCATCGTAAAGTTTCCTTTTTAGATCGAAATGAAAACAGGAGTCGGGATGTCCGGAAATTGGCTATGGAGTGTATTATACATACATGCACACTTGTATATGTGTAACTGCAGCGTGGCCCAGATTTCGGACACGTAATGTTAGGCCTATTTCCCAAATTTTTTGTCCCATATGCCAGTTTCATCTCTGGCACATTTCTTGAATTATGGGTGGCTTCAAACTTTTGTGTTTGTCTTGCCTGTCGGTTGCCGGTCATCATGACGTTGCAGGTGACGTGGTACATAATCCGTGAGTTGTCCCTCTTTTTTCCCCCAGGATTCTGCCAGTACTTCCTGCCGGAGAAGGAGTTCCCCCAAGGGTTTGAGTTCGACGCTGAGGATGTCAACTTCCCACTGGAGGGTCTGTGCTTCGTGGGCCTCATGTCCATGATCGATCCCCCGCGTGCCGCGGTGCCTGACGCCGTGGGCAAGTGCAGGAGTGCTGGTATCAAGGTACGTATTAAGGATTGGACAGCTCGGAGCTTAGAATCGACCAGAATCAATTTCCAAACTTGAACTCCAAATCGGAACTCCACCATTTTTGTTTAGAAATTTCAGTTCCCCTAAACTAATTGTAGATTCCAGACACTTCAGAGAAACTTGTATATATGGGGGGAAAGGTAGACTAGACCGTCTGTCACTGGTGCATATTTTCGTTTGAAGCAACAAAAGTGTTCAAAATCTAACAACGGGTTTTTATCACAATAACCTGATGAAGCGTCAGCTCTGTGAATGCTGTATCCGCTCCGGTCACCAGTACCCCCTCACCGGCAAAGAGAGTACAGTTGGGGGTGACCGACCGACGCCATCTTGCCTGACTGCAATTCATGTGCCGCGAAGCGCGCCCACTGCGTGTACATAGTACAAATCCCCTGGTGTACGTGCGTCGCACACAAGGAACGGTGCGCGCCAACCAGCGAAATGTCCCGCCCATGGGACGTCGTTGCTGGGTAAAAGGGCGCCCTCTTTTGTCAGCGCACGGAGCCCATATTCCGAGAAAACACAATATTCTGGATCTCGATTTCATTTCAAAAGTTGCTGAGTCATGACACAATCCATAAATCAACATGTCGGCATGTGATGTCACACACTAAACATCTGTACGCCGTGTCAACGCGCTTGCACCCATTCACAGATTGGCCCAAATCCAAACCAACTGCCAACAGAAATTTCCGAAAATTTGTCGCTTGACACATCTTTGGGAATGCCAGAAGGAATAATTACACCGCTTAACCCTAACTCCCCAGCATAATTTACTGGGAACTCTACCCATTCAGGCAAATTCCAACACCCACATGGGAAATTGTACACACACACTGTTGGACTTAGTTTCTGGAGGCATGCCAAACCCAATGTAAAAGACCATCTGTTTAGGGGTACTGTACCTATCCCAACAGATTTAAACAAAACCTGCTGTTGGGCTTTGATGGGTTGAGTTCGGTTAGGGTTAAAGAAGTAACTACGAGCAAGTTGAGGCAAGGACCATAAGTCGACTAGCGGTTGATTTGTGACGTAACTTACGCCTCCGTACTAATGGCAATGTGCGAGCACCGCCAGTCAATGTGCAAACGCCTCTGGAAAAAAATTCTTGGTCCTGGCTCCCCGTTGTTCTTTATGATGTGCGTGGCTATTGGTCACCAGTGATGCAGCTGCACCCTGTGGTCCGGTTACATATAGTCGACTAGAGTAGTCCCACCATCGTGCGTTCGAGTGAAGCAGAGTCACGTCACGCATGCTTTGTTCATTCCCCGGAAACGGACAAATATGGCGGCTGGAGAGCGGAAATCTCAAGTGGTCTTAATACTTTAAAAGTTTACTTTATTTGAAGTCTAAGTAATCATTTAGGCCTATTTGAGTTCATTGCGACTTTTGAGGCTATAATTTCAGCCCAACCTTTTTGAGTTTTGCAATTGACTACAAAGCAGTAAATCTCAATGCTAAGTCCCAATCCGAAATGGGCCTTTTGGAAGTGAAGTTAGTCGAACTTTGGTTAATCATAGTCCTCGCCTGAGCTTGCTCTAAATGGCCCCAGTCATGGTGACCGTTTTAGCCGATTTTCGGCTAACTTTGACAGATTTTTTGTTAAAAAAAGGAGTTTGGCAGAAAATTTGACAGAATGGATTTTTTTGGGGCAGATTTCTGGCAGAATTATGCAAAAATGGTTGTTTGACAAAAAAAATTAGCAAATTTAAAAAAAGGGTACGTTTGTTTAAGAAAGCTTCAATCTTTTCAAACAAACCCTTGCATAATGGGACAGGTTGGCTGGTGTAGGTGCTGAGATTCACTGGGAACTGGACGTTGTTGTGACGTGACCGCGTTTTGCCTGACATTTACGCAATTTCATAACATCTTTATGTAGCTATAGATCGTTTATAATGTAATTTGAACCTTAATTAAGGCAATATTACAACATCTACATGTGATTTTAAGTGTTTATAGTGTATTTCGAGTATTTATGGGGAATTTGGCAGATTTTTGATAAATCTGACAGTTTTTTGAAGTGCATTTAGCAGAATTTGGCCATGATCTTACGGTCACCCTGGCCCCAGCTTAGTAGACATTAAACTGAGTCTCAAGTAACCCTGCCGTGTGTGTGGTGGATCCCCAGGTTATCATGGTTACCGGTGATCATCCCATCACAGCCAAGGCTATCGCCAAGGGTGTGGGCATCATCTCTGAGGGCAACGAGACCGTGGAGGACATTGCCGAACGTCTCGGGATCGACGCCTCTGAAGTCAACAAAGCGTATGTCCAATGTCAATCTTACGTTGCATTCCACGTATCAAAATATTCACCCCAACTCCCTAGTCATATTTTGCTAGGATGCAACCTCAATCCTGCAAAATCCTCCAACTGCCTTCAACTCAAAATTGCATGCAGCCTTAGTCCTCCAAAATCCTCCGTTATTTCTTGAGTGTGGTCCTTGGAGGGGTGACCGCTGCCTCATATCCTCCATCAATTACTGTTGAGCAGAGCCAGTGACATCCTGGAGCAGTGCAGAGGATTTCAGGTATAATTAAGGCCTAAATCTGTGCACGGCTGAGCATAAACAACGCATGGTCCGGCCTAAGACCTTGACAAAGTGCATCCTCTAAAATCAGCCACACATTTTTGCCATACAGCCTCGATCATTTTGCAAAGAGGATTTGGGATGATTTGAGAAGGTAAGGGTAAATTAGCACGTCTATCCATTTGCAATGGATTCCACAGCAAACCTGTGTGAGTTATACTGTCTGGATACGTCACTTGGTGATGCAACTGGCAACGTGTTGTTTGGTGCAAGGTCAAGTCTAACCAATCAGTCAACGTGGCCCGTTTAGCAACTGCCATTTTTGAGTTGTGAACAAATTTTGTGTCATAGAGGTGTACATTGAAATTTAGTGTTAGGCCAAAAAAAAAAATATTCGGTCTCTGGTCTGACCAAAGTTCCGGAATTGACGCGGGGATGCGGCTTTTTTTTTTTTTTTTTCAAGCTTGGATTGTACAGACAAGGTGGGGTACTATTTTGCCTTTTTGGTGTCCTCATGTACATTGGTGTCCTCCATAATTTGCCTTGGTGCTCTCGATCATTTGCCTTGGTGCAATTTCCCATTCCTTGGTGCTCTTTGGTAAAAAAAAATTGAGGAGGTGCGGCAATAGAGGGCGCTGTTGGAGCTACTGCGGAACATTTTGGAGAAAAAAAAATCGACGCGCTTGATTAAAATCGACGCGCGCGCTGACCAGAGACCGACTTATTATTTTTTTTGGCCTTAGTTTGGCTTTTTTTCTTTCATCCTAAAAGGAGCAAACCTCTTAAACTGCACTGATTATACACTGATCATCAACATTAATTCCTCTGGGGTTTTGTGGCTTAAATACCTGCTAAACGAAAGAATGTGAAAGCGTTAACGGTTGCCAACTGCAACAGGATACGACAGTAGAATTGTTAATAATGTTAATAACGTGTGTATTTATGAAGCCCCTGTGCCCTTCAGTACTTGTTCTCAAGACGTTACATCATTATTACCTTGCTCAGTGGGCCAATGAAACATTCCAAAGACAATCTCAGCTCCATGGGGAGTACACAGCTCGATGCTGCCATTTTGGCGCAAAGCAGCTACAATCAATCACAATAACCATCTCTGCCCTCACAGGTACCCATTTACTCCTGGGTGGGGAGAAGCAATAAGTGACAAAGTGCCTTGCCCAAGGACACACGCACCATTACCCCAGGCTGGACTCGAACCCACAACCTGCAGAATAACCTGCGGACAACAAATTTGATGCTCCAGACCACGAGGCCGTTGCACTCCACAATGGGACTAGTTCCCACAGAATTGGCAATTCATGCACTGGTGCAGATGGCTCAGTGGAACCTTTACGTCTGCTTCTGACAGGGTTATAGGGGAACTTACGTCAGTGAAGGCGCAACATCCACCACTAAGAATCTTCCCCCTTTTTTTCTCATCTGGTTAATGAATGCAGGGATGCTAAGGCTGTGGTGGTCCACGGTTCTGAGCTCCGCGACATCACCAACGAGGAGCTGGACGACATCCTGGTGAACCACACAGAGATTGTCTTTGCCCGGACCTCCCCGCAGCAGAAGCTGATCATCGTGGAGGGCTGCCAGCGCGGCGGTGCCATCGTGGCTGTGACCGGAGACGGTGTCAATGACTCCCCTGCCCTCAAGAAGGCTGATATTGGTAAGAATGTGTGAAAGAGGTTTCTTTTGTCTTCTTACAAAGACTTGTGATTGTGTGTTTTCTCTCAGGAGGGGGGAGAGGGGAGGGGGTGGGGGGGGGGGTTGAAATCCCATCCCATCATCCCTCCCCCCTTCCTCCCAAACTTTGCAGCAACTGGCGATGGTGTCAATGACTAACCAGCCCTCAAGAAGGCTGATATTGGTAGGAATTTTAGGCTTCGTCTATAAAACACCAGGCTACTCAATTAATATGACTGCTTTGAAATTGGCTGGGCAAATTAAAAATTGGTTCCAGGTGCTATTTTGGAGTTTCACCTCGAAAAAAGAGATTTGCAATATAAAAGTTATTCACTTTTGAATGAGTCATCAGCCAAACAAAATCAACCAACGTTACGTTATTGAAGTATTTCTTCACAAAAATTTGAATTATTAGTTGGCAGACAATAATCTGGCTCTTCGCAGAGCGGGTTTGTTTGTGTACAAAATAAACCCCTTTTTCAGAGGGTTGCAGATGCCCAAACTCGGAATAAACTAGTTTTTGTTTGTTAAAACAAAACATACAAATTGAAAAGCTTTAGGCGAAAAAAAAACCCTCTTTGAAGAGCACAGAGAATGCAACTTAAAGTTCGGCATGGCACTGTTCTTTGGCTCAACTGGGTCTGCTGTGCTATCATTGCAAGTGGCGGTGGTACGGCACTGTTCTAAACGTTGTTTTTTTTCTTTTTGGCCAGGTGTGGCTATGGGTATTGCTGGCTCCGACGTGAGTAAGCAAGCTGCCGACATGATCTTGCTGGATGACAACTTTGCCTCCATCGTGACCGGTGTGGAAGAAGGCAAGTTCATTTAGAAAAACAAGTTACATTTGTGATGCCATCAAGCTACACGAGTCGTTTGTCGGGAATTTTCATTTGGAGATACAGTCCAAAATAGGGCCACTTCATCACATCCCTTCACCACATCTTCAAAAATTTGACCGGGGTCGACAAACGACTCATTGAGCTTGATCACATCACATTTGTAATGGAATATCCTTCATATTTCATGAGCGGAGAGCCTTGGTCCAATGGTTACTGTGTCCGACACATTTGCGATGGTATGTAGGATTTAAACCCTGACAGGGAACATGGTGTTTGTGTTCTTGGGCAAGACACTTTACCACAATTGCCTCTCTGCACCCAGCAGTGTTTCCCCTGCCCATTCAAACGTGAGGTGGCCCACCTCGCTACTTTCAGTGACCACCTCGCTCAATTTTTGCAAATATCACCACCTCGCTGTGAAGATTGGCAAAAAACAAAATATCAATTGAAAAATTTTCATTTTGTGTAATATATGAGCATTTTCCTTTACCTCCATGTATCAAGAACTCACAATTTCGATGTGTTTTTGGAATCATCGCGCATTTTTGTGAGCGCTGCATTCTTTTCAGTTTGCAGACTGTATAAATTTCGTTTCAATCATCAACTTGAATTGTTACCACCTCGCTCAGTTCATTAGCCAGGGGAAACACTGGCACCCAGGAGTATAAATGGGTACATGTGAGGGTAGATACTAGATTAAGCTGATATTGAACTGCTGCGGAAAACGGGTCTCATGACCTGATGAACAGGGGTAATAATTGTGAAGCGTTTTGAGACTTTTGGTATAAAGTGCTAAAATGGGTACCACATGATTAGAATTTTCCAGCTCATAAGAAATCAAAGTCTTTAAATATTTAATCATACAATAAAGGTACCAACGTTTGACCCTATACTACATAGAACTACATCGATATCAAACATGGAGTGCTCCATTTGTTTTGGGTGCTACAGGGAGTATTAGGCAGGGCGATCTTTTTGGGGGGGAGAGAGGGGTGAAGGGACTAATGGGTTTTAGAAAGATACCAGTTTTAAGTATTTTCTTTTGTTCAAAATTTAAGAGTATTTAAAGGGAAGATACAACATTTGCAAACATCACAAAACGAAATGATCAAATTATCACAAAATACCTTACTGGATTGCTAGGGAATGACAGTCCAAAGCATTCTGTAAAATTGAGGCTCCTGGTGTGTTGTCATTTTCAAGAAAAATGGGATTTTTTCCAATGCAGGTCGTCCGACCGGTGTCGCAGAAAACTGGCTTTTTTCAAAAAGTGCTCCTTATTGTTCACAGTTAGTTATTCCGCGTTTTCTTTGCAATTGATTACACAACTGTGAAGGGGTACAAGCCTGCTAGACTGATTCTCTGACCTTACAATTCCCCAAAGTCTATAAATTGCTCTGTTTCATCTTAAGTGGGGTCAGGGAACCAGACTACAAGAACATGATTGGTTTTCTTGGTTTCTCCAGCATCTACAAGCCCAAAACCTGAAACAAGTCATTTTAACAATATTTGCTATAACATACTAATCCTCCAAATCCATTTATTTCTGAAAATTGCAGCAAAAGCAAACGTTGTACATTCCCTTTAAAAGAAGGGAATATCTGTTTCATATTGCCACCTGAATCTTAACTATTGGTCAATTTATGGTCCAAGTTGGATTAAAAACAAAGAAAGTTACCGACTGATGTGGATTTTGGGGTTAAATTCCAGGCCGTCTGATCTTTGACAACTTGAAGAAATCCATTGCCTACACCCTGACCAGCAACATCCCCGAAATCTCCCCCTTCCTGTTCTTCATTCTGGCCCAGGTGCCCCTCCCGCTGGGCACTGTCACCATCCTCTGCATCGATCTGGGCACTGACTTGGTGAGTGTTTGCTCTGGGGGGTGTATTTCACCAAACTCATAACTTGAGAGATCAATTAGAGAATGAAAGTCTCGCCAGTACCAGTCCACGTTCACTTTTTCTGTGAGTGTCTTGGTACTAAATACTGACTAGTCTAGTCACAGGCTACCATGTTTGAATCTACCCAATAGTTACATGCGTGATTGACGGAACAAAAGTTGAGGTCAGCATATTTTTAATTTTATAAAAGTCATCAATTCGCAATATTTTAAATATGTTGTACATTGTAATGCTTTCTGTACTTCAAAATACCTATTAATTGCCCTTGATTGGTTGGGCCCAGTCAGAACAATTGCAAACAAAAAATTGCACACGTTGTAGATCCTATCACGGATCCTCTACACAAGTATAAAAGACTTCCCCAAATTTCTGGTTAGAGGCGTGACATGGCACTTGCGCGTCGCGCGAGACTCAGCGCACGACTGCAGTCTTTCAGCGGTCAAATTTCTGTCAAGACGCCAGCTGTCGGCGATCATGGCGCGTGTGCATTGTTCCACATGTTCTATGCGCTGTTCTATGCGCGGACACGGCATATCACGCCCCTAGACAAACCGTTCCGTACATTTTGTACACAAGCTCTGATGAGTTGTTTATCCTTGTGTAGAGGATCCGTGATCCTATACATGGTGCCCGGATGCTCTGAGTTCTCGTAAAATCTCGCAGATATTTGTGACCTGTTCTGTCAAAAGCAGACGCTTCTGGGCAGAGGTTGAAATTGAGATAGGGCAAAAAAACGCTGTGGGGGTGATTTTTTCCCCATTTTTTAATTGTAATCCTGAACATGTCTAAAATATACTATAAAAGTTTGAAACCCTAATTTGATCTCTAATTGTAGTATTTTTGATGATTTGTTAAGGTATATCAGTTAAAGAAACTACTGTTTTGTGACGTTCGTGGCCATTTTCTCTGTTTTCTACTTTTCGACACAATGAACTTCAAAATAGCATAACTTTGCGCAGGAATGACCAGTTTCAAAAATTAAACCACCTATTAAAAGGAAACAGAACATATTTTAACATTATGCAAAAATCTCATTTTTGACCTTATGCCCAGAAAAGTCTGATTTTGACAGAACAGGTCACATTTGAGGTCAACTTACATGGCTCAATTAATCACTTGTGGTCAGTTAGTCAGTTGATGCATGGTGCATTCATGCTGAGTATTATTTTATTCCATCCGATTGGGATAACAAGTTCGTATTGAGAACTTGTTATTTCTTAAGACTTGTTTCCCCCGTTGGATGTTAATTTTTCATATGACCTGCAGGCTGTCCATAGTCCACTTAACCTATGACCTGACACGGTTTGACCTCTGACCCACAGGTTCCTGCCATTTCCCTGGCTTACGAAGAAGCCGAGAGTGACATCATGAAGCGACAGCCCCGTGACCCCATCAATGACAAGCTCGTCAACGACCGGTAAGTCACTCCAACGATCCTCATAACCTTCGACTCGGGGTCAGGTAATTAGAATAAAACAAAATAGGAATAGTTGTCCCTAGAACAAATGGGGACTGCAATTGTTGTCTATAGATACGCAGTATTAAGAACTCGGTCAAAAATAAGGAAGGCAGACTAATCATGGTTCAAAGCAGTCAATAAAATTTCAGAAGTTTTGTGGGTGATCACCTCTTCTCATATCAGGCAAGCAACTTTTCGTCGCAGCAAGTCTTGTAACGCTTAGAATGTTCTCGTTTTTGTAACTTCCCAGGCGGATGTGATATGTATGTGGCAAGAAGTGTGAGGCGCAGTTTCCTGATACTGTACTCCATTGTTTTGTTTTCAAAGAGCTTGCATCCATTTCATTGAACCTGTACTCGGTAAAGACCATGCCAACATAGTACAGTGGAACGTCGCTATACCGAACACTGCTATACCGATTTTTGTGTTCAAAACATACCGATCATTGTTGCAGAAAAATGTCCGACAGAAGAGTGACAAGTGGCTATTATTTCCCCAAGGAATGGACGGGGAAAAGCCAGCCATTGCTGTAGGTAGTAAGCTCAAAACTGTGTAATTACATAACTCAATAGTCGGCACGTGTTCAAAGTCGTCTTTCAGTAAATACCAGGGCGTGCAGGGTGAAGTTCTGAAGGTCGCTATTTATTGAAATGTGAGTACCGTACTGGAGCACCAGCAGCTTCAAATTGCTATACCGAACGATCGCTATTAACGAACAATTTCTGTGGATCCCGCAATGTTCGTTATAGTGATGTTCAAATGTCAATGTCTCATATTTGAATATTGGGTTTCCCCCTTCACTGATATAATTTTTTTAAACCTTGCTGGACATTTACCATTTTTGATCCTCGTGCTGTTGTCCACAGATTGATCAGTATGTCCTACGGTCAAATCGGTATGATGCAGGCCTCGGGTGGTTTCTTCACCTACTTTGTCATCATGGCCGAGAACGGTTTCCTGCCCTACACGCTGTTCAACCTGCGTCGGGACTGGGACAACCGGGGCGTCAACAACGTGGAGGATTCCTACGGGCAAGAGTGGGTGAGTAGAAGGAGGGATCCGTGGAGTGCTGTGGCCTCGTGGTTCAGGGCACTGATTTGTGGTCTGTGGGTAAAGCTGCAGGTTGTGGGTTCGAGTCCTGGCGGGGTCATGGTGCGTGTGCCCTTGGGCAAGGCACTTTGTCACTCATTGCTTCTCCCCACCAAGGAGTAAATGGGTACCTGTGAGGGCAGAGGTGGTTATTGTGATTGAATTAGCTTCCTTGCGCCTAAGAGGCTGCATCGAGCTGTATACTCCCCAGGGAGCTGAGATGGTATTTGAAATGTTTCATGTGCCCAATGAGCAGGGGTAATAATGATGTAGCGCCTTGAGCACCAGTCCTGGTGGATACGTGCGCTTTATAAATATCCACTATTATTATCCGAAAGACAAGGTCGTGTGGTGAGCTAGGGGTTGAAAGACTGACGCTTCAAACACATCAAACATAATAACTGCTTGGACAAAAATACGCCCTGCTCCCACGAAACCCTGACCAAGTAGCAGATGATGTTTTCGCACTAAGTGTATGTGAAGTCATTCTGGGTAAGAACTGACCATTTTGAGGTTTTGAGATTTTCTGAATCAGTAACCGTAAATCTACAACCTCCCAAAATATAATACAATCCATCAAGCAGTAGTGTGTTTTTTGGTCAATTTAGTGTAGAAAATTTTTACAAAACACATTTCAATATAATCTCATAATTGGGTTGTCAGAGTTTCATCACTTAGTACTTGTCCCAGGCTTGATAGGTCTCAGCACGTATGAAAATCGTATATCATTTTGAAGCTGAAAACCTCAGGAATTTGAAAATGCCAAAACCGTAAAAAAAAAAAAGTTGGCTATTTTGTCCGGGTTGGTGAGAGCAGATCTCAAATAGACAACTGAATGAAATAGCGAGTGGTGAGATATGTGTTATTAGGATTTTCCTGATTTTTCCTGATACTTCAAAAAGTTTACTCCCCCAGTTTTGAATAAGCCAGTTTGGTGTTTGGAATAACATCGCTGATGTGTGTTACGTGTTGTTAGGCGCACGCCCATCCTGCTTGTAATTGACACGTAAGCGTGGTGCGCCCGCCTTCGATCGTTCGATTATCCCAAATGACCCGTGACCCATATAGTTGTGCAGGGGCCGTATCATAAGTCCGACGCCTCGTAGGTCCGACGCCTCAAATTTCGGACTTATGAGGCGTCGGACTTATGAGGCATACAATTTATTTATTCCGCCTCATAGGTCCGACGCCTCATAAGTCCGACGCCTCATAAGTCCGACAATGGAAAAACGAGGCATTTAATTTGTCAGACTTACGAGGCGTCAGAGCTATGAGGCGTCAGATCTATGAGGCGTCGGACTTATGAGGCGTCGGACCTATGAGGCGTCGGACTTATGGGTCTTTATTTGGTTAGGGGATGCGATTTTGTCGGACTAATGAGGCGTCGGACCTATGAGGCGTCGGACTTATGAGTGGACCCCGTTGTGCACATGCGCAGTTGAAATACAGGCTTATTTTTGAATCATCTGGTTTTTTTTACAGAGTTACAGACAGCGCAAGGTGCTTGAGTACACCTGCCACACGGCCTTCTTCACCAGCATCGTGGTGGTGCAGTGGGCGGATCTGATCATCTGCAAGACCAGACGCAACTCCCTCATCCAGCAGGGAATGAGGTAAGCTTGCTTCTCCCCGTCCTGCTTTTAAGTTTGACAGCCCAAGCTGGTCACTTTCTGGCTCAGACTTTTCCTGACTGACTGACCCATTGACTGACACGCTCACTGACTGATTACTTATTCTCAAACTTGTTCAGAAAGTTAAAAAAAAAACCAGCATTTTTTCTTAAGATTTTGTTTCTGTTGATGACGTGTACCAGGGTTCGACTTAAGCGGTAGCCCGCTAGCCAAATGCTGGTCAAAACAGCGGCGGGCTAGTCAATCTTTTCCTGAAGTAGCCCAGCTGGCGAGTCAAAAATTATTGGGCTACGGCAAATATGAAAGGGCAGGAAGAAATATATCAAATTACATTCAGAAAGCAAACTTGTATCAATATTTTTGTCTAATTTTATTAACGGTTTAGGGTTAAAGTATTAGATCTGTTTGTTAAAAAACACTGACAAGATTGCCTCAGGATACACGTTTTACATTTATGCACATTGTTTTGTATGAGACACTCTATAACAGAAAATCATTCGTGCTAGTGAAAATGTCCGCGGGCTAGTTAAGAGTTTGTTTCTGTAGCCCGGCTGGCTAGTGAAAAAAAAGTTAAGGTCGAATCCTGCATGCACCATTTATGACATTGCCTTTCTTGTATTCTATTTTTCAGCCTCTTTTGTATTGCCTGTGCCTATAGAATTTTTTTAACCCTTTCCTTACCATGGGCGACTTTTGTCGACAAAGAACTACCCCCCTGCTGATTCCCATGGGCGACTTTAGTCGACCAGGAAACCACACACAGATCACCCTCAACACAGATATATTCACTACTTTTCAGAAAAGCGGCATGTTGATATGTTTGGCCGCCTATACATCAACCATATACCAGCTGAAAGAGTGTTTTCAGATCGTTTTAAATGGTGTAGTGCCATTTGGTCATGTGGTGAAATAGCTTGCAGTTTGATAAATGGGACCAGATGGACAAAAAGGCATAACATTCTTATATTTGCACATATGGACTTCATTTTTACATCACATATAAAAGAGTAAGGTTCAAGGAACAAACTTTGCACACAACACCTATGATTTTAATCACTCCTTGGCAGTGAAAATTGGGGTTGAAAAAAGGGAGTTTTCGACTTGTGGTTATTTTTTTCACACTCTAGTGATTTCCGCATGACTGAGCAAACAATTTGGTCCTGGGGAGAGCCAAGTCAATAAACAATGTGGTAATGAAAGGGTTTAGCTCTCCCGCAACTTTGGTTTTAGATGAAAATTCACAGGGTACTCATTGCATTCCCTCGTGTATGTTACCACAAGTAATTCATTGTTTTGTATTTGCCCGCAGCAACTGGGTGCTGAACTTTGGTCTGGTGTTCGAGACTGCCCTCGCTGCATTCCTCTCCTACACGCCAGGTCTGGAGAACGGACTCCGCATGTACCCGCTCAGGTAAGGCAACATAGAAAAACTCACATGCTACATAACCCGTGATCTGTTTTCTTAAACCTCTTCGTTGTCTTCTGATCAAGTTTCCGGACTCATCCTTTAGATCCCAGACTTTGGAAATTATGGCTCAATAGTATTCTGGTTAAGAAAATTTAAGAGAATCCTCAATTCGGTATTTGAATCAAGTCTATCCCAAATCCTGACAAGTCCCTCACAAGAAATGCACGAGTCGTCCCGTCTGAGGGCAACTCACAAACTCTTCAAAGATGTTGTGAGAATAACAGGGCCCAATTTCATGGCGCTGCTAAGCACACAAACTTGCTCAGCCCAAAAAAAAGTCTGGCTTGTAAAAGCAGGTTACCTGACAAAACGCTATGTGATTTTCATGCTAAGCAAACAACAGCTGAATACTAATCACGAGCAATATACATCATGTGGAGTTTTGGCTGATAACCTGCTTTTATAAGCCAGACTTTTTTGTTGCAAGAAAATTTGTGTGCTTAGCAGCGTTGTGAAATTGGCCCCAGGATTGTTTTGTTTGTCCCTGAAATTGACGGTATAGTTGAGCTTAAACGAACTTGTGACTAGACTTGGTGGCCACTCCTATATCACTACCAGTATTTGAAGTCTTTCTGTTTGGTTTGAACATCAAAGGCCTACAAAATTGCCCCTTCCCAGGAGATAGACCGAGAGTCCGTGATGAAATCAAAGTTGAGAAATGGCCTAGAATCGATTTGCATTCATTTTTGTCACTCCCCAAAAAATGGGTACGTAGTACAGTTCTTTGAATAACCATATTGCTCAATGCTTTGATACTTTGTTAAAAGTTGTACAGTGCAATGCTGCAATAATGAACACATCAATTAGTCGCTTGTCACCAAAACACCCTCTTGCTCCCTATTTTCCGTACAATTATACAAAGCATGCAGAGCATCTTGCCGGAAAAGCTCTTAGGAATCACAGCTATACCCAGACATTTTTGATGGTTGTCATTGTTTTCAAACAATGGGCAAAACCTAATTTGATTTACATCACCCCGACGCAAAAATCCCATCTTAGGCCCCCCCCCCCCCCCCCCCCAAAAAAAATATTCGGTCTCTGGTCAGACCAAAGTTCCGGAATTGACTCGGGGACGCGGCTTTTTTTTTTTTTTTTGCTTTTTGTTTTTTTTCTTCAAGCTTGGATTGTACAGACAAGGTGGGGTATTTTTGCTATTTGGTTTCCTCATGTACATTGGTGTCCTCCATAATTTGCCTTGGTGCTCTTGATCATTTGCCTTGGTGCAATTTCCCATTCCTTGGTGCTCTTTGGTAAAAAAAAATTGAGGAGGAGCGGCAATAGAGGGCGCTGTTGGAGCTACCGCAGAACATTTTGGAAAAAAAAAAGATTGACGCGCATGATTAAAATCGACGCGCGTGTTGACCAGAGACCGACTTATTTTTGTTTTTTTGCCTTATTAATAGTTAATGCGGTACCCGCTGTTATGTACATTAGATTCAAACCAGCCAACCGATCCCGTTAGCTCGGTGATTGAGTGGTAAGACATCTGCACTAGAAAGCAGGAAGTCGTGAGTTCGAGTCCCATCCGAGTGATTTTTTCCAACTGTCACTCTGGAAGTAACACACTGAGCATACAGTGTTTATACGTTGGTGAAGAGCAAAACCTAATTTGATAAAACAATGTGTACTATATTGACCTGCTTGCTATTGTTCCATCATTAATTTCTTCCCTGTTTGTGGAATTTGTCTCAGGATCGGATGGTGGTTTGTAGCCATTCCCTTCAGTGTTCTCATCTTTGTCTACGATGAGTGTCGCCGGTTCCTCTTACGTCGCAACCCTGGCGGCTGGGTCGAGAAAGAGACCTACTACTAGCGCATGCCGCTCTGCGCCGCGTCGTGTCCGACTGCACGCCACATCTGCACTCGCTACGGATTTCGTCAGTGCGCGGTTTTTTATTTTTTAAATTAGCAGAGCTACTGGTAGGGGAAATCATGTGCACCATTGGACCGAATCGTGATGATGTAAAGAGTTCAAGCAACGACCAAATGTTGTGGGACTTTGCGACACAAACTTCAAAAAAAGGCGTTCAAGATTAAAATAACCAGAAAGAGGAATACTGTATCACAAGGTAGATATATATCTCTGCATTTATTACCACGTAGACCACGTAGACCATGTAGACGTTTTTTAGAAGTAATGACACGTACTTTGGGGAGTCGGTCACGGCCTACTTTTTATTTTAAAGAATCAAATGAAAAAGTGTGTAGAAAATTACAGTGAAAAATAATTGAAAGAAACAAAATAACAACATATGAGTAGTCAACACTTATAGCATTGAAGAGAATAGTGAGCATGTAGGTTTTGTTAGGCGATACGAGTGGACGATGGGGATGTCAACCGGGTTTTGGCGCGATAAATCGGGGAACGTGCCATCTTGAAAAGCATCCTATTTAGCAACCGTTTTCCTTGAGGAATGGTTTGTTTTACTCACCACAAAGTTATCTTTGGTCATTAAAAAAAAGCATGTTGAAAACCAAAAGGAATAAAACACGTGGACTTGGACATATTGCAACATTTTAGGATTTGAAATGCATATAAAGGCTTCTTTAAGAACTGTTGAACATCAGTATCTGAGAGAGATTTTTGGAGCCCAAACACAAGGCAGCCCTGTAGCATCGCGCGTCTTTGTTGACACAAATTTACTCTTGCACAAGATAAAAAGCCAGATGAATGTGTTAACCACGGGAAAAATTCAACCAATAGTTTTTTTGTTTATTCACGCTGTAGGACCCCCATGTTGAACTACATTCCTAGAAAAACAGTTTTACAACACTTGTCTGCCAAATCAATCACACTAGGAGGACAAACGGGAGTTGAATTTTTTAAAGGTACAAAACGGGGAAAGGAATTTGAACCAAATTCTGTGCTTGTGCTTCTGAAAAGGACCAACTGATAAAACTCTCTCTGTAAACGGCAAAATGAGTCTTTTCAGGATAACCTCCCAAACCGGTTTTATCCCTGTGTTTATGACGGTCTCAGCAAAATAAATGAAAAGTAACATGTATAATATCTGCCTGATCTGTAGCAAACCATCACTCCAAACCTAGGTCCACAACTTTCCTTTGGAACATTATTTGTACAGAAGTGTTGATATATAAAAAATATTACAAATGTATAGAATAAGTACCAAAGTATACGATCGTAAAATTTCATGGTTACTGATAGTATTGAAGTGATAAATGCGCACACTGTATGCAAGAGTTTTATGGTTTTTTGGCTTTCAAGAGTTCATTCATTTCACCAGTTTCCTTATACACACACGCACCAGAGTTTTAGATAGTCTTGTACGTATTTGGCTTTTGAGTTGGAGGACTTGTTTTTCTGCTAAACTTGATCCTGAAACCCGCGCTTGGCTCGTGTTTTCGGCTCGTGCTAAGTTTCGTAAAACTGTCAGCGGAACTAGAAATGTATGTGAAGCATAAAGAATGTTGCTCTTCACTGGCACCCGATAGAGACTGCCAGTTGTCCCTATGCACAAGTAGCTGGTAGTCTGCAGAAGCTTGCGGTGTTACCCTTTTCCCCTTTTGCACATCCCTGGTTTGAATAGTTTACTCGAGTGTACAATTTTTTTTTAACAACCGTTCCCAACTTTACTGCCTTCCAGTTCCGTTTCTCTTGTTTTTTTCTTTAAAAAAAAATTCACTTTCCTCTGAAACTCGATGTTAAAACGAGTGTTGATATTGTATTTGCAATATGCTTGTTCGTAAAAAAATACAATTTGATATGAAACCGCTTAAAAGAATGAACGGATGTTATATATTCATAGACAATAAATTAATGTACATTACAAAATATTCTCTAGAAAATAAAAAAAAAAATTGTTGAGCATTTACAGGTGTTAGTTACTTTGTACACAAAATTGTAAGGTGATTAGGTAACTTGTAAAATTGTTAAACACCAGACTAGATCTTGTTCATTATTTTTTCCTCAAATCCTGATCTTATCCACAAATACATTTTAATTGTTATATTTAGAAGGTAGCTGCCTCGGTGTTTCTGACATTTGATTTCCTGTATTTCCAAAGTGTCATTTTCAGTGTGGTAGCACTCCTAATCATACATACTAAATAACAATTTGTAGTATTTTCTCATTTTTCCTTTATAGTATTCACGTTTATTTTCTTGTTTTAAGTGGCAAGTGTTCTAAATATATTTTTCGAAATCACCCAGCGCTGGGAACAGTAATATGAGAAAAAAAATATCAACTGCCCAAATTGACAGTATGCCTACTTAAAAAATAACAATCTTGCACAATCCACGTAACATTGTTTCCCCTTAAATATACAGCCATCTTTATGTTTTAGTTGTACATGCATTCTTTAAAAAGTTTTTCTTTAGCTTTGTGTACTTTCCATTTAAGATTAATTCTAATTTAGTTTTCACGGTACTAAATCCAGATTAAAGTTTTTAAACGGGATGTGAATCAGGATTAGGTATGTTAAGTTGATAGTATTGGTTAGGTTCACTTGGTTAATATTGCCTCAATGGTTACATTCTTGGTTTAAGCTTTCGTTATCTTTAACTTGGTTTAATAGTGCCGACTTTTAAAATTGGTTTACTCAACTTCATATCCACTACTTTCGATTTGGTATTTTTGACATTGCCTCCACAGAACTGCATATCAAAAGATGAAAGTTCTCCAATTTTGAAGAATCTTTAAAAAGCCAGTCCCCTTGACATTGATCGGTTATAGAAATTGCGATCATCACGTGATATTTTGTACTTTTTATATCCAACCGAAGGCCAGTTCCCATAGTTACATCGTTGTTTCAATTTTGTCTGGGTTAATGTGCTGGCCAGTAAAAGGGTCCTCCATGTTGAGTTGAAGTTAAAAAAAAACGAAACTTAACATGGTTGTTCACTGTAATGTTGTAGCTAGTGCCACCATTTGCATCACTTTGCAAGCATTGCATGATTCATGTATGCAAATTTTATGCAAATTAGTGTTCTCCCTTGAAACCACTGTATGTCCACAGTGAAGAGCTCAATAACGGAGTGTATAAAACAAAAAAAAACTTCTGCGTGTAAAACATTGCTGCTAGTTATTTCTACAGTGTTATTCCAATAGGTATACATTTGTTGTGATATGTACGAAATCCCTTGTGACTCAAATTGCATTCGTGGGTGTACATTGTACTGTGTCTAATCTAAATCCCATAGAGTTTTAATGCACCTTCAGCTTTTTACATACGTTTTCTCCTATTGGTTGTTTAGTGGATGTGTTTGCATGGGTCGGCCAATCATACTCGAGCTCATATGTGTCATGGTTACTTAATTCAATGTTCAATATCAATGGGAAAAGAAGTGCAGTCGTTCATTTTATTAAAAGGTTGCATGTAATACTCTTATTAGTGTTTAATCTATGCAGTTGACTTTAAACCAAGCGTTGATCAGAGCAATAGCATGCTGTTGTTTTGAACGATTCTTTCTTTACCTCTCCCCCGACGTTTCACGAATGAATGTTTTAACTATGTAGTGATGTCCAATCAGAGATGGTGATTTCAAATAATTCTGAATGTATTAAGATAATAATACTAATTACATAATATTTGATTGATTCATTTTCAAGTTTTGGTTTTTTTTTATATTGAGTTTACAGATATTGATTAAGAGTTGGTTCCAATTTGATGACGCTGCTTATCACAGATTGCTGCTAAGCGTGTATTTGCCGGAAACCAGTCACTAGCAAGATGTGCAAATCATACTCGCTTGGCTGGTTACCGACAGCCTACTCGCTGGTTATGCAAGCAACTTTGCTCAGCAGCGCATAACATTGGACCAAAAAAAAACCAAGTTGTAATTATTGGTATTTTGTTCATTCCAGTTGCAGAGTTTACTTTGTATCATTCTGGTGAGATTTAAATTTCAGTGATAATTATTATTTTTGATTAATGAGTAGTTTGACTAGTAGTGTTTTTATTTTAATCTCGTAGAAACCTATACCATTGGACGTAATTTTGCCCAACAAAACAAAAAAAATTCATACGCAGGGTTTTTCGAAATCTTGGCTTCGTCAGCGGTTCGGCTTGAAGAGATACATTTAGGCCCGTGACTATCTGGTGTCAGATGAAATTTGGACTTCTATGAAATCTGGTCCTTATTACCTTATTTGGACTCGTACCACACACGTGACCTGTCAATGTTCACTGAGGAATACACAATACCAATGAGTCCGTATTTCGTTGAGGCCTTTTTTCACACTTTACAGTAACATAAGGCCAAAGTTTTGGGGTTCTTCCATGGGTATGAACTTGAAAAAGATTCGATACTTGAGCCAGAAGTCGCAGCCAAAACGAAGCCGGGGTTTCGAAACTCGCTCCCCATCCAATTTTGGTGTAAACCATTGTTATCCCAGCATAGGGGTGGACACACATCGTGTGAGTTCCCCGTATTCGTGTGGTACATCCCAAATTGACAATCATTAGCTCTCATTGTTTTTGGATCACATTCGTGCAGTTCGTTCCATGGTTCTTTTCTTGTCGTAGAGGTCATAATTTTTAATGAAACCCCCTCCGAGGCAGTGCACTCTCCTTTTGTGTGAATAGAAATTTAGGAGGATCCATTGCTCTTTGCAGGGATGTGTTAAGGATGAAGGCAGCAGCCTTGTTATGAGAATAAAAAATCGTCCTTGTGAGTTTAACAATAAAACACCTGTGTCCATTACATTCTGTCAAAATATTGATTGTTTTTAGAATTGTGATGTCTTTGCATTTCATACCGTAACAATGTTTGTTTTTATCCTCGGTCATTCATGATCTTATCGACGTATGTTGACAATGACACATTTATTATAGGCCAATCAATAATCCCCTGTGATTTAATCAAGGCGAGTATCTACCAGCTGTACTATGTAGGAATATTGGTACCCACAAACGCACCTATCGATTTTAATGAGGAAAACATTGCATGTAATGCTCAAAGTTAAGATAATATGTTATCAAACCCTGTGAAATTCGAAGTTATATTCTGCCTGTAATATGCCCCAAGTGGTACCGACGGAGGACAATCATTGAAATGTACTATTAAGCTATCAGCTTCGGTCCAAAAGTTGGGCCGCCGGTATCACAAATGATCGAAAGGAGCAATGCTCATAGCAATTTTTTGGCGAGGTATGCACATCTAGAGTTAGAAAATGTGTGATAGCTTTGCAGTGTGAGCGGTGGCAGTTTTTGGGGTGTTTTCAGTTTTCCCAAACGGGCCGCCAATATGCTTGTTACCGGATTATGTGGTTACAAGCATGTTTTGGCCGCCAATTTTTTTTAAGTGATAGCACCCAAAAAGCTGCCACCGCTGCATGCAATGCTATCACATAATTATTTTCCAACTACAGGGGTGCATACCTTGCCAAAAATCACAATGAGCATTATTCCCCTCATTTGATACCGACCAAACCCCCAGGCTGATGGCCTATAAGGTGGCTTTAAAAAAAAGTGGACGCGTGGGCACGATTCGTTACAGAATCCAGATCCAGTTACGAGATACCCCCTCCCCAGCCCCCGGCAGGGGAAAAATGTGCATACATTTTCTTTATTTTCTCAAAATCCACTCAGCTGAAAGTGAAACTATTGTTGCTTCAAACGAAAACACGCCGGATCGATCCTACATTTACTATACAGGGTGACCCAAAAACTGCAACCCTAAAACATTTGCCTTTTAAAAACAAAGGGATCGGTGGATTTTTTATGTTTTGGGTATCAGGTTAAAGCTGAGAGCTCATTTTCTTTCAAATACTGAAAAAAAAATCACGTAAATAGCGCTTTGGGTTGCTGAGAAAATGTTAAGTATGTAAAAGTAGTCATTTTTTTATCCTGTACACAAACAATTATGCGAAACAAATAAAGATATGCCGAAACAAAGAAATAGGACGAAGAGTTGCTGTATAAAACGAAGCTAATTTTGTCCTGCATTGATTTCGTCACCGTCTCCAACTAGCAATCGGAGAAAACGGCATCGGAAGTTGAACGCCTTCTAAAACAACAATTTGCGTCAAAACTGCAGAGTATTTTAGTTGGGTTTCTCGTTGTGGACACTTGATGTATTGATGTCATTAAATTTGCTGTTTTTGACCAGTTTGTGTATTAAAACAACAAGAAATAAGAGAAAAGAGATGAGTGCTAGTTCGGGAAACCAAAAAAACTGTAAACTTTCGTTTTCACGAAGTAGCACGCTTCAATGTATTATAGAAGAGTGTTATTTCGTGGAAACGGAGGTCAGCGCGCGCGCTCAAACAAGAAGAGTGTTACTTCGTGAAAACTTTTTTGCTCGCATTTAATTTGAGCAAAGTGCGTGCCATGCATTACAATGGTAAATGGAACTTGAGTGTTACTTCGTGAAAACAAAAATTGTCACTTTCGCGCAAAAGTTGCCATGGTAATTAGCGTAATTATTAAAGTAAAGCTCTTGAAGATTTGAAACTTCGTGCAATGGTAGGCCTTGATGAATAATATTTAAAAATGTAAAAAACTGAAAACCGAAAAAAATATGGTTTAACACGTGGAGTGTTACTTCGTGGTGTCGGTGACGATTTGTTTCCTCCTATATTTATTTGTTTCGTCCTCTTTTTATTTGCTTCGTCCTATATTTATATGTTTCGTCCTCTATTTATTTGTTTCGTCCTCTATAATATTTGTTTCGCCGCGTAACTCATGTGTAACTACAGCACTTTACTTATTTTTGCTTGAATTAAAAACAAAAAAAAATCGTTGAAGACTTTTATTCGCAAGAAATAGTCGTAGTACTAGTAGTCGGGATCATTAAGGATTCTTTTATTGGTTTTCTCCTTGAACTTCGGCAGCGACCGCAAGCTCCATCGGAAAGAAAAAGTTAAGACCGGATCAAGGTACATATGTACCAACTTTTACGACAACTAAACGTGCTGGTAATGTCGATTTCACTGATAATTTTTTTTGTCATGTCTATTTCTAGATGAATCAGTCAGAAGTTAAATCGATGATCTTTAATTGTTTGTACAGTTCACTGAAAGTCCAAGATGGGCTCGAACAATGCACTTCCACGTGGCCTTCTAAAATAACTATGATGTCATTGGTAAACAACACGTCATCAAGAAAAAGACAACTGCGGCTGCGCATCATAAAATATTCATATAAATGACCTTTGTACTGCGTTGTTAAACCTACCAGCTGAAATGTGTTACACAAGGCCATACAAAATCAGCTCGTCGGATCATAACAATGAGTTGACCGAATGAGCCAGGCCAGAGCTAGCTGTACAAAATAGTGTTCGTCCGGTCAAATTTCTGGTTGAAAAGTTGCGAACAGGAAGGAAAGGACCTGGATTCTGGTTACGTGCAGGCTTATATTCTGTTTTGTTTTGAGGTGGGTGTGTTTGTTGGGCGGAAGTGTTCGTAAACTGGCAGAAAATAATTGAAGTTGTTTTACAGCTGCAGCTGTACACTTTTACTTTAGTTTTACATACAGGACTGGACAAAATTATGATGTAGCGATTAGGACGAGTTGCAACTCCGTCATCAGATGTCACTGAGAATCGCAAGATTAAACCGGGAAAACATTGCTCAACATGCCGTTGTAATGGGATTTTCAAAACCAGTATCATTTGTATTTGTTTACTCAGGCATATGCAATAATAAGTTAACGTTGTGTGTTTTAATTTTGTGCCTGAACTTGAAGATTAATTTAGCATAACATTATTTTATGAACACCTACTAAAAGTACTAATACTATAGGCCTACTCACTTCTGCATTCTGCTTTGACAATTGATCATTGACAATGATTTGCCTATCTTAGCCCAAGATGCTAGTTATCGCTAGTGGATCGTGCATATTGTTTCATCATTTCATGTTCATTTGACAGAAGTGCGCCATCTAACGGCATGATTAGTCCAGCGCGCCTGCTCGCACCATGGAGCTATAGCTCCATGCTCGCACTAACGTCTTTGGAATCCTGTACTGTAGTAGCCGTTTAACTTTTTCTTTAGTTTCTCCCTTGGCTTTCCTAGGCTAGGGAACCAATCAGCGATCGCAGCCTATTATTATGGTCTTCGCACGACGGTTGTAAATATACGTGCTACCTTTGCTCGACGGTTGTAATTGTATGCACTACGTGCGGAAATTCAACTGTGATGTGTGGTGGTCACTGGTCAAGTATCGCTAATAATTAATATGCAACGCAGTGCTATGCCCATGTGCGACTACCAGTATCAAATGGAAAGCCGCCGTTTTGTTCGAAGATATTATTTACACCAACAGTCCAATTTACATAAAACGGCCACGCCCCCATTGCTGCAAGATTCTCAAGACGTTTGTGCGAGAAAGTAAAAAAAAAAACAGTTGTGCAAGGGCGCTCTACAATACTAATTGTCGGTGCAGTACAAAATATGCAACCATCGCTATCAATTTGTGACTTTTTGGCTAAGTTTTAAAAAGGAGAGAATTTGCCTTACAGCCTATTTGTATTTTAGTTAAACTTTTATAACGAACAAACTTTAAAAAGGAGAGAATGTTGCATCCTGACACCACCTTTTTCATCATATACAGCGTGTGTCAATAAAAACGCAGGATTCAAAGCGATTTTTTTTCTGAGAAAATTATGCTACTGGTGTGCCTAATTTGATAAGGATTTGATTGTCCATAATTTCATCTTTGACAAGATTTTTGTTTGGTGGAATTTGGACTTTTGGTTCAAAAGTTATGACAAGTTTTGTGAAGCCCTTCTGAAGCGGGTTGGTCTGATTCAATGACCTTAACACAACGACCAGTTATGTACAATGCAGGTATGCATTGAAGACAATTAAACCAGAACAAAACTTTCTTTGAAACAACTGATGATAAGTATCACTTAAATTTAATAACTGGACTATCATTGTTTCAAAGCATCATGAATTATTGACTAATAACATTGATTGTAGACTAAACATGCTAAAGGATTATGTAAGCCTAATCCTGCCACACATGTCCTTCTTTGTGATCCACAAATACTTTCACCTGTACTGAATTCAAACCTTTCATTAGGTATGTGTGATTTCACAAATCAGACCAGCTTGGAATTTATAACCCTTCTTCAATGTACTCTATCTCTGGACAGGATTGTCCAAATGAGATGGGATAAAAAACACAGTGAAGAGAAGGAAAGGTACTTTGAAAAGAGGGTTAACATTATGATGAATAGGGGTGGTTTGTTCTTAATATTTTTGTTTCTAATCCTGTGTTTTTATTGACACACACTGTATTATCTCAATGAAGGTCAGTCATTGCAAAAATGTGGAGGAGATGTGAATCTGGGACTGAGATTTTCACTCTTTTAATATGATGTCTTTAACTTTACTGTTCAGCGTTATGAAATGTAGAGCCCAAATTTGTATTGATCATCGCATTTTAAAAAATCCGATTTAGGAAAGATTTCCATATACGAAGTTCACTCAACACTCTGTGTACAAACCCTATGAGAGTGGACTGAAGTGTTTTCTAAGAAAATGCTTGTATTTTCTCACTGCTCAAATTGACTTTGATGACATGAAATTGCTATCTGGGGGCTTGTTAGTCAATACAGAGGAAAATTAGTGAAGTTCGCATATGGTAATCTTGCCCCGATGTATTCTGATGAAAGCTTAGGGCACATATCACGTCAAATTGAATGACATTGGGATAAAGTTGGATGACCTGTGGTTGTCTTTAAATATGAGGGGCATCCTGGCAAAGTGAGACGGCACTGGGCAGAGGTCAAAATGAGGGTTTGCAGGTATAAGGAAAGAGAACAAAATTCTCCTTACAATACTGTTTGTTGCACTTCAGTCAGACACTCCATTGACAAGTAATGGCTGTTTAAAATGAACATTTATCAACTTGTCAAAATTTAGTAAAATACTGAGAAAGAGGCCTTTAGAGTTTCGAGATTTGTAGTCCTGGAAATGAAAGATGCCACTTGTTTTTTCCGTAAAATCACTTTTATTCCACAATTTTTAAACTGTTTCTTTTTACAAAACAAATCAAAGATTACAAATATCAATAAAATATCTGAAAAAAAATCATCCTTGTTCATTTTTGTGTTTGTATTTTTTCTCCTTAAAGGCCTTTGCCCAGACCCATCACATTTTGCCAGAACGCTTCAAATATCCTCTAACAAAACAGACTTCCCAAGTTAACCATTAATATAATATAAAAGAACAATATTTGTTAAAATTTTGAATTTCTAAACAAAAATTGAAGAATTGACTTGTTTGTTTTGATAACAGCACTATGGCTGACATGGAGTTGCTAAGTGCAGAGCTCCCTCTAGAGGCAGCGGACGGCAAGTCTCTGCCCGAGGCTATCAAAGACAAGTACTTCAATGACGAGCCCCTGTCAGGCATGATCCTGGGACAAGTCAACATTATATCCAACATGCCCGTTCTCAAAGGTATATTTTCTGACAGTCGTGCGATTTAAATCAGACACGCCGTCTGAGGCATAATTCAAAATTCAGTTTCTACATTACATGTATAAAAAAGGACTTTCTCCGTGCTTTTTGAAAAAAGGGAAGGAGATCCTCTTTTTCCCCCAAGATTGGACATTGATTCTTCCATTTTCTCAACTCTTTTTGCTGATCAATAATTTTGTGTCCAAAAAGGAGCTGTCGCCCTTTCTGACATATTTTGAACTTGCATGTACAGGATGAGTAAAAAAAAAAAAAACCCAATTGTCGGGACTATTGTTTTAAGGAAGTTCTGCATATAGCATTTTCAAAATCTAGAATATAAAAGCCTAATTCATAAGCTTTCTTTTAGTACAAGAATCATTCAAATCACTCATGCACTTTTCAAGTTACGAAATTTTAAACACAACCACCGTTTTATAATTGTATGATGTAAAAAAAAAGAAAAAAAAAGAGGCGAGTGGAAAAATAGAAGTGGACTGGGACGAGAAACTGGTTTATTTTTTTACGTGGCCTGAAAGACATGAACAGATTTTGAAGTACGTGTATTCTCAAGATTAAACTCAGTAAATTTAACAGATCATAAAAGCTGACAAAAGCTGACCAAAAAACAAAATAAAATCAACATAAATTTAGTTCTTCTTTTACACTCAATCAACTGACTGGCCCTTGTACAAAAAATTGCTTGAATCAAAGATGATGCTCTTTGCTTGGTTTGTTACTGGTATAAGCCAAGCATGCCAAGTTTGAGATCTCAGTTGAAATGTTTACGTTTGAGTTCTCTTCAGCTTCTTTGATTGAGTTCCAGGGAGTAAAATGACTTGCAGAAATTGCCACCACACTGCTGCTGCTAAATTCTCATCTCAGTCCGTTCTGGGAACTGTTTTTGTTTGATCGCCAGATTCCAGGTCCGGAGCTATAAATCTCCCACCATGCCTTGCTCTGAATTACTGTTGCATTGTGGGAGCTGGAGACCAGGGTGAGGTGGAGAAGATGTGCAAGAACGTGACGGAGTTGGACCTTTCCGAGAACAGCCTGAGCAAATGGCAGGAGGTATGTATGGTCATCAGTGTATAATCAAGTCCATCACAAGTCCGTCACATGTTCGTCACATGTCCATCACAAGTCCATCACATGTTCGTCACATGTCCGTCACATTTCCATCACAAGTCCATCACATACGTATGGTCCATCACAAGTCCATCACAATTCCATCACAATTCCATCACAAGTCCTCATAAGTCCATTGCAAGTCCTCATAAGTCCATTGCAAGTCCTCATAAGTCCATTGCAAGTCCATCACAAGTCCATTGCAAGTCCATCACAAGTCCATCCCAATTCCATCACAATTCCATCACAAGTCCTCATAAGTCCATCACAAGTCCTCATAAGTCCATTGCAAGTCCTCATAAGTCCATTGCAAGTCCTCATAAGTCCATTGCAAGTCCATCACAAGTCCATTGCAAGTCCATCACAAGTCCATCACAAGTCCATCACAATTCCATCACAATTCCATCACAAGTCCTCATAAGTCCATTGCAAGTCCATCACAAGTCCATTGCAAGTCCATCACAAATCCATCACAAGACCATCACACCATCACACGTCAATTCAAGTTTCAATTTGTCAATTCAACTTCACATTTATTTCCATGCTTCATGAAGAAAAAAAAACAGATAAAAACTTTGGAGAAAAGGGTTAAACCATAAAGCCGTAAATATCAAATTACTACAGCAAAATAAAAGAAGCAAATAGAGCATGGGGCTGTTTTAATAACGGAAGCTTGTGGAAAACAGCCGACAGAAACAACACAGGACAAACAAACAAACAAAGACATTACAATGGGTATAAGCTGACACAAGACAATTACTGATGACAGAGGCAATAATGTGATGAAAAGATGGCGAAAGGCTATATGAGCAAAAAAGATAAACAAACAAATATAACATGTGAGGAATAAAGAAAGGCAGTAGACTCAATCAGGAGCGAAGGCTAAGATGCATAGTGGGAGATAAAAGACTTGAGAAAAGACCTTTGCAAGTCTGATTATTCTTAAGATCAATGGGATAATAAAGTTTTATTGTATTGTATTGTATTGTATTGTATTGTATTGTATTGTATTATATTATACATGTACATTTCTTGGTGTAAATGCCCCGCCAGGTTTTGTCCATCACTGGCCAGATTCCCCAGCTGCGCTTCCTCAACCTTCCATCACATGTCCATCACCTGTCCGTCACATGTCCGTCACATGTCCATCACATGTCCATCACAGGACCATCACATGTCCTTTGAAAGTCTGATTATCATTGAGATCACATCCTAATTTTGTACATTTCTTGGTGTAAATGCCCCGCCAGGTTTTGTCCATCACTGGCCAGATTCCCCAGCTGCACTTCCTCAACCTTCCATCACATGTCCATCACCTGTCCGTCACATGTCCATCACAAGTCCATCACAGGACCATCACATGTCCTTTGAAAGTCTGATTATCATTGAGATCACATCCTAATTATGTACATTCTTGGTGTAAATGCCCTGCCAGGTTTTGTCCATCACTGGCCAGGTTCCCAAGCTGCACTTCCTCAACCTTCCATCACATGTCCATCACCTGTCCGTCACATGTCCATCACAAGTCCATCACAGGACCATCACATGTCCTTTGAAAGTCTGATTATCATTGAGATCACATCCTAATTATGTACATTCTTGGTGTAAATGCCCCGCCAGGTTTTGTCCATCACTGGCCAGATCCCCCAGCTGTGCTTCCTCAACCTGAGCAGTAACCCCCTCAGCACCGCTATGCCGGCCCATCTGGCCCCCGTCCCGCTGATGGCCGGCATTACTAACTTGGTCCTGAATAACACAAAGGTACCCTGGAGCACAGTGCATGTGTTGCTGGATGGTACACCCAGGTGAGTGTGTGTTAAATTCACTGATGACGCCGTTGACCATTGAGTACCAAGGTGGTTTTGGGCTGGACGTGACTAATTTGGGTTATTTGGAAGACTTTTACCAAAGGTCTCATGCACTGTTCTAACCCTAGCCCTGCCAGAAGCAACACAGTGCATCAGGTGGAGAAGTCTGGTGCACTTTGATGAATTCAATCAGTGCATTAACGACCAGTTCTGAAACAGTGAGAGCTAATGAACAATGCCACAGTTGTATCCTGCTGCATTCGATGAGCACAGATTCTGAGGCAGTTTGGCCTAGAGACTTTTGACCTGATGGATCTTGCTACACTGGGCAGGCTTGTCATTTAGACAATCGTTGCATGTTGTTGAGTTTGGCAGGGTTTCTAGCCAAAATACCCTGGAGGGTTAGGCTTAGGCTTCGGCTGCTTCAACACCTTGCAAAGGCTGCTGCCTTTACAACACTTGTTGTACAGGTGTATGATAGGCACTTAGCATAATTGATCCAGCATTTGACATTGCATCATTATTTGTGATGTCCCATGGCAAAACCAGGCTTTTGCCATTCAACTGATGCAATTTGTATTTTGTTTAAACTCATGCACACTTTCATCATGTGAGAATCAATCATATTCTGTATTGAAGTTTATAGATAACACGTACAGTTAAAAAAAAAATTGGTTGGGGGAGGACACAGGAAGTACCTAGTTTTAGCTATAGAGGTATCGCATCTTGAAATTGAAGACATTTGAATTTCTGTATAAAAATTGCAGGCTAGAACAACTCCACTTGAGCCTGAACGACTACGGGGCGGTCCACCCGGCCGACAAAAGCTACCCGACAGTCACACTGTTACAGTTCAACCGAAACCAGATCACCGACTGGACGGACGTGACCAAGCTGGGCCAGATGTTCCCCAACCTGGAATGCTTCTTCGTCTCTGAGAACGACGTCAGGGGACTTACGGAATCCGTGGGAGCGCACTTCCCCGGTCTCAAGAGCCTGTGCCTGAGCGAGACGGGCCTGGCATCGTGGGAAGAGATCGACGCCTTGGCGTCGTTCCCGGCACTCACCGAGGTGCGTCTAAAGCGCGTGCCACTGGCTGAAGCGTACGGGGAGAAAGAGCGCCACCAGCTGATGATCGCCAGGCTGACGCGGCGCGTGACACGACTCAACGGGAGCCGGATCGGGGACACGGAACGGGAGCAAGCCGAGAGGGCTTTTATCAGACACTACATGAACCGAGAAGATAAACCTAAAAGGTGAGAATTTTTGGCTCTTCTTCGTTTTGTACACTCCATCGCTGGAGGGCATGGAAAGAAGACTAGGAAAGCTTGTTGTGTGTGGATACGAAGTTGGAGGAAGGTGAGAGAGCTTACAGCATATGTAATAGCGCCCTCATTTGACCATGCTGCATATAATTCAATAGGTCATGTCACAGTAGGGAGAGATGTAGTATCTCTAGCGCCCTCATTCGACCATGCTGCATAGTTCAATAGCATATATGTCACATCACAGAAGTAGTACACGTTCACTAACTTCTCGAGTGGTCTCATTCTTTGTTCCTAATTAACCCACAAATATTAACCCTATAACCATCCCAAATCCTCCAAAAGCCTTTTTGCAAATTGGAGGAATTTGCAGGATTGAGGTTACGTGGCAAAAGTGCGTTGCTGATTTCGGAGGACGCACGCACTGTGTCAAGGTCTTGGGCCGGACCTTGTGTTGTTTATGTTCAGCCTAGCATAAATTTAGTCCTTGATTATACTTGAAATCCTCCGCACTGCTCCAGGATGTCACTGGCTCTGCCTCAGCCTATTGACAGTCAAAGCCGGAGGATTTTGCAGGATTCAGGCAGTGGTCACCCCTCCACAGACCATGTTCAAGAAATAATGGAGGAATTAGCAGGATTGAGGCTATATGCTATTTTTCCATGAGGCCAATTGGAGGATTTTGCAGGATTGAGGCTACATCCTAGCAAAAAGGCCTAGGGAGTTAGCTTGTTAAAGATCTTTTCTCAGATATTACATAAACGGAGAGGGTGAGCCCAATAGGGGGTAATGCCAGGTCCTGCTGCTGTCAGTTATGGAAATATAGGAAAAATCATTGGAACAATTTCTGTTATGGGAAAAGGCCATGGATAGGGGAGATTTTTACGTGGAAGGAAGTCAAAAGCCCTTGTATCAGATACTACATGAACTGAAATCCTGTGACTGTCTATCATGGAAAAATGAGGAAAAGCATGGGAAAAATTCCTGTCATGGAAAAGGCCATGCTGGACAGGGGAGACTAATTTGGAGAAAGTCAAGAGAGCTTGTATTACGGTAACCGAGAGGATATAAGACCAACAGGTGAGTAACTAATGCCAGGTCCTGTGACTGCCTGTTATAGAAATGTAGGGAAAAAGGATAAGATTAATTTACGTCGTGGAAAAGGGTATGGCTGGGATACTGAGTGGCAGGCAAAACATTTTATTTGACACAACATGAACCGAGAGAGAAAAAAACCCATAGGTTGTATAAACACCAGGTCCTGATGCTGTCGGCTATGGAAAAAGTAGGGAAAGAATGGGAATGATCCTGTCATGCAAAAGCCACGGATGGTGGGACTAAGTGGAAAGCAAAACGTTTTCCAGATACTGCACAGACTGTGAGAGGATACAACTCTCAGGTGAGTAAGAATGCCAGGTCGCCTACTATTTACTTATTGTTTGACATTGTTTGACCAAAAAACAAAATGAAGTTCTCTTTGGTCTTCCAGGTACCACGAGCTCATCGAGACCTACGGAAACCTGAATCCATTAGCCAACGTGGACCTCCGCCCCAAGACCCACGTCAAGTGCCTGGTGCGCTTTGAGGACACGTCCCAGGAAGTCAACATCTCAGTCAAGCAGACCGTGGGCCAGTTCAAGCAGACCCTTCAGGACTTTGTGGGTCTACCCCCGTCCCAATTCCGGCTCTGGTACTGCGACCAAGAAATGATGCGTGGCTGTGGTGCCACTTTGTTGAGGTACCCCGGAAAGCTCCTGTACTCTCTAAGAATTCAGGACGGAGACGAGTTTGTCATCGACAGAAAGTAACGACCAACTTGAACAATATCTTCTTTTTTTATACCAACATGGCATTTTTGTGCTGCTATTTTATCGGAGGTGATTTAGTGAATTATTAGTATGATAAATTATTGTTTTACTGATATCGACCCTTAGGCCAAAAAAAAAAGTCTCCGGTTTCTGGTATGCGCGCGCGTCGCCGTAGCCATGCACGTCGGCAAAATGAAAAAAAAAATTTTCAATAAAAGATGATGTCTCAAAACCGCCAAACTCACTGGTTTGACTGGAATCCTGCTGCGCTGCACAATTTTAACGTGTTTTTAGATGGGGTTATGATCAAGAATAAGCTTTATGTGGCCTCTCTGGACTCCCATATATTTACACTTAGTTTAGTCGGGCACCATTTGCAGTCATCAGCCGACATTTGAAGCAAAAAAAACAGGTAAAAAAAAAAAAAAGCCGCGTCGCCGCACCACTTTTTGGGCAAGCTCCATACCAGAAACCGGAGACTTTTTTGGGGGGGGGCCTTATCACTTGATGCTATTTCTTTCGTGTGCAATATGCATGGCACAAGTGTTGGATTTTAATGTCCATTCTACTGGGCATCCGCTGCACTTTTGTCTAAACTTTACGGTAAACACTTCAAGTTAATGGACAACAGACAAGCGAGGGTTTTCAACCGAAATCTTGCTTTGCATCGGGAAAAAAAATGAATGCAATTTCATGGTTTTCTCCAGAAGTGTGAAAATTCCACTGAGCTGATATTAAGACAGGTTATAGTTTTTTGACAACCTGCTTCCGATTTCTTGAATTGTTCTTACTAATTGAATCATCACAAATACATATATTTGAAACAATGTCCATTACTTTTAAGATAAACTCATATTCATATTACATACATGCATTTTCTATTGTGAGACACAGCTCAGTTACAGACCATGGCCCAATTTCATGGCGCTGCTAAGCACACAAATTTGCTTAGCACAAAAAAGTCTGGCTTATAAAAGCAGGTTACCAGCCAAAACTACATCACATGGAGTTTTGGCTGGTAACCTGCTTTTATAAGCCATACTTTTTTTGTGCTAAGCAAATTTTTGTGCTTAGCAGCGCCGTGAAATTGGCCCCATTTGAGTACGTTGTCAATTTTATCACGAAGGCCCCCTACAATGGCGAAAGCATTGTGCTAGCTATTGTACAAATAATCCATCGCGGGGCAGTTGCTTTGGGCACAAAGGCTTTTCTATTGAAGGGGGACTCGTGAGTGTACTCGTGATCACTAGTGCTGACTACTGAGATGGTCTTTGGAATGTTTCATTGGCCCAATGAGCAGGGACCAATTTCATGGAGCTGCTAAGCACAAACATTTGCTTAGCATGAACATTCCTCCTGGATAAGAACAGCACCCGATTTCATCAAACTCTTCGTAACTTACGATGCATCGCAGCGCTGCGACGCGTCGTATCTCTACGATGCGTCGCAGCTGCGACGCGTCCTGCGATCCATTTCACTAAACACGTCGTAAGTGCGACGCGTCGTAGGTGTATTTATAGCACAACTCGGTGACTGTTTTATGTCTTCAGTCAGCGTACAGTAAATAGTCGTCTGATATTCAACAAAGAGTCGTCGGATCTCAGCTCGAAATTTGTTAAAACGTAAAACAAAATGGCGGCCGTGCGATGCAATTTTGAAGGAAAACAAGCTCTCATTGGACCGTATAGCTTCTTTGAAATTTCAACTCTAATATTCCGGTCTAATTCATAATTTTTCAATGAATTTTCTATTTACAACTTAACACACATTGCCTCGGTATTATAATCTCGTTAATGTAATGTTTGTGGCATAAAACTGGCTTAGAAATGACTCTTCTTATTTTGCGACGACCAATAGACACGTCTTAACTTGCGACGTGTTTTAAGCCGTTGTCAAGGAACTTACGACGCGTTCAACACATCGCAACTTTCGTGAAATGGAAGATACGACGCGTTACGAGTTGCGACGTGTTACATGTCGTAACTCGAGTTGCGACGCGTCGCAGCGCTTCGTGAAATCGGGTGCAGGGTTACCAACCAATTTGTATGTGTTTTATATTGCTCACTTTTGTGTGAAAATCATAGGGACTTTTGGCTAGTAACTGTTTTTACTGAGCAGGACATTTTTGTGCTAAGTAAATTTTTGTGCTTAGCACCTCCATGAAATTAGCCCCAGGTGTGATGATGATGTAGCCCCTTGAGCACTAGCACTTGTGAGTAGGTGCTCTTTAGTGAAACACATCATTATTATTTTGAATACAACACTGCTCAAGGGATCCAACAATTCAGGACAACAGTTCCCTCAAAAGTCCTCAAAATTAATTACCAGTACTCGAACACTACACATGTGTGGAGTGCTGTAGCCTGGTGGTCTGAAGCATTGAACTCAGGGTCTGCTGGTCATTCTGCTGGTTGTGGGTTCAAATCCGGCCTGGGGTTATGGTGCGCATGTGCCCTTGGGCAAGGCACTTATTGCTTCTCTTCACCCAGGAGTAGATGGGTACCTGTCGGGCAGAGGTGGCTACTGTGGTTGATTTTAGCTGCTTTAATTGCGCCAAATTGGCAGCATCGAGCTGTTTTCTCCCCAGAGAGCTGAGATTGTCTTTGGAATGTTTCATTGGCCCAATGAGCTGGGTAATAATGAAGTAGCGCCTTGAGCACCAGTACTGGTGGATATGTGCGTTTTATTAAAACATTACATTATTATATTGCGATGCGATGCGAGGGTGCAGCCTAGCCTAATTATATTAATTGACCACAAATTTTAGAAGTATAAAGAACTGTTTGCAACAGCATTGTGTATTAGGGCAGCATTGCTGTCATCAGTGCATTGTGATGTGTTGACAAATTTCTGTTTTACGAAAAGCAAAATCTTGTGTCCGCAGTCAAATATTTTGTTAGATGTAAATGATGTACATAGTATTTGTATCATTGAAGACATGATGACATGGAACTTCTGTGACTTTATAAGTGTATCTCAGTCAGGCCTACTTTTAAATGCATTGCTATTAGCACCAAATGTCTTTTTCATAGTATTTAATGTTAAATTATGTGTGAATTGTTATTAACATATGCTGCAGGCAATTAGACTTATCAATTCTTGTACTCCAATTCCTATCATTAAAACGTAAAATTGTCGAGCCTAGATTATCTTGTAGTAACTATGAAATTATATTGTACATTTTATAAGTAATATATACATAATATTTTAACAACCTAATAATGTTGAAATAATTGTAACTTTCTGAAGCATTTTTACAAGATATAGACGGTCTGTTGTTTTGTAAAAAATGCTTCAGAAAGTTACCCCAAAGTTAATTGACTAATTGTTGATATGGCTTCCAGGGGGAGGGGGGGGGGGGGGAAACACCCACCCCACCCTCAACCCCACCCCACCCCACCCCCACCCTATAAGTCCCCGCACTTTTTTGTTTTGACGAAATGGATAAAGCAGACATCTTTTCTGAACTTCAGATTGTGAGAGATCTTCTCCTGAGTTATCTTATTGAAAGATTTTGAGATTGGATCACATCTTTGCATTTTAAGCTGTAAAATTGATAAAAATTTTAAGATCACGCGTCAATGCAGCAAGGTCGTAACTCGATCGGAATTCACTCATCTCGAATAATTCCCATTTGAAAGTTTTGCGGCACCATGTAAATTTGTCTTTGATATGAAACATGAAGCTTATATTATATTCCACATGTTTCATATCAAAGGAAAAAAATCATTATGCCACAAAAGTTTAAAATGGGAGTTATTAGAAATGAGTGAAATCGGAGTTACAACCTTGTTGCACTGACGCGACAGATACCTAAATTATGAACTTGTCCTACTTTTATTAACATGATTTAATTTGATTTTTTTTATCTCATATTTTATTGGATTAAATAAAAAGGGACTTTTTGTGCAAGAGGTTTTTATATCTACATTTAATAAATCACTGAACAAATCATACTCTGCTGGTCAGCCACATTATTTACTTTCAATTTTAACTAATGTTAAACAACTTGGACATTTATCAGTTGTTCCACAGCAAGAGGCGCAGGAAAAAGGAAGCAGGCGGGAACGATAACTGCATGGTTCATTTTTTTTAATTAGCCTTATGGGAGACGTACTTTTGAGACGGTGGTGGCAGCAAACACACCGATCCTTTTTCCATTGTTTTTCGTCATATTGAGCATGCCGCTTTAGCTATAAAAAAATATATAAAAAAACCAAACAATTGAAAAGGACCGGTGTGTTTATGCTGCCACCAACGTCTCAAAGTCTCATATTGGTTCAGCCTGTGCAGCATGCGGTAGAAAGCGCTGATGTTAACAAATTGAATCAAAAGCCGGTCTTGCAGGCCCGTAGCTGGGGGAGGGGGATGTTTTGAATTCCCCCCCCCCCCCCACCCCCCAAAAAAGAAGAAATTGGGCATACAGGTCCACTTTTTCCCAGCGATTTGTAGTTTCATGCATAATGAATTATTTTTTTTACACATGAAAAGGTCCACTTCATGGTGAAAATGACCCTCCCTTTCAAGGGCGGATCCTAGAACACATTTATTTGGGGGGGGGGCCAAAAAAATTGGGTCCCCCAAAAAGTGGGTCCAAAATTACGGCGTGGGGTTGGGGGCCCGCTTAATTAAGGGTCACACATTTTTTTTTGCATTCCAGATGCTCTGGTGCGAGCTGAGGCAGTTTCTGACAACTTTTACCAAATTATTTTGAGGAAAAGATGGTAGTGTATGCAGTGCCTGCCTTTATCTTCCTCCATGATGCAACTGCATGAGCTGGAGTGCAAGAGGAAAGATGATAGGCTTTAAGTCACCGTTGATGCTGCTTGATTAATTTGCACAGTGGATAACAAGTATTGTGGGAAGAGAAATGGTACTAACACATATGCCCCTTTTTTCCTTCCCGTACCTATTGTGTCATATATTTGCGATAATTAGCTAGTTCCGCAGTTTACCCACTTCATTGATAAACTGTTTTTAAGTTCCCACAACTTTTAAACACTTTCGTTAATATTCGATTAAAAATATGAGGGCAGACTCGATCAATAGGGCAGTCGTACTCGATCCTTTGAAATTTGTTTTCTTCTCAGTTGTGCATGCACTGGGCGTTGTCCCCGCCCATCCACTTTGGTAACTGTTGCATGTACCATATTAAATACGTGCTACATTATTTTATTTATGTACATGCATCAGCCGTTGATTTATCAACTTCCACGTATTACTAGTCTGGTACCGCCACAGCTGGTCCAATGAACCATAATCTTTCTGTAAACGTAGTCTGGGGACAGTGAAGTGACAACCGCATCAATGGCTGAAGTTGAAGAAGAAATTTCGGGCGATATTGTTGTGCCATTATCCGACGAGAAAACAGGGTAAGGGGATTTCATATGAGCAGACTGGATACATTATGTTATAGAGGTTACTTTGGCATGTTAAATTTTAGTAGTTACTTTGTAATAAAGCACACAAAACATATTTCTTGTCGGTGTTTACCTAAAAATTCACACCAACCATTCCTAATCCTTTACAAAAGCCTAACGTTATGTGACGTCATCACTGAGAATTATTTGTCATCACACCAAAATCAAACGTTCCCTTCCCAACATTAAAAATACAGAATGTATTAATTTATGTGACCACTTTGGTGGTTTCGTAGTAGTCGAACTTGATTTTTGTTTACGAAGTGGCTATCGTTACGGCAGTCGTTGTTTAGCGCCCTCTACGATACTTTTTTGATACGCACGCAGGTATATAATGATTTGTTTCCACACGTTTTAGCGAGCAGTGCGACAGCTCAGTCGATAGAAGGTAGGATTTTGCACCGCGAGGTTGCGGGTTCGAATCTCAGTTTTGCACTCGAATTTTTTTCCTTTTCTAACCTGAGGCTTTGGAGGATTTTTTTAAAAGGGAAATAAAGTCCGAATTTCATAACGTTCAAATTCACTTTTTTCCTTCTAATTTTATATTATAATTTCATGTTTTTATAACAGTTGCAGTCTACCGTAACGATAGAAAATGGGAAATGCGTTACGGCTGCCGTAACAATAGCCACTGCGTTTTGTTTATCAACACAACAGGATCAATGTTTATGTTTTTGAAGTTGAATTAATTTAAGGCAGTGGATATTTTGCCGGAGACGGCAAACCTTCAGTAAAAGTTAGTTTGCCGGATATGCACTGAACATGCGCAGTTACTGTTTTTTGGTACTCTAACAATTTCCGGTGACAAGTTTTAGTCTGGCTCCATGCCAAAATTATCGTTGTTACCTCGTATTCACAAGATGGGATTCAGACCATTTTATAATTTCGGACTTTATTTCCCTTTAAAAAAAATCCTCCAGAGCCACAAATCTGAAAAAGAAAAAGTAATACTCTGCAATAAAATGTTTGAGACATATTAAAATAATAAAAGAAGAATATTCTTATTTATTTGGGGATTGAAAAAAAAAACCTTAAAATTGAAGCGGGGGTCAGGATTCGAACTCGGGACATCCCACTCATTAGAGCTATTGCTTAACCACTGCACCGATTGTGCTACTCAACTTTGGGGGAATTTAATACATGTTATAATTCAGCCCTATCTTGAAGAGTACAGCGCCCTCTGTTGATATGGATTGCCGCCGGCAAACCTTTAGTAAACGTTAGTTTGCCGGCGTTACCTCCGGCAAAATATACACTACCTTAATTTAACCAAAAAAAAATTGTGTGCACTCAGAACAGATGTTTTTCTTCAAGGGGGAGGGGGGGGGGGGGAATGTTGCATCCTGACGCCTTTGTTTTCATCCTGTATAGTCGGACTCTATATCACGGCATCTATTGCGGCATTGGAACTTTCACTTTCAGAAAAAATGTTGCAACCTGACGCCACTTTTTTCTTCATATTAATTATTATGATCATCTCAATGAAGGTCAATCATTGCAAAATGATGATAAGACATGACTGAGAAACATTTCCAATTAGGAAATAGTAGTGAGTAGTACTAGTAGTGCTTTAGACTTGGTAGTAAGTAGTACCTAGAAATGTTCTTGACTCTCCACATAGACTTTGTACACAATCGCGGAAGTAGGGTCAGGTTGCAACAATTTTTCCGAAATTGCTTTTTTTGCCAAAACCAAAACTCCTTCAACATGTTCAAGTGGTGATTTTTATCCATTTTATCAGGCATTAATGGACTTTCTGCTGAGTTGTGTAAAAAAGACGATTAAAAAATGTTGATCTTTCGGGAATTTTAATGATTTAAAAAAAATACTAACGTTTTTCCAAAACTTGCTCATTTTCCCTCACAGTGTCTGCTGAAAGGTACATGTAACGTCAATTTTTAACGTAAATCTTTAATGGTGCTCTGTCCAGGAAAGTTCCATTGTCTGGTTCCCATTCTACAGCTGCAAATGCATAATGACGTCGAAGAACAATATTTCCACCGCGATATTCGTAAAAAACTTTTTACAGGATAAAAATAAGGACAGCGGGTTAAAAAATAAAATGGCGCACTGTGTAAAGTGAATAGCACCCCCAATTGCCAATCAGTAGACTTGTCTCAGTGAATTTTGTTCCCCTTTCGGGCGAGGGACAGGGTCTTAAGAAATCAGCCTGTAGGCCTATGGGCCCCGTGAACAAGTACCCATTCAATGGCCAGAAAAGGTGAGATGGGGGATGGGGACCTAGTCTGGTTCCTGGTTCACTCGCTGCATATTTCGGAGACCATCACAAGAAAAATTCCAACGCATTCGTGCGCCGATGACGCCTGATGCTCATGCGAAGCACTGTGGCTAATAGCTTTGTCCCATTCAGGAAGTCGTGCGTACTTCGCGCGCCTGCGAACCATTACTGTACAGTATGCACACGCTGTGTGTCCTGTCCACGTGACTCTCAAAAAGTGGTAAAAAAGCACCCTCTTTTATTGGGGCACTGAGCCCATAGTCTCTAATCAACTTGAACGTCACAGGGAAAATATCAGACTTTATTCAGGGTATGTTTTGGTCAAACTCAGTGGCTGTTCTACAGGAGGGCTAGGGGGATTTAGCCCCCCCCCCCCCCCAAATTTTTTTATTGTCTAGCCCCCCCCCCCCCCTCTCAAAAATCCATAAAAATGTAATGCAAAATTTAAGAATGTGACGTACATGCGAACGGTCTCCCCCTAAATAAATAGTCGTGAAAAGGATGCATTTGTACACTTTTAGTTAGTGTGCCTGATTGTAGGATATTATCAGTGCTCCCCATTGAAAATATGGCAAGTTCACCAAAGGTATCCAAGTAGTAACTGTATCCCTGTTCTGTTGCAGCATGTCCATCACCCTGTCAAACGCCGGGGCACGGGAGTGGATCCAGAAGAAACGGGCGTCGGTCCGTCCCTGGACGGAATTCCTGAAGACATCACAGTTCTCCAGGCCCAAGGGCGTCAAGGAAGTCACCACGCGTGTCGTAGCCAACATCGAGACGTACCAGAGCAACTACCTGTTTGTGTTTGTGGGTCTCCTCGTTTATTGTCTGTAAGTAATGGACAGAACGTGTGCACCAACTCTACAGCAACTTTTAAATCGTTCTCCCCCCCCCCCCCCCCCTCTCTTTGGTCACAGAGTTCATTTTTGTTCACAGTCCCCCACATCCAAAACTTACATGTAATCCTAACCCCTTGGGCACTTTTACTGGAAAGTATCCTTAATCCGCCATAATCCACCAATTTTGTCATGCAAAAAAAGTTGGTGTCCTGAATACATCAGAATCCACCAGTGAAGTACATGTACATATGTGATGCGATCAAGCTAAATGAGTCATTTGTCGACCCTGGTCATTTTTTTTTTTTTAACAGATTTGAAAAGAACACGATCTCAGCGTTACTGCTGTGAAAACCGCATGCTGATACCATCTTTAGTTCAAAAATTATGGAAGTCGGAACACCAAGAGATGTGATGAAGTGATGTGATACAGTGGCCCTATTTTGGCCTGAATCTTCAAATGAAAATTCCCGACAAACGACTCATGTAGCTTGATCGCATCACATATACATGCACCTCGTACACACCAAACATATAGCCATGGAGTTAAACCTTTGAGATCCTGAATCCATCAAAACCCTGCAGTACCACCAGGCTTATGTCCTGAATCCGTCCAAATCCCCAACTTTTTCAATATGGTGGTATCCTGAATCTGCCGAAATCCTCCAAAACATGGGTGTGGATTTTGATGGATTCAGGTACGTTAGGGTTAAAAGGGAAGATACAACATTTGCAAACATCAAAAAACAAAACGATCAAATTATCACAAAATATCTCACTGTATTGTTAGGGAATGACAGTCCAAAGCGTCCTGTAAAATCGTGGCTCCTGGTGTGCTGACATTTTTAAGAAAACTTATATTTTTCCAACACTTGTCCGCTGAGCAGCATTGGGGGAAAACTGGCCTTTTTCAAAAACTGCTCCTAGTTTTCCATATTTAGTTATTCCGCATTTTCTTTGCAATTGATTACACACCTGTGAAGGGGAACAAGCCTGCTAGACTGATTCTCTGACCTTACAATTCTTACAAAGTCTATAAATTGTTCCGTTTCATCTTAAGTAGGGTCAGGGAACCAGACTACAAGAACATTGCTGGTTTTCTTGGATTTTCCCGCATCTCTGAACCCAAAACGTGAAGCAAGTCAGTTTAACAATATTTGCTAGTATAACATACTAATCCTCCAAATCCATTTATTTCTGAAAATTGCAGCAAAAGCAAATGTTGTACATTTATGTACATTCCTTTTAACTTCTGTTGATGAATTCTGTGTTCAGTTGAGGAATTTGTTAAGGGGAATACGTTATATATATTAGGTTAAAGGGAAAACACAACATTTGCAAACATCAAAAAATAAAACTACCAAATCATTTTGAAATACCTTGCTGGACTGTTCGTGAATGACAGTGTAAAGCATCCTGTAAAATCATGGCACCTGGTATACTGTCATTTTCAAGAAAAGTGGTATTTTTGTATCAATTCCAACGCTGGTCGGCCGACCAGCGTTGGAAAAAACCTGGGTTTTTTTTCAAATACTGGCCCCAATTGACCATCGCACTTGTTTGCAATCGATTACACACCTATGAACAGGTACAAGCCAGCTAGACTGGTTCCCTGACCTTACAATTCCCAATGTATGTAAACTGCTCTGTTTCTTCTTATATGGAGTCAGGGAACCAGACTACAGGAAAATGATTGTTTTTCTTGGTTTTTATAGCATTTTCGAACCCAAAACCTAAAAAAAGTCAGTGTAACTATATTTGCTATATATTTCCAACCCCCCAATTCCATCTATTTCTGAAAATTACAGCAAAAGCAAATGATGTATATTCCCTTTAAGGTCAGGTGTAGTCAATCACAAGTCGTCCAGTCCCAAGTCAACTCACAAGCTATTCAAATGAACTGTGGCATCAGCAATCCTTTGTTCATATTCCGTTACTTGTGCTGGGACTAGTGTATTGACTTGTGACCGGACTTGATGTACTTGTGATCAATCACACGTTAACTACTGGCCAAATCCTGTTTTTCCACTCTTTTTAATTTGTTTTTTCTCCAGTATTACATCACCGCTGTTGATTGTGGCCTTGGTGGTCCTGTTTGGTGCCTGCTACTGGATCCGAGTCAAGAACGAGAGCAAGAAGCTGAGTCTATTGGGTAATGATATGAGGACAGTAATGTTAACTTTCTTAGTCTCGGCTCAAGACTGGGTGTAGCCCCTTGCCTTACCACAGTGTTTATTGACTTAAGTCTTTAAACCTAGATTTTCACTGTCAAGGAGTGATTAAAATCAAAAGTTATCCCTGTTTTTTGATCTGGTCCAATTTATCAAACGGCAAGCCACTGGCCAATTGGCACTTCATACCTTACATTGTGCATGGATACTTTTGAAGCAATTTTCTCAGAGTTTTGTAATCCGAGTTTTTGACCATGATCTGAAAATACTCTCTCAGCTGGTATATGTATGGGGCAGCACAACACGGTAACATGCCAGCTTGTTTGAATGCAGCGAGAGTATCTGTTTTGAGGGTGTTCTGTGTGTGGTTTTCACGTCAACAAAAGTCGCCTGTGGTAATCAGCTGGGGGGGGGGGGGGGGTGGTTTCTTTTTGACAGAAGTCGCCCATAGTAAGGAGAGGGTTAATTTATGTTCTCTTTTTAAAAAAAACAGTTGTTCCTTGGCAAGTGCAACAAAACCCCTGTGGCAGCAGAGGGCGCTATATCAGGATCAGTCAAATCCAGCCTTGGGAATTTGGGCACTGGGACCCGAGAAAATTAGAGCATGTACCTCTCGCACTATATTCGTTGTAATTCGTGCTTGTGAGGGACAGTATAATTTTCAGAATTTCTTGGGTCCGAGTGCCAACATTCCAAAGACTGGAGTTGATTCATCTTGCTGATAGTCCCTCTACCATGGCAGTGGCCCGGCTGCGCTTCCAAGGGAGGGCAAGGTGCCGGCTGCGTTAAAGGAACACAATCCAAATTCCAGTCTTGAGCCTAGACTAGTATCCACTTTGCGCACAACCCCTTGAGGGCGCCATATTAAAGCTTGTATCAGAGCCACATATGTACGGAGAGTTGTGACAACCCGTGCCTTGAAAGTCGGACATAACATGGTTGCAGTGTGTTTTGATTGATGTTCCTGATTATGGCTATTCGTTTTCTGTGGTCACTACACAGTGAGAAGCCATTTTGTGTCCAGTTAGTGAAACTACTGTAAGGCCGTGTCCGAATTACGTGGCTACGGCTTGAAATCACACGCGAGTCTATGGAAAGTGGCTGCAGCCGCTGTCATAGACATGTGTAGCTTCTGACGTCAATTCACTAGCTATTTAAAGATATAGTCTATCATTTGTCATTTGTGCATTTTGCTCGTTTGAAGCAACAAAAGTGCTCAAAATCTAATGAAGGATACTAAACAACTAACCTGATGAAGTTTCAGCTCAGCTTCAGCTGTATATTCCGAGAAAAACAGCTTTCTAGGATCTCAATTTCAAATCAAAAGTTACTGAATCATGTTTTGAATTGTTTTGAATTGCAGCTATACGCGACGTCGCGCACTGATCCGACGAATTATAGCAACCGCGCGCGCCTGTGCGTCGTGCCAATGCTTGCGCGCGCTTCGCCGAATAACAAAACGACCTATTGATATAAATTTTCCTATGGTGCGTCTTAAGACGCACCGTTGGAAAGGCCTTCTTTCGTTGATTACTTCAAAATGACAGCTTCCCAGAAAGAATAATTTCACAGGGAGTTTAGTCCACTTACTATCTTTCAACCAAGTGTGTTTTTCATCAATAATTACGCCAGTTACTTTTCGGATGGCTGCAAATGATGGACTATAGCTTTAATTGAAATGAAACATTGTTCGTCCTGTACTTGTGACTACAATGTAGTTTTGTAAAAGGACTTGTGAAAGGACTACTTTCAGATCATCCTCGTTTCCATGGGTATGATCTTACTGCGCCATGTTGGTTCTCATCTAATCCGAAAATTTGGGACGCTCAATACTGTGTATGAGAGTCCCAAAACTTAAGGTATCCATATTGTGCAAAAGTTTGTGCTGCATAATAAAACCAGTCTGAATCAAATTTGCCAGCTTCTTACTCACTACAGTTTCTTCAATAATCCCCGAAACTTTTGCCTCGCAAAGTTGCTGTTGTGAGCATTGCATCACCAAAAATTCAGCTTTTAATTCTAATCTTGCAGAGAGTTATCGAAATCCATACGTGAGACATCACGTTGATGTGTACTGCAATGCATTGTGCAAAAAGACTCCTCAGCTATAACATTTTCATCGTGTAGATAAAACAGCGCCCTCTTGTTGATATGAGTGAATGCAAAATGTTTCATTTTTTTTAACAGAGGGCGCTATGTTCATTTGGCCATCGATTAAAAAACAAGTAAGCTGCAAGGCTCTACCTACACCTACCCAGAATACCTTGGGAATCACACACACATTTCCAGAGCATGGAGATTGACGTGGATGGTTTTTGAACTGCCAAAAACTTGCCTTAAAATTGGATTTAAGGTCTCAAATTTCGCAGGTGACATGCTTGCAACTATATCATTTTGATGTATGTTTTGTGTGGGCATTAATTAGCCAAATGGTGAGTAAAAAAACGTCAGTAGGAATTTTGCACGTTTTTATGCACTCACGGTCCCAGTCTGGTTCCCATCATGCTTTGCGCGATCTTAACCCCTGGAATTGTGTAACTGAAATGTGCCAAATAGTGCCAATACAATGTAATACAAGTGCTAGTGTGCTGGAATTTACTACCTTACGGAGACATGCACACAATAGGGAACAAAAGATTGTATACGTCTCCAGAAGAACATTTCTATAGATGAATACGTCTCCACAAGAATTTCACGAAATAGATATATGGATTTTACTCAAAAACTAGGAATTTCCAAGGTAGGTTGATCTGTCGCAAATAGAAGAGTTTAGAAAAGGGATATTTAGTCCAAATTTCAGCCCAGGAAATTAATTCTGGTTAAAATAAGAGCATTTTGAAACTTCAATTTCAAACTCGAAAACTTTACTACACGAGAACAAAGAAATGTCTCCACAGGAATACAAATTACAGAATGTGTGTGTTAATGTGTGTGTATTTTCCTGATTTGTGCCCAGGCTACGAGTTCACATTATTCCAGCAGTACGGGGCCGTAGCTCTGTTGTCGTTCCCACTGTTTTTCGTCGCCGGTGCCACATCAGCTGTGTTCTGGGTCATAGGTGAGTTTACAAATAAGTAACTTTTTGTTGTGTGTGTACATAACTTTAATATTTCTTTCATTTCAAGAAATCAATTTTTTTGTTTACATGGTTGTGCGAAAACAAATAAAACGTGTTTTTTTTAGGAAAATGAAAAGTAACCAGAAACAGATGGTATATTGGGAAACGAAAGGGACAGAGTTCCATATCCGGCCACCATTGCATATACATGTATGCACCGCATACACTTCCTGAATTATCAATATGGCTGCCCACGCGATCGGATGTCCAAACAATATATGTTCCCAAAATATGGCCTTAAAAGAAATCATATTTTCCTCGGATGATTTCAGTTTTCCCAAGCTTAAAGGGAAAATACAACATTTGCAAACATCAAACAATAAATCTACCAAATTTTTAGGAAATATCTTGCTGGACTGTTAGTGAATGACAGTGTAAAGCATCCTGTAAAATCATGGCACCTGGTATACTGTCATTTTCAAGAAAAGTGGTATTTTTGTATCAATTTCCAACGCTGATCGGCCGACCAGCGTTGGAAAAAACTGGCTTTTTTTTCAAATACTGGCCCCAATTGACCATCGCACTTGTTTGCAATCGATTACACACCTATGAACGGGTACAAGCCAGCTAGACTGGTTCCCTGACCTTACAATTCCCCAATGTATGTAAACTGCTCTGTTTCTTCTTAAATGGAGTCAGGGAACCAGACTACAGGAAAATGATTGTTTTTCTTGGTTTTTATAGCATTTTTGAACCCAAAACCTCAAAAAAGTCAGTGTAACTATATTTGCTATATATTTCCAACCCCCCAATTCCATCCATTTCTGAAATTACAGCAAAAGCAAACGATGTATATTCCCTTTAAAAGAAATCAAATTTTCCTCGGATGATTTCAGTTTTCCCAAGCTTAATGAATTTGTCTACAATGAAAACACAAAGTGAGGTGAAATTTGTTGTTTGGCGGCAAATGTGCGGTGGCCAGACACAGAACTCTTGCCAAAGAAGGATAAACTGTTTATGTGGTGCTGTTGTTCAGGCCAGGTGAAGACAGTTGTCAGAATTGCAAAGGAAAGACTATTAAACCAGTCGGTCACTTTTAGTTTGTGTTTTGGTATTTGGTGAGAAATATGTCTCAAAGAGGAAACTGTATTTTTTTTTTTCCAATTAGCTAGAATTGACCAATCGCCGTTTGCGATTTAGCCACGCCCCTTAGACAACCCTATGAGGTTTTTGTACCCGAACTTTTGTTTATCTCAGATTTTGCGCGTGCGCGTCCATTTGTATATTTCCATTGGACAATATTTCACAAGCTGCGTTGACACGATTCTAACGCGATTCTACCGCGATAGCTAAATTAGTGAGAGTTCAAAAACATTTTGTTGGTTTTTTTTTGCAAAGGTGATTGTTCTGTTCAAATTGTGCATGTATATAACGCTTATTCCTGTTATGCCTGTGAGTGTGAGGCAAGACAGGGGCTGTTCATTCGAATAATTTAGTTTTCCATTATTCGAAACTGCGTTTGACCAATATTCAAATTTTCCAAGTTTGCTGATCAAGATCTACACGCCCCAGGTGCAACCTCGTGTCACGCCTGTCAGTATAAAGTTGCACGCAAAGCAGGCCAGTTCAACATTGTGTGAGGCGAGCGATATTATAAGCCCTGCACCCGATTTCATCAAACTCTTCGTAACTTACGATGCATCGCAGCGCTGCGACGCGTCGTATCTCTACGATGCGTCGCAGCTGCGACGCGTCCTGCGATCCATTTCACTAAACACGTCGTAAGTGCGATGTGTCGTAGGTGTATTTATAGCACAACTCGGTGACTGTTTTATGTCTTTAGTCAGCGTACAGTAAATAGTCGTCTGATATTCAACAAAGAGTCGTCGGATCTCAGCTCGAAATTTGTACTGAACAAAATGGCGGCCGTGCGATGCAATTTTGAAGGAAAACAAGCTCTCATTGGACTGTATAGCTACTTTGAAATTTCAACTCTAATATTCCGGTCTAATTCATAATTATTCAATGAATTTTCTATTTACAACTTTACACACATTGCCTCGGTATTATAATCTCGTTAAGTTAATGTTTATGTCATAAAACTGGCTTAGAAATGACTCTTCTTATTTTGCGATGACCACTAGACACGTGGTAACTTGCGACGTGTTTTAAGCCGTTGTCAAGGAATTTACGACGCGTTCAACACATCCCAACTTTAGTGAAATGGAAGATACGACGCGTTGCGAGTTGCGACGTGTTACACGTCGTAACTTGAGTTGCGACGCGTCGCAGCGCTTCGTGAAATCGGGTGCTGGAATGTTTTGCCGTGTTTTATAACTGTCAAGGGTGTTAACATGCTAAAAGGATATGAGCAATGAACTGCTGTCGACTAAAAAAAGTTACCGCCGACAAAACAGTGGAATCTGACAATAAAGCGCCTAACATTACAATTAACGTCAAAGTCATGTGTGCATGCATAGTGTTTTTTTCTTCGAATATTTAAACCGGCAAAAAGCTATTTAAGTCTTCGGTCGATGATAGAATATTCAGATATGTGGTATATTCCGGACAGCCCTAGGCAAGCTATTGATTATAATCGTTGGTGTCTGTACCCTGAAGAAAACTCGTCTGAGTAGAAAAGCAAGGTTGTTTTTCTGCACATGCCTATATTTATTTAGTGCAAGGCCAGGTGTTGAACTTTGGGAAATTTGGATGATTAGGCCAAAAAAAAAAATAAGTCGGTCTCTGGTCAGCGCGCGCGTCGATATTAATCATGCGCGTCAATCTTTTTTTTTCCAAAATGTTCCGCGGTAGCTCCAACAGCGCCCTCTATTGCCGCACCTCCTCAATTTTTTTTACCAAAGAGCACCAAGGAATGGGAAATCGCACCAAGGCAAATGATCGAGAGCACCAAGGCAAATTATGGAGGACACCAATGTACATGAGAACACCAAAAAAAGCAAAATAGTACCCCACCTTGTCTGTACAATCCAAGCTTGAAGAAAAAAAAAAAGCAAAAAAAAAAAAAAAAAAAAACGCGTCCCCGCGTTAATTCTGGAACTTTGGTCTGACCAGAGACCGAATATTTTTTTTTTTTGGCCTTAGGGTCGATTTTTAACTCGGTTGTTTTCTTGCAGGTGCGTCGTTTTTCTTCATAATGCTGCATGCGGTCATGTTTGAGCCAATCGCAGAACAGGACGACGAAGAAATCACCATGGAAGAAGTGTAAGCAAACTAAGAAACTGAAAGTGAAAAAAAAACAACCACGAAATCAGCTGCTAACGCCTTGAAACCAGGGGCCAAAAATATCATGGGAACTGCCAAGCAGAAATGTACTGCTTAAACCAATTTATTTTGTAAGCAAATTCATTAAGAGTTTGTAGGAATATTTGCAATGGATTACCGAAGTGAATACTTCACGGTCACAAAATGTGTGTGAAAGACATTAGCGCGTGATTCAGCCCGTGAACCAACACGCGCGCGTACTCCATTCGTTTGCACTGCACTTTCTGGTTCTAAATGACGTCAGACTTTGGTACTCCATTACTGTTTTTTTTTCAAAATGTGTAGTATCCACTGAGCTGAAACTTCAACAAGTCAGTTGTTATGCACCCTTCTAAAGATTTTGAGCAATTTTTTTGTTCTAACGAAAAAAAATGCACAAAGAACAAATGATCCTATCATAACCTTTAAGCAAAACATCAGCTGACAACCTCTCACAGGCAATTATGTGTTGGATGGTAACCTATTCTTCACAAACCTTTAATTGTCTGTGTTTAGGGGCCGTCCATAAAGTACATGAACGTACGCACAAAGGGGGGGGGGGGGTGTTAACATTGTGTACACCATGTATAGCTTGGGGGGAGGAGCCAATGCGTACATACGCAGAGCAACAATTTGCTTTCAAGAATTTGTCATAAAATCAATGTACTTTCTCATGTTTAATACCTACTAGGACCAGTATTTATGCATGGAAAATTGTTATAACACAGTACCCTTTACCCCAACCATTTAGATTTATCTTCCTAGTGCCACCGCTAGCCAATGCCTATAGTATACAAATATTGAATGGCTCAGAGTGAAATGGGAAGAATATTGTCGCAAGGTAACATCTGGACTTTTCCGTTTCGCGAGGCGAAGCCGAGTGAATTGAAAAAGTCCAGATTTTACCGAGCAATAATATTCCTCCCATTTCACAATTTAAAGCCACGCAATATTTGTTTTATATAATTTAGATCCTTGTCATTTGATATACTTGAACTTTTATTTCATTACAAAAATGGTGGAAAATGTATTTCTCTCTTCCAAACCACCCCTTCACGAAAATGTTTGAATCCAACTTTGTGGGGCTAGCTCTTTGGAACAATACCCGCAACGCTGAACGCGCACACCAGCATGCATTTGCACACAAATGCCTCGTCATGGAACAAGCATCGATCCTAACTGTTGAATAGTATTTCCCATTCCCCATGGGCGGATGGGACTTTTTGAGCCCCGGCGTGAATGGGATAACGAATGTCACGTGATGTGAGTTCCACCAATCAAATGACAAGGATCTGTATATCAGTTATATACACGTAAAGGTCAATAAACTTCAGAGACCACGACATTACTACATAAAAAGACTGCTTCAATCAGCCGAAAAAGGGTAGCGCATTCGTAATGCTTTGTAATGTACATGTGCAGTACATGAACATGGACACCCAAAACGTACAGTGTACATGTATCTTGCATGTATCAATTTATGGAATATGTATGCCTGCAGGGGGGCGGGGGATTGGAACTACTGCTTATGCCATATATACAGGAGGGAATGGGGGGGGGGTCTAAAAAGTAAGCATTTTGTGTGTACTTTATGGACGGTCCTTAGCAGCTCCACGTTTATCTGCTCAATTTTGGTTCTATGGAAGGGTGAGGGTGTGGAGGGAAACCTTTCATGTAAATTTGTGGAGAAACTAAGCACTGTCAGTATCAGAATTTTCAATAGTCAATATATCGGAAATCCATTATCAAGAATATTCGATATATCGATTATCCCATGTAAATGGGTGACTTGTGCGTAAAGCGCTCGCCTCTCACCAAGGTGACCACGGTTCGAATCCTGGTCGCGGATCGCATGTGAGTAGAGTTGTGCGTTGGTTCTCTCCTGTGCCACGAGGGTTTTTCTCCGGGCCCTCCGGTTTTCCTCCCTCCGGAAAAATCAAGCACTTTCGATCTCAGGCTGTGCTCCGTGGTCCTATATGGGTTGATGTGGCCGGCAGCCATAGGTGCCTTTACGTGCCAGCGGCCCGACCACGTTGTAGCCGCGTCCTTCGCAATCTAGCATACCAGCTGCGAGTAAGGATGATTAGCCTCCCAAATTATTATTATTATTATAAATGTTAAAGACCGTAAAGATGACATTTTGACTTTAAAAAGAAAAAAAATCTTAAGTCCTAATTTTCCACGGCTTTACCTGGAGCATATTGCTCAAACTTTTTAAAACCACTCTCAGCCTTGAGAGTTTGTCTGGAACGGGTGGTTTCTTGTGAGATTTTACATTGTGGAAGACCGTGAATTCCAGCGAGCACAGAGCACAAAGCGACGCCGCTTGGCATTTTGCGATGTTTTTATTTTGAGTCACGAGCACAAGTTGCCACCGAGTTTTATTTCATTATACAGCAAACTTTCAACACACAATAAGACCCCTAAAAAGTCTCTGGTTTCTGGTATGGAGCTTGCCCAAAAAGTGGCGCAGCGACACGTTTTTGTTGTTGTTTTTTTTACCATTTTTTTTCTTCAAATGTCGGCTGATGACTGCAAATGGTGCCCGACTAAACTTAGTGCAAATATATATGGGAGTCCAGAGAGGCCTCATAAAGCTCATACTCGATCGTAACCCAATCTTAAAACACATTAAAATTGTGCAGCAGCAGGATTCCATTCAAACCAGTGAGTTTCACAGTTTTGAGACATCATCTTTGACATTGGGAAAAAAAACTTTTTCATTTTGCCGACGCACTGGCTACGGCGATGCGCATGCATACATGTACCAGAAACCGGAGCCTTTTTTTGGGGCCTAAAAGCACCAACGGCAGATTTATTTTGAATATTTTCGGTATCATTCATCAATATCGAAAATTTCAATAAAATTATTTTGATATGATTAAAAAATTGCGTTATCGATATCAAAATAATATCGAGTAATATCGATATATCGACGGTGCATAGGAGAAACCATCTTTATTGCATGCTAACTTTTTTTATCATGTTCATTTTTTGGGAGATTTTTAGTTTTAGGTAATAAACCCTGTTAAAGTGCCTAAGAAAAATCTAGGCACTAGTAAATTCAGGGTTTTTTTATAGATTTTGTGCTTTTATTATGAGTAAAAGACTACAAATGACATCATAGCTAACTGCATGTTTGTATTCATTTCACTTCAGATCATTCGGCCAATAGAAGCTTCCCTTGCACGACGCAGCCAAGCATGAAAACCCTTGTTATTAGTGCTCATATAATACACCTGTCCTGATTGGTTGAAAGCAGAGCCCCGGTTCCATTTTAGTGAATTAATCGGTGAGGGGTTACTTTCTTCCTTCTACCCTTGGTTTTTCTAACGGGAGCTGCGTTTGGTAGATAGTCATGAAGTTGGCACATTGAGCATTTTGACCCTTTTGTTTTTGCTGCAAAAACTGGTCTCATGGTCTGATGACCAGAGGAGTATAATTGACCTATCGTCGTTTGCGAGTTAGCCACGCCCCTAGACAACCCTATGGAGTTTTTGTACACTTAGTTTTGTTTGTCTCAGGATTTTGCGCGTTACGCGTCCATTTGTATGTAATTGGACAATTTCACAAGCTGCGTTGACGCGATTCTAATGCGATTCTAACGCGATAGGTCAATTGTACTGGTTGTCAGCAAGTTCTCACAGATTTTTTGTATATTAGGAAAATTAATTCAAGATAGATGTCTCATCTGCAAAATACGCTGTAACAACCATTACTCAGTCAAAAATTCCATGAAAGTGTGAGTCACTGTGGACTGCCGGTAGGTGCAAAGTGGTAAATACAGTGAAATCTCGATCAGTCAAACCTCAAGGGAACAGGCTCAAAATTTGACTTAAGCAGAGTTTTGAGTTAAGCAGGGTTGTATATCATTGTTATACTACTGAAGGGAATGGATTCTTTGTTTGACTTAACAGTTGTTTTGAGTTACGGTATCAGAGTTTGACTTATGGAGATTTCACTTTAAACTGGCATTTAATTAAGGGGTCAACATGGTCATATGGTGTGGGTTTTCATGCTCACCTGTAGTACCTAAAATTAGCAGTCTGTGTAAAGGTTTGTTTATTGTTCGCTCGTACCCCCCGCCCTGCAAACAGGACGCTGGTCAGGGCTGACGTCATTTGAGCTCTCATTGGATAGATTTGCGTGACCTGTGACGTAGAACGCGTCACACAAACTAGCTTCCGGTGCCCATCATGCGTAGCGCGTTAGCTGCATGCGAAGGTCAATCTGTACTTCCTTCACAAGATTCTGTGAAGCTCATCAGCCCTTACCAGCGCCCTGTTTGTAGGGCGGGGGGTACGAGCAAATGTTTATTGATGGAGGTCTAAGCTGCTTTAATGGCTCTGTGCAAGATCAATAGAGGGCAGTATGCAGCATTTTCACAAGTGAAATCAGAGTTTAAAGCTAATCACAATATCGTATTTATGACAGATTTTTCATATGAAAATGAGATTTATATATGAACTTCTATCCATTGTCAATCTGGTAAACCATACAAGTAAATTTCCCAAATGAAACAGATATCAATTTATGTACTGGAATTAATAAGGGAATAAATGTGTGCTCCGGAGGTTTTTATCACTCGTTTAATACCGCTTAGAGTCTGGGTGCTGATAATTACCCGAGCCGGAGGCGAGGGTAATTATCAGCACCCAGACTCTAAGCGGTATTAAACGAGTGATAAATACCGACCGAGCACATATTTATTCCCATTCATAAATACCTTATCCGTAAAAAAATTTCAAATAATTCGTTCAAAAAATCCCGATTTTGTTCAACAAGTTCACTTCATGCTTTTGAAACATCCCTCTAGCAAAATAATGGAGTGTTCAGCTGGCGAGTAAGATGTAAACAACCCTTTTATGGAGATTGACGCGCGCGTAACATGTTCTGCGCGATGTCACGCAGAACGCACCTGAGGCGTTGCGTTTTGAATTTAGAACTATAAAATTCTGACTCGCTTGTAGTGTTGCGCATGCCTACGTGAGGATTGTGAACGTTCAACCAATGAAACGGTAAGAGGCACTGGATTTTTAGGAGTCCACATTTTATTGTGACACTGGAAAAGTGTTTAAGACCAGCTAGCCATGTCTTTATCATCCGTTTAATACCGGCCACGTGACGGGCTCTCGACCAATAGGAATAGCTAAACTGTCTGAGGTATTTATGAATGTAAAATAAAAAAAAAAATCCCCGTTATTGGGACAATCGTATGCCTGATTGCATGGCAAGAAGACATGGATTATGTGGGACATAAATTTGTGATTTCAAGGCGAGTCCACCACAAGGCCATCACAAGTCCTTTTCATTAGTAAATCATAAGTGGTTTCACAAGTCTAGTCACAAGTAACAGGGGGTGAACAACATAACAAAGAAATGCCTTTGTTGTACAGGGCGAGTAAAAACCAAATGCAACCCAAATGGCAAGACCAATTTTTGAATGAAGTTTTGCCTGTAGCACTCTCAAATATATGAAAGCCCAGTCATATCCCAGCTAGGATATGAAAGCCCAGTCATTAAGCTGTCTTTTAGTACAAGAATCATTCAAATCACTCATGTACTTTTCAAGTTACGGCATTTTGAACACAAGCACTGTTTTAAACTTCTGTCAACGGATCACAAACAAAATGTAAGTACTGTCAGCAAAATGAAAGCAGTTCACATGCAACCCTATGAGAATTGTTTTCGTTTTGCTGAAAGAACACTTACCATTTTTGATCAGTGGACAGAACTTTAAAACGGTGTTGGTGTTCAAAATTCCGTAACTTGAAAAGTACACGAGTGATTTGAATGATTCTTGTACTAAAACAAAGCTTAATGACTGGGCTTTCATATCCTAGATTTTGAAAGTGCTACAGGCAAAACTTCATTCAAAAATGGGTCCTGCCAATTGGGTTGCGTTTTTTTTTTGTTTACTCGCCCTGTAATTCATTTAAACTGCTTGTGACTTGAACTGAGACTGGAGGACTTGTGATGCATTCGTGATGGACTTGACAACAGCTGTGGGAGACTTCACCCCAACTCCATCAGAATCCATCCCCCCATGTTGGTGGATTTTGAGGGACTTGGTCCAGAAGGCCTGGCGTGGTTAAATATTGATGGCGTATGATGGACTTGGGCCTAATGGCCTGAAGCAGTGCTAGGGGTATCCTATGGTGGCCCTGAAGGGACATCGCATATCGCAAACGTGTGCGCATACGTATGCGATGTCGCGAAATTTATCGCGAATGTGTGCGCACACGTATGCGATGTCGTGAAACAATTCGCGAATATGCGCGCACACGTATGCGATGTCGCGAAATTTATCGCGAATATATGCGCACACGTATGCGATGTCGTGAAATTAATCGCGAATATGTGCGCACACGTATGCGATGTCGTGAAACAATTCGCGAATATGTGCGCACACGTATGCGAATTTGTTTGCAATGTCGTGAATTTTATTGCATACCTTGTCGCATACCTTTCAGTAAAATTCCTAATGAACTGGGGAGTTGTAGCAGCTAGTCTGGAATCTAGACGTACTGTTAGATATAAATAGGGTCTGACTAATAAACCTTCGCGCGCACGCTTGTTCCTCGTGCAATCGTTACTACTAGTACTGTCGAGCGCAAACTTGCTACTTGCGCAACTTTGAAATTATTAGTCAGACCCTATTTATATCTAACAGTACGTCTAGATTCCAGACTAGCTGCTACAACTCCCCAGTTCATTAGGAATTTTACTGAAAGGTATGCGACAAGGTATGCAATAAAATTCACGACATTGCAAACAAATTCGCATACGTGTGCGCACATATTCGCGAATTGTTTCACGACATCGCATACGTGTGCGCACATATTCGCGATTAATTTCACGACATCGCATACGTGTGCGCATATATTCGCGATAAATTTCGCGACATCGCATACGTGTGCGCACACATTCGCGATAAATTTCGCGACATCGCATACGTATGCGCACACGTTTGCGATATGCGATGTCCCTTCAGGGCCACCATAGTATCCGATTGATTTTGTTAGTAGTAGCTTCCTGTTCTGCTATTCGCTCTCTTTGCACGCTTCCGCCGTCAGCATGCAGAGCCTCGATCGGGCAACTTTACACAATACATTTAGCCGGTTCATCAGTGATTCCAGTGTCGGGGTTAAGTGATACACGGGAATCACAGTGTATACACGGGAATCACAAAAGCGGCTAAGTTTATTGTGTAAAGTTCCAAGGTCAACCAGTGCGTCAGTGGTGGATTCCATTATTAGACGCACAGTGATTGATGGATTCGGCCCAGTTCCTAGTAAAAAACGCTAGGAGGTTGGGGTTAACAATGCAAATACTTGTACAGTGTGCATGTTTATGTTGGATATAATTTTAAACATCGTAAGTTAATCTTATTGGTTCGATCTGGAGAATTTAGCAAAAGATAAAGTCTTGGTTGAAAGGTTATAATGTAAAAGTTAAGAGGCATGTACAAGTGTAAAATGGTTAAATAGATGGACATTTATATTTTTGCAATGTTTAGTTTATATTTTCTGGTAGTAATTTTCTTGTTTGTTGGAATCTTTAAGCATAGAGCAAGGAACTTGCTCTTGGCTTTAAGGGACAAGTTTACTTAATTAAGCGTAGATGTTGGTGCAAGGGTGCAACCATATGCTATTTTTTTTCAACCAGTGATTATTACTGAGGTGGTTTATCTCTTTCTACAGATTGCCACGTGCACCGGCATTTTGGGTGTCAAATGTGCTGTATTTTGAAGAAATTTTGAACAACACGTGCGCTTGTTTAGAACATTTTGCCTACTGCGCGCACACGCACGTGGCAGGGTGACCGTAAGGTCAGAGCCAAATTCAGCTAAATGCACATCAAAAATCTGTTAGATTTATCAAAAATCTGCCACATTTCCCAGAATTACTCGAAATACACCTTAAACACTTAAAATCACATGCAGATTGGTAGTACTGCCTTAATTAAGATTCAAATTACATAATAAACAATCTAGTCACATTAAGATGTGAAATTATTGGTACAAATTTCGGGCAAAGCGCAAATCCGGCCACTACGAAGTACGTTTCCCAGAGAACCTCAGCACCTAGACCAGCCAACCTGTCCCATTATGCAAGGGTTTGTTCGAAAGGATTGAAGTTTTTTTCAAACAAATGTACACTTTTTGTTCAAATTTGCAGTTTTTCTGTTAAATAATCATTTTTGCAGAATTCTGCCAGAAATCTGCCGAAAAATCCATTCTGTCAAATTTTCTGTCAAACTCATTTTTTAACAAAAATTCTGTCAAAATTAGCCGAAAATCCGCTAAAACGGTCACCCTGGCACCTGGTTGTGTTGAAGACGCAGTTGTAATTTTCCTACAACGATGGCATCCTGCGAGAGAGATCTATTGCCTTGTAAAGTTTTACCCGTAGAGCTATATTAAATTAATTTAATACAACAGCTCTGTGTGCCTTATTCATGAGTCGGCCATTTTGAATTGAAATTTAGGTAAAATCTGAATTTTTTGAACTGGCGAAGAGAAATGAAAGCAAGTTAATTTATAATAAATTTCAGTCTGCTTCTATGAATAAGTTAAAATTTGTAATTAAACATTCCCTAGTGTTTAAAGCCAGATTTTAAAAAAATCCCATTCAACAGTTAACAATTAATGAAATACATTCAGGGAACTCGACAAAAATGGCCAACTCGTGAATAAGGCCAATGGTTATACCGCTGAACTACTTTGCATCACGTGAGCTTGGAACATGTACATTTGTGTAATACTGTTCTGTTTTTGCCACCATATTCAAGGTGTTTAGATATCACAAAGGGCCACGTCACCCCAGGCAATTGTCACGGCAACTTAGATGCTATACCGAGAACAATTCAACTTCTAAAAGCAAAATGAACCCTTTGCATAGAAAAATATGTATTTCCCCCAATAGTTGATTTAAAAAATAATTTATGAATTTTGTTCAGGCAAAATCTTTCAAATTCGGTGTACGTGTAGGCCTTATCAGTTCTTTTTTGTTTAGTTTCTGGCAACCAGTGTCGGTTGCCAACACAAAGCCTTGTGTGACGTAGTCGTATTACATATTAAACTTGATTGATTTAGTTTGTTTGTGAACTTTGGCCTTTTTTAAAACCGATTTATGACATTTTTGTTGTGTCCACACTCATATCAGTGCATGTGTATAAACGTAACGGTGAAGTATTATCATATTGTTTTGTTTGTTTGTATTTTTACCTTTGGAATCTCTCTTGTAAATACATGTAGAGATATCCAGGGCGAGTATTAGACTGGTGATCGTAGAGATGGAGCAGGGCATAACAGCGATAGCTATTCGCTGAACAGATTAGATGAAACATGTGCAGACATCAATTTATTTAGACATTAACTCTCCTGTGCAGACATGCACTCTCTGCAAAGTTGTCCTTTCAGTCAAATCAGTAATGTGACTGTTTGGAACAATTAAGAGCTCCCGGCTTACATAAAGCAGGATTGACTGGCTGTGACTGTTAATGTAACTTGATACAGCTACGCTTGACTCGTATTAAAGGCAGCTGTGCCTTCCACTTGCCTGCTTATGTCGGTTGACTGAATTTGACTAGTCACGATCACAGTGCTTGCCTGAATTATGATCCGACTGTGCTGTTGGTGACCAGCCTGTGTAAAAGGCATGGCATTCTAAGTCCGACGCCTCATAAGTCCGAAATTTCAGACTTATGAGGCGTCGGACTAATGAGGCATAAATTCCGCCTCCTTGACTTGACTTGAAAAAATTGTCTTGGGACTTGACTTGACTTGTGAACAGTTGACTCGAGACTTGACTTGACTTGGAAGAAAAATTGACTTGAGACTTGACTTGACTTGGAAAAAAAAATTGACTTTGGACTTGACTTTGGAAAAATGTCTTGGTTACAACTCTGCATTTTAAGTCCGACGTCCGGACTTATGAGGCATAAATTCCGCCTCATAGGTCTGACATACGCCTTATGAGTCCGACGCCTCATAAGTCCGACAATGGAAAAACGCTGTTTCGGACATGAGGCGTCGGAGCTATGCGCGTCGGACTTATGCGGCGTCGGACGTATGAGGCGGAATAAATAAATGTTATGCCTCATAAGTCCGAAATTTCGGACTTATGCGGCGTCGGAACTATGCGGCGTCGGATCTATGAGGCGTCTGTCTTGTGAGTGGACTCCTGGAAGCTGGGGAAAAGGATATTTATTAATTAAAAACTTGTACGTGAAGGAGACGATATAGTGCAACATTGTAGTGCACACCATAATGGTAAGGAACCTTATTACGTGTATATTGCGCGAGGCTTGAAAAGCTTTCGAACACCAGTGCTTTGAAAAAAATTTGCTGAACATAATTATCAAGATGAAAGTCGCATGAAGATACGGCCTTCCAAATGGGAGAAATTGATTTTCAAAGAATTCGCCCACGAACATCGACATGTCTGTAGCTCTAGTAGGAATGTTCTCTAAAGTCAAACTAGCTTGCTCTGGGTCGTCTGTGTTGATAGCTTTATTCCATGCCGCATCTTTAAGATGTTGCATGAGAGATGGCTTTTCTCTGTCGTTACATAGTCTACGGGGTGCTTGTCAATTTAGGAGGGGCTGAATTCCTGAAAAAAACCTCGACTGTGTTGTGATCTGAGGAGTGCAGCTCCAACAGTGTTGGAAAAGTGTGATGGAGCGTCAACTACACGTCTGTACCACCATGTCAAGTGGATTTCCATCTGCTGTCTTTGACTGGTCATGTTCAGACAGCAGGAAGGTTAGCAGGTAAATATCCACGTTAGTTATAGGGGAAAAAACATAATTGCCTTTTCGGAAAGAATGTTGAAGCCTGCAAGATTTTCTTACCAAATTGGAAATATTTCTCAGTCCCAGATCTTATCATCATTTTTGCAAAGCATGACCTTCATTGAGATGATATATAAGAAAAAAAGTGGCGTCATAGAAAACTTTCTTAAGTTGACTCTCCATAGACTTTGTGTACACAATCGCCGAAGTGGTGTCGGGTTGCAACATTTTTTCCTCGAGCCCCTTTTAGTTTAGGCTCACTCCCCGGGTAATTCTACATGACTCCACACGACTAGGCGGTTCTTCTCCGATCCCTAACTCCCTAAGGGGTGTGCTAAATCGTATTAATATTGGAGGATTCAGGGCTGTTAGGCATGGGCGTCGCGAGGGGGGGGGGGGGCAAGGGGGGGGGGCACTTGCCCCCCCCCCCCCCTGGAAAAGCAAAAAAACAAAACAAAACAAAAGCAAGAAAAAAAAGAAGAAAAAAAAAGAAAAGAAAAAGAGGCGCGAAGACAAAGTGGTGTAAATTTAATGAGTTGGGGGGGGGGGGTGCAAAATGTCCCTGCCTCCCTCTAAAACTGATAATTCGAGAATGTGTTGAGAAATACAAGCATTTTTTGGCAAACATTTTTTTTGCCCCCCTCTAGAAAAAATCCTGGCGACGCCCATACAGTGTTAGGGTTAATTAACCATGCAGAACCGACGACAAAAACAAGTGCGAGTGCACAATAAGCTGTGACCGTGTTGTAAGAAGTCTTGCATGAAATCGATTAAATTGGTTCCTAACTCCATGGTTAGAGGAAGAGCTGGAAAATGCGACGCTGAAAAATGAAACGCCGATGGCACATAGGGAACACCATACACGGGAACCATCACAATACACGGGACCCATTAAAGTGCCACAGGCCTGAGGCCAGAGGGTCTGTTTCTGTTTCTGTGCCATAAACGCACAAACACCTAGAAGGTTGTCGACGTACGTTGGTCAGGGTCAGGTGTGCAGCAAATAAATTCTTGATTGGGTTTTGGAAGCCAGGTCTTGAATGTTGATGTTGTCCAGCGCCAGTTTGAAAGTCTTAATGTCAGGTGAAGAGCGGATGTTAGGATGAAGTTGATTCCATTCTAGGATGGTCTTTGGGTACATTGAGTAATGAAAGCAGTCCTTATTTGTGGTGATGACTCTATATGAGAAAGGTCCGGTCTGTCTAGTAGAAACCCCCCTCGATGAGTTGACGATGTCGGTAAGGAAACCAACGAAGAAGCCCCCTAGCCCTCAAGTTTACACGTGACCATTACATTATCACACATTAGTATTTGACAAAAATCATAAACAATGTCACAAAATTGTTACAAACAACTTCACGAATCGTTACAAACAATTATTGTCAACTATTTAATGTATTTGGTTTGCTTTTGGTACTTGCAGTATTATGGGTGAGTTGGGTTTTGTTTTATTTGTATTATTTTATTTTATTTTATTACACTTCTCCACTGGCTGATATAAAAAATATTACAAGATTTACAGAATCACACATCAAAAGTCTAGAATTTACAATTTCAATAAATTGTACAATTTCAATAAATTGTAAAAAAAAAAGAGTTTGTGCCTGAATACGGATTAAGCCAGTGAGTTGCAAGATGGAACAGGTGACTATCACCAGCCATCCTACCACAGGAAAACCAGATCCTATTTTTTTCTTTTTTCTTTAAAAAAAAGGAGAGGGGACGGGGTGTATGATAGGTAGAAAAAAAGCCAAAGGGGAAAGCAAGGAAAAGAAGAAGGAATATACATATATATATTTTTTTTGGGGGGGGGGGGGACCGGGAGTCCGGGACCGATCCGACAGACCCCACCGATCGGCACCAAAGTGATTTTATTTGTATAGAATTATTGACGAAGGAATAGACTTGCCAGAACTGATCGAGGCGGCGCCGGGAGAGACAAAATTGGGACAGTTCACATCAGACCGTAGCCTGCTAGGATAAGTTGCACCATTATTGGTCTGTCATACTTTTACTAAAATTAAAAAGCGACGCGGGACAAAGAACTGCGACGATCGAGACACGGGCCGGCGGCCCCGCCCCTGTATAGCCCAATAAGCCATTTGCGTGTAACCTATACCCTTTGGGATTTACATTTGAAAAACGTCTGGTACAATGACTTGCTCAGAATGCTTGGCACATTTTAACTGTGAATTCTCCAGACCAAAGACGCTGTTGCTAATCACATGATTCGGGGCAAGCTCTTGCATAGTTACGTAAGAGACGCTCAGCATCAATACATCGTTCACAATGGGTGAGAATGGCACAAAGACACCAGACCATGCCGGAGCTGGGGGTTGCTAGCATAAGGCTTGCCCCGAATCACGTGATATAGTAACAGTCTCTTTGGTCGGGAGAATGCTAGGTTAAAACGTGCAAAGCATTGTATTAAGTCAGCGTTCCAGATTTTATTCAAATTTAACACGCAAATGGCTTATTCGATCGATGAGGTCACACCCGTACCCATTCAGCCTCGTCCCCAGTGCTTACTTTATTTCCAACACGGTTTCCAATAGAGAGCAGGTAGTGATGGGCGCGTACTGCTCGACACCCTGGGTACGAGGTTGGTACCCATTGATCTCGACAGGTGTAGCATGAATTTAGGTTTTATGAAGTACGGACTCATTGGTGGTATTGCGCATGCTTATGCATAGATAATTAGGAGAGGGACCGGTCACGTGAGAGGGTTTAACCAATAAAATGGAAAAAGAGTCCGATTTTCATACGAGTCTGATTTTCATATGACACCGGCCGGACGTACGGCCGGACGTACATTATTATACGCCGCATTTATGCGCTATATATGCATATATGTACATTAAGCACGCACGCCGTCACATCACATCACACGTAATTTAGTCACGCAGAAATGGAACCGTTTATTTTATATGCTAAAACCATGGAGAAATAAGAACACACGGGCTCGCTAGTCACAGTTAATTCGCAGAGAGATTGCCGAAGGTCTGAAGCAGTGAAGGGCTTTTGTGTTAGCCGTATCTTAGCCGTGCAACGATTTACAAAACGGTGTTCACTGTTGAATGAAACCATTGATTGTGTGTTGTGCTGGTTACCGTTGTGCTCATCCGCGGCCGGCCGGCCGCGCAGGAAGTGTGTCAAGTTCATTATTCAGGTTATTCACATCCATGACATCTGCGTGTATACATCCACGTGTACAAATTAACAGAGGCCAAGTTAACTAACGATCACAGCGCAGCCAGTGCTAAAACACAAGATGGCGGCCAGCAGGAAAAAAAGTCTTATAATTGCTTTTGTGTGCGTTGGATTTTTCCTGTTCGTAGAGCTTGGATTTTGGAGCACGGGTGGAACTGGAAGCGTTTCCTCAAATAATGCAGGTAGGCTACGGTCTTCAACAATGCAATATATCTTGCCATGCTTGCTGTTTTGTGAGGGGTGGTTGGTGGTGTCGACAACTTACTAGCCTATGGCGGGTATTACTTGTAGGGCCTAATACCCATAGTTCTAGGGATAGGTGTCGACATGGTTGATCCATTTCTGGCGATGTTTATTTAGGCCTAACAGCCTAATGTTTGAGCTGTTGACAGTTGTTATTCATGTCATTAATTGTAGCAATGCCTAGTCTGCTAGTAGTCCGAGTAACTTGGACCCAACTTATCGCCTTTTTTAATATTTGGACATGGTCTGGCGATAGCGCCAGACCATGTCCAAATGTTAAAAAAGGCGATAAGTTGGGTCCAAGTTACTCGGACTAGTCTGCTAGTGGGGGGTCAGACAACTCGACCGTTTAGATAACTCGACTCGGGACAGCTCGACCATTGAGACAACTCGACCGTTACTCCTAGCCTCATAGATAGTTCTAGGAGTACTTGACCGTTGGGACAACTCAACCGTATGTGCGTTAAATCATAAATGGAAAGAAAAGTCGCCCGTTGAGACAAGTATTTTTCGGGGAATATTCATACCATGACAAAATTGAGCGGGATCGGAACCAGACAGGGCTCTGGAGTGCTCTGAAACGTGCAAAACTAAATCAGGCCCAGTTTACTCACAGTTTGGCCAGCAAATTTTTCCAAAAATTCCACTGGGCAAAAGAAAAGGTCCTCAGTATTTCATCAACCAAGTTTACGGACTCAATTTAAGTTTTAAAGGAGACTTTTCTTCAATATTTTGCACATGAGAGGAAAGTCAAATGAATTCAAAATGGGGCTAAAGACTAGACTGGTACTAGCCCCATAAATGTGGCCTATTTACTGGACTGCCTCCGTAAACATAGGCCACACATCCACATGTACAAAAAACGTGTCGACTTTGCCAAATTTTGATTTTCACATTTAGGCTTACTTTGTAGATTTTTTTTGCTTTAGAAGCATTCTCACCCTCTATATAGGCTAATCAGAAAGTGCTGCCTTTTTCAGATGTTTAATTTTTGTGAAATTTCATGTTGAAATTTTGATACGGAAACATGTGCAAATGTATCTGGAAATTTCACGAAAAATGGACATCTGAAAAAAAGGCAGCACTTTCTGATTAGCCTATATAGAGGGTGAGAATGCTTCTAAAGCAAAAAAAACGTAAAAAGTAAGCCTAAATGTGAAAATCAAAATTTGGCAAAGTCGACACGTTTTTTGTACATGTGGATGTGTGGCCTATGTTTACGGAGGCAGTCCAGTAAATAGGCCACATTTATGGGGCTAGACTGGTACATGTCCAACCATGGTCCAACCATTTGAAAAGACTGACCTCTTCATTCAGTGTCAATAGTCTGGTGGCTTGACTATGGAGAAATGTGTAGTAAATTGAGACTAAGGGGGCCTAGTTCCCAGTTCATGCCACATGTTTCTTAAATTCTTTTTGCATGGTTGATTGATGCAGTACTGAAGCTGTGTTGGACTGGTTGTTTCTGTTGCCAGTCTATTTTCTTGTTTTGCATGTTTTCAATACCTTAAGTTTTGGGACTCTCATACACAGTATTGAGAGTCCCAAATTTTTGGACTAGATCGGAACCATACTTTGCCCGTGCCTCATGGCGTGCCATCTGGCATTGTCTGGTCTCATCGCGTTATTTGCTCGGTGCACGCCTGGACAGTGCAAAAACCACCCTAGAAAACCACCCTAGACTGTAATGACTTCTAATCATCATGGCAAATGAATAGGCAAGGAATTTAGTGTCAAACAAAGGCACCCTCTGAAGTTTACACGTCCCAATCCCCCCCCCCCAAAAAAAAGACACCGATATCTTGGGGGGAAAAAGCTCTTTAGGCCCCCCAAAAAAGTCTCCGGTTTCTGGTATGGAGCTTGCCCAAAAAGTGGTGCGGCGACGCGGCTTTTTTTTTTTTTTTTTTTAATGATTTTTTTGCTTCAAATGTCGGCTGATGACTGCAAATGGTGCCCGACTAAACTTAGTGCAAATATATGGGAGTCCAGAGAGGCCACATAAAGCTAATTCTCGACCATAACCCAATCTAAAAACACGTTAAAATTGTGCAGCACCAGGATTCCAGTCAAACCAGTGAGTTTGGCGGTTTTGAGACATCATCTTCCATTGAAAATATGTTTTTTTCATTGTGCCGACGCGCATGGCTACGGCGACACGCGCGCATACCAGAAACCGGAGACTTTTTTTTTTGGCCTTAGTGTAAAAGTCAATATATGGGGCCATTTAAAGAACAAAATGGTGTCAGTGCCTTCAGTTACTTGTACCGATACCTTCATTATTCATTGGCGTGCTTTGTTGTTGCAGCGGTGCCAAACTGCCACGAATATCGTTTTTCTTAAGTTACCATCGATCGTGATAGGTTGGTGTTAAGAGAGAAGTCGCTCATAATTCAAATCAATACTGCACATCTGCTTTTCGTCCACGCCCGCTTCCTTTTTGGAGGCCGCCTGGATTTTTTTATAATTTTTTATTTTTGAAAAATGCAGTAAAAAAACACCGAAAAAGTCCACAAATTCATCGGAAAATAAATTGTAGACCAATACAAGTCTAAATGACACTGCAAATACATGTTCAGTTCTCTTGTTCAACTTATATTTCATTTGAAAAGGCGGGGATGCTAAACTTGTTTTTTTAATTTATTTGGCCTTATATAACGGAAGCCTGCATATATATATATCGGTACATACATTATGTATTATTATGGTAATGTCGATGGACCAAATCGAAAATCACACAAATACTTAAGAAAGAAACCTGAACGTACCTGAATCCGTCAAAATCCACACCCCTGTTTCGGGGGATTTCGGCAGATTCAGGATACCTCCATATTGCACAAACTGGGGTATTTTGATGGATTCAGGATACCTCTATATTGAGCTGTTGGGGGACTTTGGCGGTTTCAGGATCTCAACAGATTTACTCCCGCCTAACTGGTGGATTCTGATGGACTCACTGGCCACCAACATTTTTTTGCATGGCAAAATTGATGGATTTTGGCAGATTCAGGATACTTTCTAGTAAAAGAGCCCAAGGGGTTTGGGTTAACCTGATTTAACCTGATTTAATTAACCCTAACACCTAACTCAAGTTACTCAACCCATCAAACCCCAACTGCATGTTTTGTTGGAATCTGTCTGGATGGGGACAGTACCCCTAAACTGACAGTCTTTCACATTGGGTTGGCACACCAGAATCAAAGTCAGAAATGTATGTGTGCAGTTTCCGATATGGTGTTGGAATTTGCCAGGATGGGTATCGTTTCTAGTAAATCATGCTACGGAGTCAGGGATAATGAGACACTTCGAACATTCAAATGCAGATGCCCTTTTTTTCCAGCGCTTACCCCCCCCCCCCCCAATTTTATTTTTAATTTAAATCCGTCATATGATCCCTGTCTCATGACTTTGTTTTTTGCCCAAAAAATGACATCTGTTACACTTAAGGCCAAAAAAAAAAGTCTCCGGTTTCCGGTATGCGCGCACGTCGCCGTAGCCATGCGCATCGGCAAAATGAAAAAGTTTTTTTTTTCAATAAAAGATGATGTCTCAAAACCGCCAAACTCACTGGTTTGACTGGAATCCTGCTGCTGCACAATTTTAACGTGTTTTTAGATGGGGTTATGATCGAGAATAAGCTTTATGTGGCCTCTCCGCACTCCCATATATTTGCACTAAGTTTAGTCGGACACCATTTGCAGTCATCAGCCGACATTTGAAGCAAAAAAGACAGGTAAAAAAAAAAAAAGCCGCGTCGCCGCACCACTTTTTGGGGAAGCTCCATACCAGAAACCGGAGACTTTTTTTGGGGGCCTAATATTGACCTTTTTGCTTGGGTGTTATTATTGCATACACTTCATTTCCATATTTACATGGGTTTTTTTTACTTAATGATAAACAAATGTCCTCCTTTCCCTTTTACTTTAGACTGATGATGTCATCAAACCGGAAATTACTTGTACGTGTACCTAAATGTTTACTGATATTTATCATGCCCTAAAAAGATGCATTCTTTTCGTACAAAATAATTAGTACTATACTGCAAATGTTGAAGTTCTTGGTCCTTTTTTTTTCTGACATATATTCATAACTTAACTGGACAATGTCAAATGAAATAGTTGTCTACCCGACCACTCTGCGTTTGTAACAACAAACGCGAACCTCTGGTTTTACAGTATTTTTTTAGTGTATCGACCCTTGGCTGATGCTCCATAGACGTGTTAATAAAGCTAGATGACATTAGGTGGGCTGAATTGTCTGGCCCCAAATTTTAATGCACACAGAATACATAGGTCTCTCTCAAATGATGTCGCTTCCGACAGATTGCCACGTGCATCAGCATTTTGGGCATCAAATTTTTGTGACGCATCTGCTGCGCCGTATTTCAAAGACATGTTAAGCAAAACACGCGCGTGTTTAGAATGTTTTGCACAGTGCGCGCACACGCACTTGATGGCATAAAACTTGTAACTTGTACATTCCTATGAAGAGGGTGTCCCATGAGAGAGATCTATAATTGGGGATGCATCCTCCAACGCACAAGAAAGGTTGTCGTTTCCATGATGTGTTTCCATAGCACAGCAGCAATAGGATGTGGCGTTTGGGGGCCAAAACGCAGCTTAAATCATAGGCGAGTCAGGTCTATAGGTTTATTAAGATGTCTATGCTTGACTCTCGTTAGGCCAAAAAAAAAAGTCTCCGGTTTCTGGTATGCGCGCGTGTCGCCCTAGCCATGCGCGTCGGCAAAAGGAAAAAGTTTTTTTTTTCAATAAAAGATGATGTCTCAAAACCACCAAACTCACTGGTTTGACTGGAATCCTGCTGCTGCACAATTTTAACGTGTTTTTAGATGGGGTTATGATCGAGAACAAGCTTTACGTGGCCTCTCTGGACTCCCATATATTTGCACTAAGTTTAGTCGGGCACCATTTGCATTCATCAGCCGACATTTGAAGCCAAAAAAACAGGTAAAAAAAAAAAAAAAAGCCGCGTCGCCGCACCACTTTTTGGGCAAGCTCCATACCAGAAACCGGAGACTTTTTTTTGGGGGCCTTAGTACATCCCTACATGCCGTCCCAGTTGCAACAGGGAGTCAATTGAATGTGCTGGCCAAATTCTTTAATCTGTAACCAAGAAGGGCCAACTGTAATGTTTTCTTTCTTGTTTGTCTTTCATATTGGAAACCAGGGATGGTGAACGGGAAATTTCGTAGTCCCCGTCAAAAGGGAATCACCAAGAAGTCCAATATTGTCATCATAGGCTCCGGACCTACCGCTCTGGGTGCTGCTAAAAGATTCTACGATCTCGGGCATGGGAAAGACAACAGTGAAATCACTATCCTGGAAGAGCTAGGTAGACCAGGAGGCCTTGCTTCTTCTACCAGGGATGATAAAGGTTTTCTCTGGGACGTCGGAGTTCACGTCGTCTTCTCGCATTACACCTACTTTGATCGAGTCCTGAACATGGCAGTACCCGAGTGGAACTACCGGCGCAGGGCGTCATTTGCCTTCATGAAAGGATCAGATGACAAGAGGAGATTTATTCCTTATCCAGTTCAGAACAATATCCACGTCATGGATAAAATTGATCAGCAGAAAAGCCTGAAAGGCTTAGAGGAGATTACCAAAAATCCCATCACCCGTAAACCCACAAATTTTGACGAGTGGCTGCTGCAGAAATTCGGAGTGGGTCTGGCAGACGTCTTTATGAGGAAATACAACCAGAAAATATGGACGGTTAACACCACGGAAATGAACTCGGCCTGGGTTGGCGAGAGAGTTGCCGTACCAGACATTGAAGAAATCAAGACCAAGATTAAAGAGGTGGATAACGGGATAGAGGCCAAGGATTCCGAGTGGGGACCGAACCGTTTCTTCCGTTTCCCCAAATATAATGGAACTGGTGGCATTTGGCAGTCAGTTGCAAGAATGCTTCCAAGCCACTGGTTCAAATTTCACGAAAAGGTAACTGGAATAGATATTGACCAAAAAATTATCACTGTTGAGGCTGGAACGGTTAGTAAGACACACTACACCTTAGAATACGATATTCTTTTCTCGACGGTCCCCTTAGACGTCTTTACATCCTTCTTGCAGAGCAAAGATACATCTTTGGAGCAGATGCGGCAGCTCGCATCCCAACTGGTGTACACGCACACTCACATCGTAGGCGTCGGCCTCACCGGTCACCTACCCAAGAGCCTCGCTGATAAGTCTTGGGTGTATTTCCCTGATTCAGATTCCCCGTTTTACCGTGTAACAATGTTCTCCAATTATTCAGACGACCATGTACCTAAAGGAGGAGCTTTTTGGTCGCTTATGTGCGAAATAGCCGAACCACAGAAAAGTTCTAATCCATCGTATTGGAGTAGAGAAAACTTGATAAAAGAATCCATTCAAGCCTTAGTCTTGTACGGGTTCATCACTGCTGATATGGTAGTCTCCAAGCACTACCGTCGCTTGGACCACGGATACCCCGTCCCTTCACTTAAAAGAGATATACTCCTTGACACGATACAACCTTGGCTGAAAACCAAAGACATCTACTCCCGTGGACGGTTTGGAGGTTGGAGATACGAGGTTGCAAATCAAGATCATTCCTTCATGCAAGGGGTCGAGGCCGTGGACAATATCCTAAGCGACGTTCCGGAGTTGACTTACCCTGATCCGAATCTTGCCAACTCCAAGAAAAACACGGATCGCACCATCCCCTTGGATTATGAAATCGTCATCGCTCATTATAACGAGAATCTTGATTGGCTGAAGCCTTATGCCAACCGCACGCTCGTCTACTCTCATGGGAACGACCTGGGTCCGCCATTCCAGTTCTATTCTTGGGAACGGCTTAAAAATGTCGGCCGAGAGGCGCATGTGTATCTTACTCACATCACCACTTACTACGATCGGCTAGCCAATGTGACCGTCTTTCTTCAGGGGGACAAATTCAGGGGACGATGCTTCAAAAGTGTGCCAGAAATCCTGGCGAATGCCAAGAAGGGTGTGCCCTGTCGAAAGCTCGGAAATTGGTACACCGCCTGGGGTAATATCAAATTTCCCAAGTATTACCTCGACGATTTCAAGAAGAAAAATATTCCCATGCTGAAGGCGAACCGGACCCTTGGCGAGGTGTACCAGGACCTGTGGGGGTCTCCTCCGCCTAAGCCAGGGATAAGGTACTGTTGGAACGCATGTTTAGGAGCAACCAAGGCCATGATCCATAAACATCCTTTGGAGTTTTATCAGAAGGCACTAGGTTACGTTAGCACATACTCCAACCAGGAAGAAGCACATTATTTAGAGAGGTTTTGGTTCCATATGTTCACCTAAACTCAAAGTGCTATGCAAAGCTCACGGTATGTCGAAAGCTTCTTGTCTTCAGCCTCACATCGGCGATTCGGTACGTACCAGCGGTGCTAACGGACTTGGGGAAGACGAGAACCACCAACACTAAGGCACCATCCCCCTGCATGGTATTTCGGCGCATATACCATAGAGCTAGAGTGCGACTTTGCATTACAAATGGGACAGTTGAATTCTAGGGAAATGTGATTTTAACTAGATGATGTGCCAAATTCAACCACGATCTTTCCGTACGACCACTACAAATTTCCCTTGCGAATGTATATGTTTGAAATCTAATTACTCATTGTGACTACATGTATATAATGTTCATTGTGACTGAATCATCTATGTACATGTACATTTAATCTTCGGATTAAATAGTTTTGTTACAGCTGGGTTTCGTCTGTATAGCTAAAGCTGCCTTGCAAAAAAGGCTTGAAGGCCGAGAGAATAGTGAAGCCTGGTGACAAGCTCGTGTATTGTCGTGCTACACAGCTGGAATGAGGGTTTTAATAATAGCATAACACAATAAAGGGGGCCACTTTCCATCCGTCACGTTAGCGGTTTTTCCAATGGTTGTAATTAGGCTGAAACCACCCAAAAAGTTTTTGAAATGTGACTGGACATGTAATATGTGTTGAATCATTTCTTTCTTTCTTTTTTAATTTTTCAAATCACCCTCAAATTTCCATCAAATATGGACGGAAAAAGTTATATAAGTTTTCCCTCCACTTTTTGATGGAAATTTGAGGAGGATGTCAAAAAGCAATATAAATAATCAACTCAAATCGTCTTCAGCGAAAGGCTGCATGTCCATTCATGTGTTGAAATTCTTCTTTGGTGGTTTCACATGTTTAACAAAAAAATCACAACCATTGGAAAAACTGTAGATAAGTGGCCCCATTTATTGTGTTTCTTGTCGTAATCATTAGGAAACCCTTGAACCAGGCTGTGCCTTTGTGTAACTGGGGACCCTGTGATCAGCAAGGCGATTTAGACTGTGTAGAAACGACCCGCAACGTCAGGGCTCCGTTCCCTCAAACTTTCAAAAGTGCAAATTATTAAAATGATCAATTTGGACAGTTTTGTGTTAGTTTTACGTTTGAACGTGCTGTTATTATAGTCATAGCCATATCTAAATTATCTTATCAGATCTATATCTAGAAGGCCCAAAGGAAAGATTTCCATATACGAAGTTCACTCAAAACTCTGTGTACAAACCCTATGAGAGTGGACTGAAAAATTCTAAGTGTTTTCTAAGAAAATGTTGGTATTTTCTCACTGCTCAAATTGACTTTGATGACATGAAATTGCTATCTGGGGGCTTGTTAGTCAATACAGAGGAAAATTAGTGAACTTCGCATATGGTAATCTTGCCGGCCCCAAGGAGTGTGTTGATTTTTATTGTATGCAAGTTCATTTTCCCGAAAAAAGATTGGTTAGGGTGTATTTGTATTGGGTTGAAAATGTGGGGAGTACATTTAATGTAAATTGGAGATTTACTTGAGAAGACATGCAGTTATTGAAATGCAAGAGATAGACAATGGGAAAGTAATAGCCATATGAGCTGATTAGGCAAAGAGATTATCAATGTATAGAATCTCAAGTAAAGTTCCACAGCAAGTTCGTAATACATTACAGTGAGTGAACTTTTACATGTAAAGGGTAAATCCTGACGCACTGCCAAAGTATGATATTACCCTTCCCTTGGTCAGGCTCCCTTCTTGGCAGGGTGACCGTAAGGTCCGAGCCAAATTCTGCTAAATGCACATCAAAAATCTGTCAGATTTATAAAAAATCTGCCAAATTCTGCCAGAAATCTGCCCAAAAAAATACATTCTGTCAAATTTTCTGTCAAACTCGTTTTTTTTTACAAAAATTCTGTCAAAGTTAGCCGAAAATTGGCTAAAACGGTCAATCTGCTTCTTGGACACTGGTTCACGCGCATTGCAAAACGGCGCATTCCACTGCATTTTAACACTTGGTGTATATGCTCTGAGAAAAGGAATTGGACATCCTTAATTTAATGTAGTTTTGATGTAAGTAAATATGTACATCTGTATCATGAACAGCGCCCCCTTGTGGCCTCCAGTCCCCCACCCCTTCGGATTTCCACGGCTGGGCAATTTTTAAATTTTGGTCATCATGCCACCATGCCGTCATTATTATACTAATGTATAAAGCATTACACGTGAAGTAAAAATACTAGAACTCGAATTAAAACGTTTGATGTACGATAATTAAATTAAAAGGACATATTGAGCATCCGCTTGCATCATCCAAAGTTTTAACTTCGTTGGAGCAGGTCATATTGCAGGGAGTAGAAAATTGCTTTTTTCTCTCCTTTTAAACATTAAGAAACATGTTTACTATCCTGTGAATGCAAAATACAGTCGATCCCTGATAATAAGAGCACTGTACAACGTCATGATTGCATTATATAACAATCAAACTTGTAGGTCCCAAGTCTTCGTTTTTCTTTGTGTTTCCTTTGTTTTGCAATTACTGGTTCCTTTTATTAACAAGGTAATTTGTAAAGTCCCAAGGACCTTGTTATAAAGGTGTTCGACTGCAGTTGTAGTTGTTGTTGAAAGTTTGAAAAACTATAATGATTTTTATATTTCTTAGTTGATTCTTTTTCACGTGCGCTTACGGAAAAGTTCTATCAGGCCAAATAAAAATAAAAACATGTTTAGCATCCCCGCCCACTTCCTTTTTGAGGGCCGCCTCTTTTTTTCTTTTTTTTTGAAAAAAAAAAGCAAAAATGTTGACCGATCCATCGTTAAATCAAATACTTGCAAGTCGGAACTTCTAATTCTAGACTGTATTGGTCACTTCCCACATCGAGCATTCAGTCAACCCCGGCGATCTCCAAACCAGCCTCGACGTGGACAAGAATGCCTGCGCGGCAGTGTTTTTAATTCTTGCAAAACCATGCTGAAAAACTACTAAAAACAATGTAAATATGTTTAATTCTCTTGTCCAGCAATAACATGTCTGTTTAATTTTTTTTTTTTTTTTATCTTTGAACAGTGTGAAAAAAACAACGGTTGTCGGCTATCTTGAAAAAAAGAAGAAATAAAACGCCTCCTTTTTTTTTCAAAAACCCGGACGCTAAACCTGTTTTTTTTTTACTTTGCCTCAGAGCTTTTGGTAACAATCCAGGTGCCTTTAAAAAAAAAAAATGTTACCTTATTTCCAGTTTGTTTTTATTACGATGCCGTGGAATCTTCTTTTGAAGATCCAAAGTTTTAACTTCATTGAAGTAGTGTTTATTGCAGGGACTCGGGAAGAAGTAACTTTTTAAAGTCTTTTGAATTATGAAACATGTTTAGTATCCTATGATGTAGTTGTATCGTTTTATGAAATGTTTGATGAACAATAATTATAATTGAAATTACCAGGACGTTAATTGTAAGCATTTTTTTGAAGATCCAAGTTTTAACTGTATTGAGTTGGAGCTTGGAGGTTATAGCAGAGGGAAGTAACGTTTTTTTATATCTTGTAAAGATTATGAAATACTATTAAAGTAACCCTTTAAAAGAGATATATCTTTTTCAAAGGTTTAATGAACGACAATTGCAACTGAAATTAACACGGCGCTAATTAAACTTTTTTTTTTGGAAATCCAAAGTTCAACAAATTACAACGTTTTCATCTTTTTACCTTATGGAGGAAGCAAAAATTTCGTTTACACATTCCTTGTGTCCAGAATTACAAAGATGCTTGGTTTAGGAAAGTAAATATGTCGATGGGCGAAGTATTTACTAGCCTTGGTCAATGCTCTCGTCGTTATTCGTCCCGTACGCGGTCAATCGTCGGCATACATGTATATCCTCACGCGCTATGCACATACATGTATGCATGTAAAAATACAGCGCGAACAGCGACCTCATGCGGCCACTATTTTTTTATGCAAATCAGTTGGGGACGATCTCGAGCCTTGGTTCAATCGTCGGCAAAAGCTTATGTTTTTCTTTATTTTGCGCTAGATTTCTAGCGCACGACCTCGTATAACATGCGAATACAGATAAGTGTAGGCGGGGCTAATATATGGAGTGTCCAATCACACCTTGGTAAATCCGGACGTCATCAAATTATTTGCAGCTAATCGCCTTTTGCGGACGTGACAGGAACCACAGTTTTTGTGCATTGGTGCCGTGTGCAGAGACACACAACGTGTACGTGTATGGATTATGTACGGTGCCACGTTTTATATGCAAGTTTCCACGCAACGATCGACCAATAAGAAAACGACATTTAAGGACATTTAAGGGTATTAACATAATGAGCACCACCCCAAAACCTCACATGGACGATTGAACCAAGGCTCTCGATCGTCCCCAACTGATTTGCATATAAAAATAGTGGCCGCGTGAGGCCGCTGTTCGCTCTGTATTTTTACATGCATGTGCATAGCGCGTGAGGATATATGCCGACGATTGACCGCGTACGGGACAAATAACGACGAGAGCATTGACCAAGGCTAAGTATTTACAGAAAATAAATCGTACTCTACGCTTTCGTCGTAACATCCTCAGTATAATGCACTGCTGCTGTACGATGTCGTTTCAAAACTTCCTTACGCGCGTGCACCCATAGCAACTGTGTTGCGTACGCGCGCGTCAGTCTCACGCGAAGGTGGTTGAGCGCATGTGCAGTGCTGTATTGTTACAAGCTGCCGTATGACTGTTGTAAATTTGGCCAATCATTGCCTTCCATGGGGCTGGATCAATGCTGGTTCAGGGGCCATTTATTCGCTTGTTCTTTGAAGCTGGTCATTATCACCGTTAATGCCCGGCCACGTGATCGAGTCTCGACCAATCAGAAACCATCAACTCTCCAAGGTATTTATTAAAATATATTCATAAATACCTAAGACAGTTTACACATTCCTATTGGTCGAGAGCCCGTCACGTGGCCGGTCTTAAACGGATGATAAAGACATGGCTAGCTGGTCTTAAACACTTTTCCAGTGTCACATGAAATTTGGACTCCCATGAAATCCGGTGCCTTTTAACGTTTCATTGGTTGAACGTTCACATTCCTCACGTATGCATGCGCAATACTACCCGTGAATGGTCCGAAATTCACACTACACCAGCCCATGGGTAATAATTACCCTTGGCTTCGCCTCGGGTAATTATCACCCATCCAGACTCCCACCGGTCTTAAACAGAGTGTTATAATACCTCCCGAACACACAAAAGTTATTCCCTTAATATAACATTATGCTATTATGGACCAGTGCGAGTACGGTATCATACATTCACGCAGGCCCCCAACAATGTGAAAATCGTTGTGCCAGCTATTGTGCACAGCCACTGCCCCATGGCGGATTATCTGAACAATTCTGTCACAGTGCTTTCGCCATTGAAGGGGGCCATGCCGTTGGTGTGCAGTGACAGCGTGGTGGGATTGGTCTGTATGAAGGGTTGGACAAGAACACCAAGCGCCCGACATCGGGGCGAGCGGGATGAAATGTATATTATGTGTGTCGACAATTTGGTTTATTTGGGAAGAAACCTTTCTGTGCTAAGTTTCGGACTATTGTTCACCAACCTCTATCTCTATGTACTCTCTGTACTGGCAGACAATACCCATGCATTGAAGCATGCATCTGCCATCTTGGGTAACCGATGTCGCACGCACGCTAAATGCGAGGTTTTGTACTAGCAGTTCGTACTGGATTTCTTCAGAGTTAAGGCGGCGAACTGATTATTAGACAAGGGAAGAATGATGTAAAGTGAACACACTCTCAAATACCAGGCGCGGATCCAGGGGGGGGGGGGGGGGTAAAAAAAACCCAGCTCTGTCAATTTTTTTTTCATGGAAAAAATAATGCGACCCCCCCGCTCTGACACTTCAAAATATGAAACGGGTAATAATGTCCGCCTGTGCCAAAAATACGGACAAAGCCAGCTTGGTTAAGGGTTATTTGTACACTGATCTATATCTGTAATATAGTGTTACGAATTGTCGGATTTGAACAGCGCCCCCATTGAAATTATTGTATGAGCCCCCCCCCCCCCCCCCCTATTGATTTTCGGAGGCCAAGTGCCCGGAAAAAAAATTCAAATTTCAAATTTTTTTGGGCAGATGACCCCCCCCCCCTGCGAAAAATCCCGAATCAGCCCCTGAATAAAACAAATCATAGCCAATGAATTTAACTTTTTTTGCAGTTCACCCCATTTATATTCTTTTTGTTATCTGCATTGACTTTAGAATTGTAGCAAGACTGGAGTACTAAATCAACATTTAAAAAGAGAGAAACGAAGCACAAAGCGTGACAACGAAGAACAGACGCAATGCTCTTTTTGATCTGAGCCGGGCAGTATAAAACCAAAATAATAAGCAGCAAAAGTATGAAAGGTTAAATAATAACCTTTATGTTAAAAAAATTGCTTACATTCATGCTCCAGGAATCGATCACTTTCCTTTCAAGGAAGCGTTTTCAAAACTTCATACAATTATGTAGACGAATGGTGATCTGTATAAACTTTTGGCTGCAATTATCCACTGAGACATCCACATTCTGTAACACAAACAAACCAAACCAATCACGAATCATAATATTCAAAAAGCAACCTTAGTTTGGCCCTTTTATTGAATAAATATTTTCCCGAAAGGACAGTCAGTGAATCAACGTAAATATCAACCGAGATGTCATTAAAAAGCATTAGTTCGGTATCGTACGGTGGCCCTGGAACGACATTTTAATATTGACCTTTTTAATATGAACCTTGTAACTTCTTAATATTGACGTTGTACCTTCGCAATATGCACGTTGCACGTAGCTTAATATCGCATTGTGGAAGTTGTTCCTTCTTAATGTGAATGTTCCAACTTGTTAATGTTCACGTTCGAACTTGTCAATGTACACCATTGATCATGCTTGATGTCAACGTTGCACCTTGCTTCTTCGTAATATGAACCATGTACCTTCGCATTGTGAACGTTTGACCTTGTATCTTGTTAATATCATTGTTACTGACAGTCAGTGAATCAACGTAAATATCAACCGAGATGTCATTAAAAAGCATTAGTTCGGTATCGTACGGTGGCCCTGGAACGACATTTTAATATTGACCTTTTTAATATGAACCTTGTAACTTCTTAATATTGACGTTGTACCTTCGCAATATGCACGTTGCACGTAGCTTAATATCGCATTGTGGAAGTTGTTCCTTCTTAATGTGAATGTTCCAACTTGTTAATGTTCACGTTCGAACTTGTCAATGTACACCATTGATCATGCTTGATGTCAACGTTGCACCTTGCTTCTTCGTAATATGAACCATGTACCTTCGCATTGTGAACGTTTGACCTTGTATCTTGTTAATATCATTGTTGAACCGTCCTCCTTCGCAATGTGAATCATGCATTCTAAAAAGTACGAAGTCCTTGTCAAGCCCTATAGTTAAACAACCAGTTATGATGGAGTTTCAATCTGACAGCTGTTTAATGTCACTTAACCTGGTCTACCTTGTAGTGATTTTTATCATGAATCAAGGCTCTCTGATATATTTCACACCTATTGTTGATCACTGTGTGCGCATATTAATTGAAATATTGTAAAACAGGGAGTTTCCATAAATATTATGATAGGGGCGCTGTAAGTTGCCGAGCATCGTGGAGTTGCAGCACTGCTGACATGAACTGACACAGTGGAAACCGCATGCAAGCGGGAAGTGTACACGCTTGCAGACATTCAGATGTCCACATGAGCCAAGTTATCGCAACTGTAAAGTTCGCTCAAAATCGTATACAAAATAGTGGTTAACTATATAATTATTTCAACCACACAGAGAAAAAAAAAGTGTTCATCAAGAACCACTGAGTTTTTAATTTTACATGTAAACTTAACTGATCGAGACCTATACCGTAGTCTTTGCCCGAGGCTGGATGCTGTATTTTATTCTGTATTGACAAGGTAATGCGTGCGCGGAGTATATGCCTGAAATCTCCTGGGTAGCGCTGCCAAAGTTCTTAAGACAACATAACTGTTGACAGCGTCCTCTGGCTGGGTTCCGTAATATCTCATCTCAACTGGAGCTGTCCGTTGCAGACTCGTCTTTGTCGTCAGTGCGTGATCAAGTGAATTATCACAGATATAAATATATACTCGGCCAGCAACACTCGCTGGTGAATAAGCTAGACCAAACGACTTGTAACGTAACGACACTAAAGGGAATATATAGATGTATGCGAACGGTGTCAATTATAAGCCTGCATTGATCCTAGGTATTTACTCGGAAATATTTCCGGAAATGTTTTGTCGTTTCGCTTTCGATGTTGGCCTCTTCCTCGAAACCTGACCAATTACAGATGAGGACGTGTAACCCAATATGATGTGGTTGAATAACAGGATGGGGTTAGACTAGAATTGGAACATTTTCTGGAAAGAAAGGTAATCTATACGGTGTAGATTACATTTCTTTCCAGAAAATGTTGCATGGATGGCTATACATAGAAAAAGAAAACCTGTCAAGATGTAAACCAAAACATACATTTTTGAAATTAAAGATATATTCGTCTCCCGATGGCAAAATATCGGTGTCTATGATTGCTTACTATATACAGGTGACCCAAACAAATGCAACCCTGAAACATTTGTCCCTTTTTTTCAAAAA